AACGCTGTTTGCAAGTCTATATAGAATCCACATACCCTCGTCTATGCACACACGCATAATAATGATAATAATACGTCACGAATGCATCCGAGTACGCGTGTGTGTGTGCAGTCTTCGATCGCGCTTTATAACGGTACGATATTATATGCGTATAGTCGTGTGCCATATATCGTATATATAGCTAGTGCACACGTGCGCATTACGTACGGTCGGGCTATAATAATTTACAAATGGACTTTCTTTCGTTTTTCCATCGTTAACTTGTGCATACATACACACATATGCGCGCTCCTTATAATGCATAAGAGCGTAACAGTTTATCGGGTAATAATGTCGAGGCCGAGACGTTTTGCGATCCGATATAAATGCACGAGCGTATTATTTAACTGCCTAGAGCTCTGTTGTGTCCGGTGCGTGCGCAACAGACGCGAAAGAAAAGAAAAGAAAAGAAAAGAGAAGGAATCGGTTAACCCGCCGATCGTACTCCGTACCGATTTCCTTGTATATTTTTACGCGCGGGCACGTATACGGGAGCCTGGTTCCTTTTCGATCAATTCATAGAATTAGAAACGCGGTACGTCGCGCCGCTACTTGCCAATCGATACATTTATATTATTATATACGTGCCACCCGATCCAGCACATCCTTTCCAAATATACAATAAAACACAAACCCACGCGGATTCGCGCGCGGAGGGATATCGGCTTACCACTCGACTGCTACTTCTACTACTGCTGCTACTGCCGCTGCTGCTACGAGTCCTCGAGCGACCCCGTGATATATAAGTATTATACGTTACATACGTTACGCGTATACCCTATACTCGTCATAGATTTATGTTGCCTCCGAAAATCGCTTCTGTATAAAACCCTTTCGCGCTGCTGCTGCTGCTCTAAATACGATATTATATATTGAGAGGGCTGCTGCAGCGCCAGTAGGGCCCCCCTCGCACAGCACTAATTTCGTGCTCCTCTCTCTCTCTCTCCCCCGAAAAATAATAATTCGTGGCGCAGTGGAGAACACTGAGAGAGAGAGGCGAGATGTTGCCGATGCTGCTGCTGCCGTTGAGCCGAGAGTTGGTATAATGTAGTCTGTTATTATTTTTCACGTGTGTGTGTGTATATTACGAATAATGAATGATATGCGCGCGCGCCTGCATTTATTATATTTGCGTATATTTTTCTTTCAACGATCATACGCGTGGGTAACTGGGTTGAAGCAAAAAAAAAAAAAAAACACGAAATAAAATAAGCAATTATTTACCGTTGAGCCCAGCCACAATGAACAATATCTTTATCCGCTAGCTCTCGATTATAATTGCGATCGAGAAAAGAAAGAAAAAAGGAATTAATAACGGAGAAAAGGAAGTCTCGAGTTAATCAATCACGCGTCACAAAAATTTCTTCTCTTTTTTTTTTTTTTTTTTTATTTATTTCGTGCGCACGCGCGCGCGCGTAAGTAAGTACAGCTCGCGGCGATTGTCGCCGTATTTATACATATATACCTGAGCGCACAGCTCGCGGGCATCTTTTTTTCTTCTTCTTTTTTGTTTTCTTTAATCAACCCTTCATCGGGAGGTATATCAACGCGGGACGGTAGCTACAAAGAGTATGCGGCTCGACAACAACAACAACAACAACAACAACAACAACAACGACTACCTCGTGCGTGTGCGTATTATATATTTACGCGGGCTTGTACGCGAAATTTCCGGATGGCCCCCGTGGGCTGCTCCAATAAAGAGCAGCAGCAGCGACCAACGAAAAATCCTTACGTCATCCGTATTACATACTGTTAAAGGTAGGTATAATAAAACACACATATACTCACACGAATTGCCTCGCTGAGTACCGCAAAGTACGTACGTACGTACGCGCGTCTCCTCCTTTTTTTTTTTGTACATATCGTGTCTGTCAGTGTGTCCCCGTCGTTTTGTGTGTCTTTTACCATGACAGCCCGGTACGCCGCACAGGCCTGACAAGCAAGGGTGTCGGCATACATTATATATAAATAAAGAATACACAACGGAGGTAGAAAAAAATGAGGGCTACGTGTGTACGAGAGTAACGAGAGAAAGAGAGAAAAGGCGCATACTCGGAGACCCTGTGTGCATATGTAAGTCAAGCTCGTACTCTCACGCATGCCTGTATTATATATATGGGTCAAAATAATACTTTTTTACAAAACCGTGCGCACGTATGTCACCGATCTTGACGCGCTTTTGATATGTTACAGTACATGGTAAAAAGGTCCCAAAAAAAAATTTTTAGACCCCCTCCCCCCTCCTACCCCCCACTTCCGGTATAAACGTCCATTTTCGATCTATATTTTTTCTGAGGACATGAAGCAATTAAAAAATTTGAAAAAATTCACAAAAATACTTTTCAACAATCCAAACAACCTTGAATTTTTTCAGATTTTTTAAGTGCTTCAGGCCTTCAGAAAAAATCATTGAAAATTTTGAAAATCGAGATACGGCGATATGAGCCGATATAGTAAACGGAAATTTTTTCAGTTTTTTATTGCATTAAAAAACATAACCTCAATTTTTTTCAGATTTTTTCAGATGACCTAACGCACCTTTTGAAGCCAAAAACCGCTTTTTTTGACGAAAATAATTTTTTTAAGATGGTACGGAGCCTCGAAAAATCTGGAAAAAATTTTTTCTTTATTTTTCATCAAAATACATTACCTCAAATTTTTTCAGATTTTTTAATTGAAGGCGATAGTTTCTAGGGCCGAAAAATGCTATTTTTAACAAAAAAAGGTTCCTAGAACCCGATGGTTCCGGTGAAAAAATTTGAAAATATTTTTTTTGAAATCCTTGACAAATTTTAATAAATTTTGACCGTTTCAGAATTCCGATTGAAGCCTCCTAGCTCAATCTAGAGCAGGACAAAGATTAACGCAAAATTCTGAAGACGTTTCTGAAGACACATTAAGATATGACAAAACTATTTTGATGCTCTAGATTGAGCTAGGAGGCTTCAATCGAACTTTTAAAACGGTCAAAATTTATTAAAATTTGACAAGGAATTCAAAAAAATTTTTTTCAAATTTTTTTACCGGAACCATCGGGTTCCAGGAACCTTTTTTTGTTAAAAATAGCATTATTCGGCCCTAGAAACTATCGCCTTCAATTAAAAAATCTGAAAAAATTTGAGGTTATGTATTTTGATGAAAAAAACAAGAAAAAATTTTTTCCAGATTTTTCGAGGCTCCGTACCATCTTAAAAAAATTATTTTCGTCAAAAAAAGCGGTTTTTGGCTTCAAAAGGTGCGTTAGGTCATCTGAAAAAATCTGAAAAAAATTGAGGTTATGTTTTTTAATGCAATAAAAAACTGAAAAAATTTCCGTTTACTATATCGGCTCATATCGCCGTATCTCGATTTTCAAAATTTTCAATGATTTTTTCTGAAGGCCTGAAGCACTTAAAAAATCTGAAAAAATTCAAGGTTATTTGGATTGTTGAAAAGTATTTTTGTGAATTTTTTCAGATTTTTTAATTGCTTCATGTCCTCAGAAAAAATATAGATCGAAAATGGACGTTTATACCGGAAGTGGGGGGTAGGAGGGGGGAGGGGGTCTAAAAATTTTTTTTTGGGACCTTTTTACCATGTACTATAACATATCAAAAGCGCGTCAAGATCGGTGACATACGTGCGCACGGTTTTGTAAAAAAGTATTATTTTGACCCATATATATAGTATAAAACAGTATGGATGCAGTTTTCGCGCGCTCGCGCTCGCACAAACACTGCAGTCCACGGGCACGAGGCAGAGGCAGGTGCACCCCCTCTCGTGTGTACATGCGTATATATATATACCTATACCTTCTCTCCTGTATATTATATATTATATATACATATATACAAGGCCCCGGCGTGCGAGAGGTAAAGTATAACGCGATATACATACGCATACATACTCATTATTATACGTGTGCAGTGCATACATACACGCGCATGCAAGTGTGTATATACCGCGAGTCAATCGAGCCGGGGACCTTTACCTGTGCGTGAGCTACGTATGTGTGTTGGTGCTGCATATACGTATACCCATTTAGAGTCAGTTGGGACTCTCTTTCATCGGAGGGCCTTATATATATACCACTACTGCTACTACTACTGCTCGTTCGCTCGCTCGCTCGGGCTCGCTCTTCCTCCTCCCCGGAGGGGGGACCCGGGGTCACATTCCAAGATGGCTGTGCCTCAGGAATGCAGCGCGCGGCCAATGCACATTACATTATATGTATATACCTGTATATTCCTTCGCACAGCTCGCTGTATATAGGTATATAATATAATACGATATACACGAGCTTGGGCCGTATATACATCCCTCCTCTCTCGTTCTCTCTCATTCTCTCTCTTCTCCTCGGCGAGTTCCTCTCTCTCTCTCTCTACTCACCGTACGTTTTGTACTCGCGGAGAGCAGAGCTGAGAGCTGAGAGCTATCCTCGAATTCAGTGTATCCCAGCAGTCTCGAAGCTACGGCCTCCGCGAGAGGGACCAAGTATTATATTTGTACTATATACTCACGCATTCACGCACGCATCGGAATCGAAAGAGTCGAGGTTTGCCAAATCGTCGAGGAGCTGCGCGAGACACGGCAGCAGCAGCAGCCGCGTGCTCCAACGTGTATGTCACATTGTGTCAAATCGGTTATACGAAACAGAGAGAGAGATCGGTAACTAATAAAATGTGACGCGATTGCAAAAGTGTTTGTGTCTGAAGGGGTTTAATATTGTGAAGATAATCGAGTGTAATTCGTGCGTTCATAAAGTGCTTGTGCTTGTGTGTTTGTGAGTGTGCGTGCGTATATGGGGCCCGATGATGCCCAACAGGCTGCGGCAGCCGCAGCCGCTACGTAACGGGCAGATAGCAGCAGCAGTAGCACAACGACGACGAAGACGTGCAGCAGCAACAGCAGCAGCAGTGCAGTATCATTATTATTGTTGTTATAATGCCCGATGCTCCGGCTCGCCGGCTTAGGCCATTATGTCTCACAGAGATATATCCGAGGTAATTATGCGCTTCCCAATTCTGACACTTGTTGTATATATATATATATATATATATATTGTATACTTGAAAAAGTAAAGGGGGGAAGAGAAGAAAGATTCGGGGAATAAATTCGGGGCCTTTTGCGCGCACCCAAACGAACCAACACCGCAATTGTATAATGACGATAATAAGTACAATGCGAGTGTATATATAACATCCCCTTTGCCTCTTTCACTCTCTCTCTCTCTCTCTCTCGTTCTTTCTCGCTCTTTCTCTGTTATAATGTATAGTAATATAATAAGAGCGACTGCCTTTTTGCCTATATCATCGCGCCTCTTTGTGAATGAGAATAATCCAGCCCTCTCTCAATATAATGAAAAAATCGGCTCAACCTAAAAAAAAAAGAAAGGGTCAATGCATAATTCCAAATGCAGCGCGACAGAGTACTCGTGTGCTCGAGCGGCTTTATTATCCTCTCTTATAAGTTTATAAGACAGAAGCAGCAGCAGCAGCAGTACTCTCTTGAGTTTGTGTATAAGTGTGTACCTGTGTGTGTGTATAATATAAGGTACAAGAGAGTCCGCGCGCGTTCTCTCTCTCTCTCTCTCTCTTCCTCGCTCGCTCTCTCATCGTCGAGGTAGCGTATAGTATATAGGGAGTGTCTTTTTTCGACGTTTTGTGTCTCTTTCGTCGGTCGCCGCGACTGCCGCCACCAAAGCTGCTGCTGCATCTCGTGTACCTACACACAGACACACACATACATAAGTATCGCAGGCTCGATGTGCAGTCCTTCGTATCGTCGTCGTCGTCGCCGCCGTCGCCGTTGCATTGTCCGCGGAGCTCGATCGCGAAGCTACACACACACACACACACACGGTGGAGCCTTCGATGTGATTCTATATATAGGACGTATAGTATATATACCTACACGCGTTTAGCGGCGATATTGTTCCAAAGCCGGAGAGCGCAGAGTTGGAATATATACTATGCAAGGGTGGTTAAGCGACTAAGCGCGATATAATACCGAGGTCTCTTTCCAGGCAGATATGCATGCGAATCGTGGGAGCGAGTGTCCTGCATGCGCGCCGCGATCATACATATACGTATGTATAGGCACAGGCTGCTCTATATATCAGCTTGGAAATGGGGAGTGAGGCAGGTGTGCAGCAGCAGCGGCGGCGACAGCAGTATGTGCATGGGTATATTCTATCTATAAAACAAAAGACACGTCGATACATCGATGCGTACTTATGTATACGTTGCATACGCGTTGAGACTCGATTCCGATCGATCAAGTCGATCATTTTTTTAATCGCGAAACTCCACCAGAGTATTTCCTCGTGATGATTTTCGCTTCGATGAGCTTATACTGCGCGGCACAACTCGTATATATATACACTGCACGAGCAGCAACCGATCGATTGGCTATATACGCACGTATATCGAGAGAAACTTTCCATCCCAAGGAATCAAGTTTCTCGAATATCGAACTGCGCTCACACACACACATACGTACGCGTTAATATCGAATAATCGATAAGGCACCAACTACTCTCTCTGTGAAAGGGCACGAAAGCGCGGATATTTTTCGAATGTACGCGTGTGCGGAAAAACGCAGATCTGCCGTCTGTATAATCTTTATCGATACGTGCACGCATGCACGCGTGCATAAATACGAGTACGAGAGCGAACGAATTTTTTCCTTTTTCGTCTTACTTCTTCTTCTTACTCGGCAAATGGAACGCGTGAGCAATGATATAAAAGTTTATTGCCACGCTGCATCGGTAGTAGTAAGTAGTATGTACTATGTATGTATAACAGCGGTGCTCGCTCCGAACGTGTATCGCAGATCGCGCTACTTCGCGAATACTCGCTAAATGGATATAATGCAACTTGGCGCGCGCGCGAGCAACAACGCGCCGCTTCTTTTATTCTTTATTTTTTTTTTCTTAATTTTCGAGCGCAGCGCGGAACTTTTAATACGCACGCACGCGTTAAATGGAAGAGAGAGAGAGGCTCGCGATCCCATATTGCCCATATAAACGCGCACATACACATATAATACGGAGCAAGCAGAGGCCGGGCTCGAATTTTTTCACATTTCTGCTGCACTGCAGCGGCTCGAGATACGTGTGCTACGTGCGCGCACACAGACACACACACACACACACACAGGGGCGAGCGCGTTATTATTAGTACGTATATACACTGCACTATACAGACGGTGCGCACGCCGCGTACTTTCACCTCTCTCTCGGTGCGCGCGATATTATAATGCACGTGTAGGCCCGCACCAAAGTTTAACGCGCTCGATGGGTAAGTAATGCGTGCCCCGTATTATATACCGATCGTATTTAACGCCGTGATTATCCTTGACGTTATCATCGAGAGCCGAGATATCGGCGGAGGAGACGAAAAATCGAAAATATACTCGATATTATGAGTGCTATTCTACCAATTTTTTTCCTATATTATGCGAGCTTGACCGATCGATCCCGAATATACAGCTATTTTTACGAGGAACAGGTTGAAAGCCGGGAACGATTCACGTGTATAATATATACGAGAGATCGGCACCAACGCTTGCGTATACATTGCGAGGGGTGTGCGCGTACCTAAAAATCGGATTATCCGAAGTTTTAACACGACGATCATCGGGTTTCGCAACGGCTAATTGGCTAAATTAGAAAAAATTAGATACGTTAAAAAAGCGAGATCAAAACTGAACGACGTCGAGACATAAAAACCAAAATCGAAATTTTCGAATTTAAACTTTATGTAGACTACGCAATCGATAGTGAGTTAATAAAAAACGAGCTTAGTGAGTCTGCGCAAAGGTAACCAGGCTTTTTTCCCGGCCATCACTACTTGTCACTTTTCTGATTTTCCTGCCTCCAGTCAAATCAGTAAAGTGACCAGTAGTGACTCGACTGTGAAAAAGGCTGTCCAGTGTCCACCAATCTTCCGTGCGCTACACGCGTTCGTGTGGATCGCTCCGTACTCGATCGAACGAAAAAAAATAAAGTTATTCCGTGTGTATACGTACACGTTGCACGTCGTCGCAGTACAGCGTGAACCAAAAAGTAAAACTATTTCATTGTGTAGTGTGTGTATGCGCGCGCGAGTGCCCAGAACCATGTCCTCGTCCGACGAAAGTATCGACGATCACCTCTACAACTATAATTATAACTATAGTTATAACAAAAAAGCACAAGATCTCTCTAATCCCGAAAAAATAGAACGTTTAAAGATCAAACGCGAACGGGTCGATTGGGACGACAGAGAGGAGCTGCGTAAATTTCTCACGCACGTACTGTATCCCGTAGCCATATTTTGGCAAGGCCCACCACCCGATCTCCGAGAAATTTTCAGCGCGAGAGAGATCGAAGCGCTTCTCTTGGATTCCGTGACGTACAAACGAACGGAGATCGACGCGATTTATCAGCATGGAAGACGATTCGTCGAGTTCGTGGCTCGCGCGGGTTACAAGCACGAGCCCGACGACGTCGACGAGCACGGCCGGCCGATATTGTGTCGCACGACGGCACTGAATTACGGGTCTTACCTGGGTCCCCAACTGGCCAACTACCTGTTTCAAATTTACAACAGATTCGACCTCAATTACATGGACGACGCGGGTTTGACGCATTTTCATGTGGCCTGCGAGCATGGCTCGGTCGACGTCTGTGAGAAGTTTCTCGAGCTCGGACAGAACCCGAATTTACCGGCGCGAGAGTACGTCCAACCGCCGCTGATTTTGGCTACGAAGTACGGAGGCGCAGAGGTGTTCGAGTTACTGCTGAGGAATTACGGCGCCAATCCGAATTTGGCCGATATAGAAGGAACGACGTCTCTGCACTTTATCGCCAAGGATCTCGATCGAGGCCAAGATTTGATGAGGATATTGTTCGAGTTCGGCGACAACGATGATCGTTCGGTGAAAATCGATGCCCGGGATAATTCGGGCGACACACCGTTGCAATGGGCGGTGCGCTATCAAAACCGACCGATGATCGCGTCGCTGTTGGAAAGAGGCGCGAGTCCGAATTCTGCCAACGCGGAGGGTTTTACACCTCTGCACGATATCTGTCGGAGATGCAGGGACGACGGATCGATCGAGCTGTTCTTCGAGATCAACGCCAAACTCCATCGGTGGGTGCGGATCAATGGGCCGCGGCGAGGTTCTTGCCGCGCGCGCTCGACGCGGTCTTGGATCGTGGCGCCGACTTGTCCGACTTCTTTTTTCCCGACGAGGATGCCTTCGTCGAGAGACGATCTTCCAAAAATACGTTCTGTCCCGCGGATCTGAGACTGGCGGCCGGCGCTCCGGCGGTGGTCGATAGACTGACGAAAAGAGGATACGAGCCGAGCCGAAGCGACTTGCTGACAATCATGAAATTTTTCGCCAAGGAGGGATTGCTCGAGAAGTCGAGCGCGGATCATCCACTCGACGAGGAGTCGCTGAAAAAAGCGGAAAGCATAAGGTTGAGTCCGAGTCTGTCGCTCGACGAGCTGGTTCGCTTGCCAGCCGGCGAGGCGGAGAAACTCACGTACGAGTACTTCGTGGAGTTCACGACCCACGGTCACTACTTCCCCGAAAACGAGGCTTGCGTCGCGCATCTCTGCGAGAAGATAACGAGGCGATTTTTCCGGCGCTGGACACTGCATCCTTTCTGGGAGTTGATAGGCTATCGGCTGCCGATTCTCTGCTGCGAAATGATCATCGAGAAGCTCGGGAACGAAGATTTGTACAATATTTGTTTGGTGGCTGCGGGTCAAAGCCATGAAGATATTAAAAATAATGTAATAGTAAATGTAATAGAACGTCGCAACAAGAGACCCAGGAGAGCTAGGAAAGCTCCAAAGAGGCTACAAACTGCATGGCCAGTTAGGAAAGTTCCACAGAGGCTAACAATTGTATTGCGAAAATTTTAAAAGTTCTTTTTGATTCTAGTTATTAAAATGAGAGATTCGTTGCTTTTGTATTATTTTTCGATGTTTAGTGCTGATAAGCGTGAATGATTTTTTTTATCAAATGAATAAAATAAAATAAAATATATAAAATAAAAATTGAATTCATTGATTTGTTCGAGTTTTAACTTTTTTTATACCTATTTATATACATATTATCCACACATATTCATCTATGTAAATATAAAATAAGCACAAATGCCCCCGTACACGTAACTCAACACGCCTCGGCCGACAGCCGATATACACTGCACATTCGACTTGTTTTTCCCTCAATTATCCTCGAATTCCAAGCTCTATCATACACAGGCAGGCCCGAAAAATATATCCTACGCCGTACGAGATCGAGAAAGATCCATGTCTTTGAATTCGCACCGCGCACATAATATATCGCGTACTTAATATAGTGCTCGCGTACATTAGCTCTTCTGTAAGATGTGTGTGTGTGTGCGTGCGTGTACGATATACACGTGTACACACGCGCGCGAGATCATAATCTCCGACCGCGTCTTACGGAGCTCGATCGCTACCGATCGGCCGATCTTTCAATCCGATCTCGTACCGATATATAAACTCGATCGAGAACGAGACTCGCTCCTCGGCGAGCTAGCCGATCCCGGAAGTTTCGCGCTACGTGACTACATTATAGAATTTATATCCTGCATAATAGATACGGTTACGGCTCACGGCTTATACGGCGGCTAAGTAATGGCGATAATGTATCCCATAGCATTTATACGAGCCTCTTAATTAGCCACCCCGCGCCGTACATATATATGAAATAATAATTTTCTCTAATTTTTCACCTATCGCATCTAAAAAAAATTATACGTATATGTTGGGGATCTTGTATATAGGTGGAGCCCGAAGGCACATCGGCCCTGGACGACGAGTCGCGGGTGCTGTTCCTGGACACGGTGCGGCGCAGCAACGCCGCCTGCCAGGCGGGCGACTACGGCCTGGCCGCCAGCCTGTACACGGAGGCGCTGGGCCTCGACCCGGCCAGCCACGTGCTCTACTCGAATCGCTCGGCGGCCCGCCTCAAGATGGGCATGTTCGCGCTGGCGCTGCAGGACGCCGTGCGCGCCACCGAGCTCAGCCCCACCTGGCCCAAGGTACGCGATAATATTACAAAGATCATTGGTATACGCCGTAATAAAATAATAATAATTAGTGGCTTTTATCTCCGTACGGCGAGTATACGCCATATCTATTTCTCGCTCTCTTGTTTCTTTTTCTTTTTTTCATCTTATGTACTTACGCACGTACTCCACACCGCGCGCAGTTTATTTTTCATCGCGGATAACTCGTTCTCTCTCTCTCTCTCTCTCTCTCTCTCTCTCGCTCTGCATATCGTATATACACGTATATAATAATATATATAAATACACGGCTCACGCGCGCGCGCAAGCGTGTTACATAGGTAGCAAACCTGAAATCTCTCTCGGGTCGTATATATAATATACTCGTGTGCTGCTTGCAGCAGCGGTAGCAACAGCCGAGCGAAGAATGAAAAATGAAGATACCACTTGTCACCGGTAATACCTTTTTTTATTTCGCGCGCCCGAGCGAGCGGCAGGTATTATTATTATATATAGCCGCTGCTGCAGCGAAATTCTTCTATTATATTGGGGGCCTCGTCGCTGGGTCTGTGTGCAGCGGGTCGCATATCATGCATTCCCCAATACGAGATCGTTGAACTTTTATAATACATAAAACGTGGGCTTTGTATACCGCGTCTGACTGTCTGTGTGTGTGTGTGCGCGTATCGCGATATATAAACATACCGATCGTCGCACAACACGCGCGCGCGCGCGCGCAGGCGGCAAAAGGCCAATGGTGTATATATAGAAGGTAGAAGCAGAGAGAGAGAGAGAGGAGAAATGACAGAAAAGACATTTGTGTACATTTTTATGTAGGAAAAAAATTTGCGTGCGCGTATAGCTACGTATATAAGATCTCCAAAGCGGCATCCTTTGATGAGATTCTCTCGCTCTCCGTGGTAGTGTGTGCCGACGAGGAACTGCCCGTTGCCGCTGCATCCTGCGCGTATATGACGTCACAAAGGACCGACTTTACCGCGAGCAGCATCGACGTTTGACCAAATTGCCAACAAGACGTTTCCTTTCTTTCATTTTTCTATGCTGCTTTTTTTCCTCTTCTATTCTTGCTTTTTGATGTTTTTGTTTGATTTGACTCAACTCGGCCTGTGCCGCTGCGACACGCGTATACACATTAATAAAATGCGTGATCGGCAATCTAGTCATTTCGGTAATATATTCGTTTGTATCGGTAATATAACAGGAGCTGCTACTGCTACCGAGATGAATTAATAATAGCTGTGTGAGCTTTTATATACAAAATATCATGATATAATATACACGGTTGTATATAATACATTTAACTGGCTGAGCTTTTTGACAAGATTATAATGCCTCCAAACCGAAAAAGTGACTCCTCTTATAAGCCTTTATCTTTCTCTCTCTCGCGCGAGCGCTCGTTTTATTTATCTTATTGCGTCGTTTTAATAATTCACAATCCTCGGGGACTTCCCGTCTTACGCACTATAATACATTAAATTACACGTGTCCTCTCCTAGATTTCACACTATCACCGCGATTTATAAAAAAAATAACATTCATTTACAGGCGTACTATCGTCAAGGCGTAGCTCTGCAATGTCTCGGCCGCTACGCCGACGCCCTCGTCGCTTTCAGCCTGGGACTGGCGCGCGAGCCCTCCAACGGCCAGCTGCTCTCGGGCCTGATCGAGGCCACGCTCAAGTCGCCGCTGCGGCTCAATCTCGAGCCGACCTTTCAGCAGCTGCGGGCGATGAAGCTGGACGAGTCGCCGTTCGTCGTGGTGTCGGTGGTGGGCCAGGAGCTCCTCGGCGCCGGCCAGTATCGCGCCTCGGCGCACTGCCTCGAGGCCGCCCTCGCAATCGGCTCGTGCAGTTTGAAGTTGCGCGGCAGCGTATTCTCCGCGCTGTCGTCGGCCTACTGGGCCATGAACTCGCTGGACAAGGCCATCAATTACATGCAGCAGGATCTTGGTGAGTCGCATTTTCGAGCGTACGCGTCAGGTTTTCGACTTTTGAAATTTCGTTTCGTTTAGGCCTGATATAATGAGAGACCGAAGTTGAGAGAAAAAAACATTTAAGAAATGAATTAATGTGGAATTTTGTCAATATTGCCCTCGTGCATTTACCTAGGTTACTTAATGTACTACAATAATGAACGAAAAGTCTAAAAAAAATTAACACGAATCAGACAAATAAAAACCTTCTGTATTTTAACCCTTTAACGCCTGAAATGATCATTTTTGGACAACATTTATAGCGATGAATAACACCGACTAGAAATTGTTTGAAAAACTTTTCAGACATGATTTCTCACGTAAAATTTGATGTACTTTTCGAATCCGGAGTCAGAATCTAAAAAAAAATTATTAGATAAAAAGTTATAAACAATTTTGTAAAAAAAAACATAAAATTTCGAGAAAAAAATCTCGTTTAACTCAAATTTCAACACGGAAAAAAGGTTCGCTCGTGCGTCTCACGCATATAAATTTGGTCAATGGCTTGTATACTTTATTGTAAACAGTTATAATTACGAAAATCAAAATGGTGATCATAAATTTGACTCCCGAAGACCTGTATGTCATAAAATGATTTCGACAATTTTTAACTCGATAACCATCAACTTTAAAAGAAAAAGTTGTAGAATAAAAAGTGTTTAGAATTGATCAAAGAATATGCCTGAATTTTTTCAGAATTTTTGGAGCGATTTTTGGATTTCTGGATAAAACCATTTTTTCAAAAATCCAAAAATCGTTCCAAAAAATTCTTGAACGTTCTCAGTCCAAATCAAAAATTAAAAATGAAACCTATCGTGTTGAAATTTGAGTTAAACGAGATTTTTTCTCGAAATTTTATGTTTTTTTGCAAAATTGTTTATAACTTTTTATCTAATAATTTTTTTTAGATTCTGACCCCGGATTCGAAAAGTACATCAAATCTTACGTGAGAAATGATGTCTGAAAAGTTTTTCAAACAATTTCTAGTTGATGTAATTCATCGCTATAAATGTTGTCCAAAAATGGTCATTTCAGGCGTTAAAGGGTTAATATAGATCTGTATTTCTGTATCCGATCCGGACTTACGGTGCGATTCGATAATGAATTTTGTTTCAACACTTCTTTACACAAAAACCCAAACGCAGCATATTTGGTTGTTCATTGTCACTTTATTGCACTTTTTAAAACAATAATCGAGTTTCAAAAATTTGATTTATGCACATCTGCATATTTTGTACGTGTATATATAGGTGCCGTGATGCACCTCACGAAAACACTTGAAATGTCCTCATCATCATCGCGAGCTTTGACTCAGTTAGTTTACGCTCGTTCGTCGATTGGCTGCTCGACGATGCGGTTGTTCCCGTTGTGCAGTAGATCGAATCCCCAGCGCCGGAAAAATCCTCTCGACAGTTTGTCGCACAGATGCCGAGCGCAGACCTGCCGATGCTCGGGGTCGCGCAGCCACGTCAACTGGTTCGTCAGCCCGAACCTCCAGTAGTCCGAACACGTGAGCGATTGTTCCGCTTCCTCGGGTCGCAATCGCACCAGGTCGTAGAGCGACAGGCCCGGAACGAACGTTATCCCTGGCGCGTCCATCGCGAACTCCTCGTTGTCGTACCAGGACAAGTCTTCGGGGTCCAGCGGTTCCTCGAACAATCTGTTCCTGGCGAAAAAGTTGTGGACCGTCCAGACGTTGTCCGGGCTCATCTCGTATCCTCTGGCCTCGAGATGCTCGACGACGAGCAGAGCACTCGACGCCTGTCTCAGTAGAAAATTTTCCGGCGATTCTTCGCATCGCGCCGCGCAAAGATCGCCGAATTGGCGCTCGCTGGGGAAAACGAAGTTGGCCAGGCTGGCGCCGCGAGCGAAGAGCAGGTCGACCAGGCGCGGCTTGAGATTCGCCACGGCCCAGACGAGCGCCGTCCAGCCGAACCTGTCTTTGGCGTCGATCTCCAACGGGTGCCGGATCTCGTCGATCACGTCGAAGAACAACTTGGCCGTTCTAAAATCGTCGTTTCCCATGCAAACGTGGTGCACGGCGTTCAATCGATCGTCGTCGACCTGAGTCGGATCCGCGCCGTGTCTCAGCAGCGTCGCGGCCAGCTCCCTCTTGCCGTGGTACAGAGCCCAGTGCAGCGGCAATTGACCCCCCGGCATTACGGAATCGTTGGGATCCGGCCCGGCGCCGTCGACCGCGCGGAGCTCGAGAAATCTTCCAACGTCCGAGTGGCAGTCGGCCAGGCAGGCCACCTGGAAATGCGTAAGGCCCGACGCGGGATCGACGTAATTCACGCTCTGGCCGTATATCGCGAGCAGATTCGCAACGAGCTCTTCTTGGTTTTGCTCGCATCGAGCCGCGTGATGTATCGGAGTGGTGCGAAGCACGAGTGGCGCGCCGTTTTCGTCGACGGGGGGGACGTCCTCGTAGCCGCTGCGCGCCACGAAGTCGACGAACGCTTCTCGATCGAGTGCGTCTTCGACGCTCTTGAGTGGATATTCGCATTGAAGATAAAAAAAAAATACTATTTTAGAACGAAATTTATAAAGGGAAAAAGTTGTGCTTGATTACTACATTTTGATGTTATTAAAGTGTTTTTTACCAATGGCAATGGTGATGTCCTCTGAATAATGTCACTGAGAAGCCAATCGATTGCTTCGGGACGAAATATGTCCCGGAGATTTGGACGTTGGCCTCTGTAATTTCTGATCAAAGGATAAAGTTGACGAAGAAATTCGTGACTCTCTTGTCCGATCTCCCGATTCTGGTTTTGGTTGTCTTGGGCCATTGTTCAGCACTCGTTCTTGGTCGAAAAACACGATCGCTTGTTAAGTACAAAAAATAATTTTACTCTCGATCACTTGCTGAGGTCGACGCGTCGCTTCACTGCTCGCGACACTTTGCTGTTTACGCTCGGGTGTCACAACGTGTTCTGATAATTATATACAAATTTATCACACTGAATCATCACTGAATTTATCTAAACTGAAAATATAAAATTGTATTGTTTACGAAAGCACTATTGTAAATCCAGTGACTTACAGCAATAATAACTGCTACTAGATTTTTTAGTCGAAATCAAAAGTCTTAATAATCATACTCCTAAGGCGACACATTTGTATCAATTCCTGTTAATTATATGGGTGTAATTTACATCAAAAACAAAAAATTACATTATTAACATTAAAATTATGTTCTTATACGAATCTTTTTACATCAGAAAATATGTTACTCGTACCTTTAATTATTTAAATTAGTTCAGGATTTATTAATGATGTCTAATGATTTCCTGTGCTACATGAATTAGAATGCAATTCTTTACCCCAGGGGTCTCAAAAGCTTTTCATAAAACATTCTCCTCCACTTAAGTTGAACAGATGTTTTATTCAATTATATATTCAATCTACCATATTCAAAAACTAACAATAAGTGTTGAAAAAAACCTACTTTTGGCATTTTTGTATGTAAAAACACTTCCCAACCTTTCTGAAAATCATGCTCCATTTAAGGTGGCTCATCAGTAAAACGGGTCGACAACAGATGTTTATGAAACTTTGCAGAAATGTCATTTGAAGTTCCCTTGATATGTTGTAGAAATTTCAGCACGGGTTATCGAACAAATTTTTGGGAACGAAGCTGTTGAAAATAGCAAATTTAACATCTCTTATGGGAGGCCATCATAATTTCATACATTTTACGCCATAACTTTTTTATTGAACAACAAATCTTAACCAAAAATGAGTATGTTATGCTTCGAGTCACTACCTTTCGATAAGTATGTTAAAAATTACCCCTTATCGAACTAACTAATGAGTAATTAAACAAAATGTGCGTAAAATCATTGATTTCGATAAGTGCGAGCGGTTACTTGCCTAATGCGAGAAAGAGACAGACATACGCCTCGCTGTACTAATGTTATGATTACTGACTAGCCACCTTAAATGGAAGAGAAATCTATAATAAAAAATTTAAGACCCCAGTTACCGAAATTAGTCAAAAATTGCATTCAGATTCATGCAGCATAGAACTCTGCCATTCATAGTCATTATAGATGAATTCTGGACTAATTTAAAGCATGAAAGGTACTACAGATATTTTTAGACGTAATGTACGCCCCCCCTCATATGAAAAATAATAAGTGATCTTCACTAGTCGGCAATAGTGATGGATACTTTTATCGCTGTACTATAGAGCGCTCTAGTAACCACCTCCAGAACTCATAGTGCCAAGAACGATTTCATATTTTCAGTGTACCCGTAGCACCAGGGTGAAACAACGAGAATGTATTTGAATCATTGAATTACGGTGACGATTAAAAAGTCCAGCGTAACTGAGGAGCCTCTCGCGTGTTCCTTTAGCGTATGCGTGGGGGGGACTACGACAATAATAACACATGACCATAGGCATAATTGTAGTTCCTATACTTTAATTTTTATACTATTACAACGACTCCAACTGTGTGCGTGTGCGAGTTTACACGGCGAGTAAAAAGTCAGATGTACACGACATTACACAAGACGCTGTAAAACATAGAATCTCAATCAGCAGCTGCGACCATAGAACAATGTTTGAACGTCATGCATCTTATCTGTGTGTGTTTATATATAGTTCGTGCAAGACATGTGCTTATCTCTCTCTCTCTCCACATCTAGATCGTAGGCGTGTGGATTTTTTTTTAGTACACGTTACGAAGCCGTAGCGTCATCAGCTTGCCTGATAGGCAGAGATCGCATCGATATAAGTGATTTTTGTGTAAAAAAAGATGTAAAAATTATAAGCGTCGTCTGTGCCGTTGTGTTGTGAGTGCGTGGGACGATGTCCGCTAGCGACGAAGCCGGCGTCGAAATCGACGAAATCGATTCCGACCGCGTGGTGGATACTCTTTATCAACAAAATATCGACAGATTGAAGCTCGCGCGCTCGACAGTCAATTTCGAAATCAAAGAGGAGCGACACGATTTGGTGTTCAATCGACTTTATCCCTTGATTAAAAATTGGCAGGGTGCCTATCCAGATCTTCGCGAGGTCTTTCGATCCAACGAGATCGAGCGTCTGCTCTTCGATTTCATCGATCACTACACCATCGATGGAAATATACACGACAACGTTCGTTACAAAAAATGGAGAAAATTCACCGTGTTCGTGATCGAGAGCGGCTACAAAGACGAGCCCGAACTCGACGAGGACGGCAAGCCACTGGTGCGTCGCGTCACACCGGCGCTCGGAGCGGTTCGTCGAAGGCCCTACCACTGGGTATGGATGTTGAATCATTTCTTCAAGATTTACGCAGGGCGCGACGCGATCAATTACGTGGACGCAGAGACGGGCTTGACGCATCTGCACCTGGCCTGCTTGGTCCGCGACGGCGGCTTAGAGCCGGCTAGACGATTCCTCGAGCTCGGCGGCCGAGAGGACGCGAATCGCGTGGAGCGCGACGCGGGCGAGACGCCGCTGCACAAGGCCGCGGTCTTGGATCGCCGGGAGATGGTCGAGCTGCTGCTGCGACACGGCGCCGATCCCGGCGTGGCCAACAAATACGGCCTCGCACCGATACACGCTTCGTGCATGCCGGGTTGTCAAGGGGACGGCGCGCTGAGGACGTTGCTCGAGTTCGCCGACGGCCTGCAGATCGACACCCGGGACAAGCTCGGCAACACGGCGCTGTACTATGCTCTGCTGAGCGGCAACGAGAGGGCGGCCCGACTGCTGCTGCACCGAGGCGCCGATCCCAACGCGATCTTCCACGCGGGACTCACGGCTCTGCACCTGATCTGTCAGCGAACTCGCGAGGATCTCTACGACGTCGCCGTGTTGCTGTTCAAGCTCACCCGCGAGAAGCAAGGACGGCCGTTGCGGGTGATCGACGCGCGAGACAAGAAGGGGGGCGACACGCCGCTGCTGCTGGCGCTGAAGAATCGACACGCGCGGCTGGTGGAGCTGCTGCTGCGACAGGGCGCCGATCCGTACGCCGCCAACAGCGAGGACGGCGACACGCCGCTGCGTCATCTGGCCCGGAAGAACACGCGCGAGGACTTGGCCATGCTGAAGCTGTTCCTCGACGTCACCGAGCGCACGGAGTTGCGCAGGCTGAACGTGGACGTTCGGGACGAGTCGGGCTGTACGCCGTTGCAGCTGGCTCTGGGCTGCGGCAAAAAGGCGACGGCCGAATCGCTGCTGAGACGAGGCGGCGCCGATCCGAACGCGGCCGACAAGAACGGACGCAGCGCTCTACACTGGATTTGCTGGAGAATCGAGGACGATGACGACGACGACTTGATAGAGGCGTTCTTCCGGATCAACAATGAATTGAATCAGCTGGTTCGGCTCGACGCCCGCGACAAGTCGGGCGACACACCGCTGCACTTGGCCATGCGTCGCGGCAACAAGAGGGCGGTCGAGTCGCTGCTCCTGCGAGGCGTCGATCCGAATGCAGTTAACGAGCAGGGCACGACGCCTCTGCACCAGCTCGTGACGCACCGAGTCGAGAACGGCACGCTGGAGAAGTTCTTCGAGGTTTGCGCGGCGCAGGGCAGACGGGTGCTGGTCGACGCCCGCCACGGCGATTGCAGGGGCCACATGACGGCCTTGCATCGCGCCCTGTACGACGGCTCCACGGGGCTGGCCAGCCTGCTGCTGAGCGAGGGCGCCGATCCCGGCCTAGCCACTGCGGACGACGGATCGACGGCTCTGCACTTAATGTGCGCGAGGGCCGAGAAATTCGTGGACGAGGACGACGTCGCGTTCGAGGAGAAGTTCTTCGAAATCTGCGCGGAGCGGGGCAGGTGCGTGCGGGTCGACGCGCGGGACGCGTCGGGCCTGACGCCGCTGCAGTTGGCCGTCGCGAGGTTACATTCGCGCATGCTTCGCGTCCTCCTGGCCAACGGCGCCGACCTGTCCGGCTACGATTTTGCCAACGACGGGATCGAGACCTATCGGTCCCCGACGGAGGACCCGACGCATCCCGCGGCCAAAGCGAGACTGGCCTGCCGGCTGCTGATCTGCGTCGAGCTGCTCGAGGAGGCGGGCTACCGGCTGAGCCGCGCCGACGTCATCAAGTTCATGCGATACTTCGTCGAGTTCGAATTGTTCGAGAAGGCCCGGCTGGATCCCGAGGACGACGCCGCCTGGTGCAACCAAGAGGAGTTCGCCGGCATGGCCAAAGAGACGATGATCAATCCGGATCTGTCGCTCTACCAGCTGGTGCGAATGCCAGCCGAGGAGGCCGCGAAACTGCTCACGTTTCAGGGCTATTATGACTTGATGCGCTCGACGATGTTGTATCAGTGGCCCGAAGGGCCTTTGATCGAGGCCTGCGCCGTTCATTTGGCCGAGAAGATATCGAGAGGATTTTTTCGGCAACGGGCGCTCGATCCATTCTGGGAGTTGATACGGTATCGGCTGCCCATCGAGATCTGCGAGATGATAATCGAGGGGCTCGACAACGAACATCTGTACAATATCTGCTTGGCTGCTGCCTTGCCCGAGCCGAAGAATCTTCGCGACAAAATCATTACACCATTGAAGTGGCTTGTATATACCTATTGTCTTCAGTTTTTTCAATGTAGTATACATATAATGTTATCAGGATTGGACGTTGTTTTATTTTCCGGTCTCTGTTTATCTATATTTATGGTCGGTATCTATTTTATTGGCTTATAATTCGGGACACCAAAAGTGCAGCATTTCTTAACGAACTGATTTTGTTTTTGTTGTAATTAGTTTACTTTAATTTTTTGAAATGTTTTTTTATTAACTTGTACTCAAAATTTAAACTTAATTCTTCTACTTGCAAGGCTTTACTTGTAAAACAAGAAAACGTCAAAAAAAGTTCAATCGACCGATCTTTGTTGATAATTTGCACTTCCGTGGTTGCGGAAGGTGGTATTAGGCTACGATTATGTCCATGTCCGCATACGACGTGCGCACACCATTCACATTAACACACCTGAAGGAAATATAATTCTTTTATATTGTAATAAGTATTTGTTCATAAATAAATTTAATAAAAAAAAAGAGTTTCGTTTTATTATTAATAAACAAATAGTAGATTTCAAATTGTGTATTCATTGACCATGACACATCAACGAGATAAAAGTTATTTTTACACGTATCAAAAATATACATATTAAAAATAAAAAAATAAAATAAAAAAACATTCGCATGTACTCGAATTTTTCTGACTTGACTTGCATATTCCTTTTATATGTATGCGCGAGGATCGAGACATTCCACAGCGGATTATTTCGTACATAAATATGTACGTCTCGACTGCAACTAAGGCTTAATGAGTATATTACACGCGTCGTACATTACAAAATTTAAACGCATATGTCACTCGTAATAACGGTTAATTAATACACTACGATGCTTCACACATCTATTTATATTAATAAGTACATCGTCTTGAAGAAAAATTTACAATTTTCTCTCTCTCTCTCTCAATGTTCTTCTACGCCGCCATCAGAGGTTGCCCGCTCGCTGGCCGACGTCCCGGGCGAGTGTCGCGCCCACGGCAATCTCGGCTCGGCCTACTTCAGCAAGGGCAGCTACAAGGAGTCGCTCACGGCCCATCGCTATCAGCTCGTTCTCGCCATGAAGTGCAAGGACGGACAGGCGGCGGCCGCGGCGCTGACCAGCCTCGGCCACGTTTACACGGCCATCGGCGATCTGCCCAACGCCCTGGCGTCGCACAAGCAGGCCGTGCAGCTGGTCAAGCAGCAGGCCAACGACAAGCTGCAGGAGGCGCGAGAGATCGGCAACGTCGGCGCCGTTTATCTCGCCATGGGAGAGTTCGATAGCGCGGTTAGTATATATTGCATATGTATACATGTTTAATGACTCCGATGAAAAGATTATTTCATTTTTGAAACTTGGATTGGTTATGATAAATTCCTTTGTAGTTTTTTGCTTCCTGTATTTAAAAATTACATCGTGAAGAAAATAAGGATTTGTTTTTATTTTTGAGAAATTTTAGTTTTTTCCATTGGGTTGTATTGTTATTTATTCATTGTTTTTTTATTTGAGATGCGATTTTGAAAAATGAGCAGGCAAGCATAAATTCTAGATAGAAAACGTTAGGATTCATAGATTATTTTAAAAACTACATCGTGAAGAAGAAATTTTAGTATTTATTCGCTGGGTCTAAGTTTGAATAATTGCTTTATTAGCATTTATAATAAAATTGAAGGGATCATTTTTTTACGAGGAAACTATTTGCCAATGAATTGGCAGCAATTTCGATTCGGTAACGGTTTGTAAAAAGGACCTCCCTGCCTGCAAATTTTCATTTGCTGCTCGCGCGATTCAAAAATATTACTAATTTTGTAGAAAAAAAATTTTGATTTGATTAAGCAAGAATGATCAATGTCATTTTTATCAAAATTTATAGAAATCTTTCACTTAAGCGCCTTCGATCGATTCTGGGTCGCGTGTCATTTGTAGCTAAATTAATCCTCGCCCCAGTTACAGTTCCAAGCAAGTAGTGAAAACAACTCTCGGCTGATCTTTGTATGAATATCTTCAGGAAACAGGCTGCCAAAAAATGAACATAGAAATTAGTACGCGAAATTTGAAATAATCATGACAGTGTACCAATAGTTAAATGATAGTTGAACGTCCGAGGTTTCGGTAATACAGATTTTTTATTCAAATTGGAGAACAACATATGTATTTATACATATTTACAATTGTCAATCATCATTTTATCTCGCGCTTGTGGCACACGTAAGTTTACTGACCTTCGTGGGCTGCCTTTTGGTGATAGAGCAAATTCACTTTTTGTTTAAATTTTTTCTCGCACTTGTCACATGCATAGTCCTTGCGATCGTCGTGTGCTGCCTTTTGGTGGATAAACAAATTAACTTTCTGTCCAAATGTCTTCTCGCATTTGTCGCATGCGTAATCTTTCCGACCATCGTGCACTGTCCTTTGGTGGACGAGCAAATACTGTTTATGCCCGAATTTCTTTTCGCACTTGTCACATCCGTAATCTTTGCGACCTTCGTGTACCGTCTTTTGGTGTGTGAGCAGATGATGTTTAAGCCCAAACTGATTTTCGCATTTGTCGCATGCGAACTCTTTCCGACCTTCATGGACGGTTTTTTGGTGTCTGACCAAATCTCCTTTTTGTCCAAACTTCTTTTCGCAATTATTGCATGAAAAATCTTTGCGACCTTCGTGAATTATCCTTTGATGCCTTAACAACTGTGATTTTCTTACAAAATTGTACTCGCAATAGTCGCATGCGTAATATTTACGACCTTCGTGTAATGTTTTTTGGTGTCTGAGCAAACAGGATTTTTCCGCAAATTTTTTCTCGCACTTGTCACATCCGTAATTTTTGCGACCCTCGTGGACTGTTTGTTGGTGCATTGTCAAATGGCTTCGAAACCCAAATTTTTTCTCGCACTTGTCACAAGCATAATCTTTTCGACCGTCGTGTACTGAGCTTTGATGAAAAAGCAAACTCTGTTTGTGCCCAAATTTTTTTTCACACTTGTCACAAGCGTAATCTTTGCGGCCCTCGTGGACTGTCTTTTGATGTAAAAGCAAAATGCATTTGTATCCGAAATTCTTCTCGCATTTGTCACATGCAAAATCTTTGCGACGTTCGTGGACTGTCTTTTCATGTATAAGCAAATGTGATTTTTGTCCAAATGTCTTCTCGCAATTGTCGCACGCGTAGTCTTTCTGACCTTTGTGTACTGTCTTTTGGTGTTTGGTCAAATTACTTTTATGTCCAAATTTCTTCCCGCACTTGTCGCATCCGAAATCTTTTCGACCTTCGTGTACTGTCTTTTGGTGATCAAGCAAATACCATTCATGTCCAAATTTCTTCTCACAATAGTCGCATGCATAATCTTTGCGACCTTCGTGAACTGCCGTTTTGTGCTTAAACAAACCGTATTTTTGACCAAATATTTTCTCGCACTGGTCGCATGCATAATCTTTCCTACTTTCGTGTACTGTCCTTTGATGGTCAAGCAAGTGGGATTTTTGTCCAAATTTCTTCCCGCAATCATCACATAAGTAATCTTTGAAGACTTTGAGGGCTAAACCTTTCTGACGTTCGTGTACTGTCTTTATATGCAACAGCAAACTATGTTTATTACCAAATCTCTTCGCGCACCTTTCACATAAATAGTCCTTAAAAACTTCGTGGAATATTTTATTGTGCTTGAGTAAAGTTGATTTGTTTTCAAATTTTCTGTCACACTTGTTGCATGAGTATTCGTCGTGATCTTTATGTGTTAATTTTTGGTGCGTCATTAAACTCGATTTTTTCACAAATTTCTTCTCGCACTGGTCGCATGTATAATCTTTGTTGCCTTTGTGAACTGATATTTGGTGCCTACTTAAATGACTTCGGAACTTAAATTTCTCTTCACATTTGTCACACGTGAAATCTTTGTCATAATTACTCAAATTATCTTTTGAGACAAGTTCTTCGGATTTCTTCTCACTGTTATTCATTGTAGTATCCAAATCAAACGATGGATTCTTCTAGTTAGTACGACGGAGAATAACCGAGTCAAATTGATGTTCTCGTAGTATATGTTGTTTCGTCGGTGAACACAACTTTCAAACTAATTTATTTTTAATATAAACATGATCACTATGTCAAGAGACGATAGTAAAAGCGTTAATAACATTGTTTACAAATAAATTATCCATTTATGTGATCATTCATTATTCTCACAAAATTTGAAATTATTTATAATTTAAAATTATGGAAAATTCGTGCAAGGAATTTTTGGGACTCCTAAAACTTGATACGTCCAAAGAAACTCCGACAGACAACACCGAAAAAAACAATTCTACACATTTGCAATAAAAAATTTTAAAATTCATTTCAAAATTTGTCTCCCCTACGCCATGCCCTCATTGACGTACTCCATAACCCTCCACTGTATTTAAAACAAATAGATTGGTAAAAAATTTAAAGCCAATCGAAGTTTTGCTATCATAGTGGTCTTCGCTGAAGAATCCTCCCATATTATAATCTTTTTCATTTCAATATAGGCGAAGCGATAGTATTTCGTTTTTATGTACATCTCAAATATTGGTATAATGATCGGTATCGTTCACCTCCAACTCTGTCCACACAAGTCGATTGTCACACTCAGCTCTTGCGCATAGCTCGCCGTCTCGGCGACAAGGTTTAGGGGAATCAAGCCACCTTGAAACTTAGATTGGTTATAAAAAATATTTTTTTAGTTTTATTTTTATGGTGAATTGGAAAAAGTCCTCGTCCCCTTCACTCAAATTTTCATTTGTCGTTCACGCGATTCAAAAACATTTATCACAGCTTAGATTTTTAGAAAAAATTTAAAAAAAGTTTATCGATTTAAATTAAATTATTAAATAGTTTCCACGTTGATTATTTTCAGATAGAACATATGGTCGTAGCAGAAATAACCATTGTTTACCGGCAAAAATTTATCAAAATCTTTCGGTGTCATTACGCGAGATTTAGCAGAAGTCCAGTAGCTACATGAATACTTGCCTTATTTACAGTTCCAAAAAAACGTAAACAAAATTCTCGGCTGATCTGTACATAAATAGCTGCAGGAAGCAAGTAGCCAAAAAATGAACAAATATTAATAATTAGTAGTGCGCGAAATCTGAAATTATCACGTCAGTGTACCAACAAAGGTGTAATAATAATTGAACGCTCGAAGATTAGGTAGTACAGATTTTTTATTGAAATTTTAGAAAAACATATGTATTAATACATATTTACAGTTGTCAAATATCATTTCATTTCGCGCTTGTCGCGCATGTAATCTTATACTGACATTCGTGAGCTGCCTTTTGGTGATAGAGCAAATTCACTTTTTGTCCAAATTTTTTCTCGCACTTGTCACATGCAAAATCTTTGCGACCTTCGTGTACAGTTCTTTGGTGGGAAAGCAAATTAAATTTTTGTCCAAATTTCTTCTCGCATTTGTCGCATGTGTAATCTTGGCGATCTTCGTGTAACGTCTTTTGGTGGGTGAGCAGATTCTGTTTATGCCCAAATTGATTTCCGCATTTGTCGCATGCAAAGTCTTTCCGACCTTCATGTACGACCTTTTGGTGTTTGGTCAAATTATGTTTAAGTCCAAATTTCATCTCGCACTTGTCGCATGCAAAATCTTTGTGATTTTCGTGGATTGTTTTTTGATGTGCGAGCAAATGCGGTTTTTGTCCGAATTTCTTCTCGCATTCATTACATGCGTAATCTTTTCGACCCTCATGGACTGTTTTTTGATGTACGAGCAAATGCTGTTTTTGTCCAAATTTCTTCTCGCACTTGGCGCACGCGAAGTCTTTGCGACCCTCGTGGATTGTTTCTTGGTGTCTGAGTAAATGCTGTTTCTGTGCAAATTTTTTCTCACACTTGCCGCATTCGTAATCTTTTCGACCTTCGTGGACTGTCTTTTGGTGATTAAGCAAACGCCATTTCTGTCCAAATTTCTTTTCGCATTTATTGCATACGAAATCTTTACGGCCTTCGTGAACGGTTGTTATGTGTAAAAGCAGAACCGATTTATATCCAAATTTCTTCTCACAATAGTCGCATGCATAATCTTTGCGACCTTCGTGTACTGTTTTTTGATGTACGAGCAAATGCTGTTTTTGTCCGAATTTTTTCTCGCACTTGTCGTGTATGTAATCTCTGTAACCTTCGTGGACTGTCTTTTTATGAGAGAGAAAGAGGGATTTTCGTCCAAATTTCTTCCCACAATCATCACATAAGTAATTTTTAAAGACTTTGAGGGCTAAATCCTTCTGAATTTCGTGTACTGTCTTTATATGCAACAGCAAACTATGTTTATTACCAAATCTCTTCGCGCACCTTTCACATAAATAGTCCTTAAAAACTTCATGGAATATTCTTTTGTGCTTGAGTAAAGTTGGTTTATTTTCAAATTTCTTCTCACACTTGTTGCATGAGTAATCGTCGCGATCTTTGTGACTTAATTTTTGATGCGTAACCAAACTCGATTTTTTCACAAATTTCTTCTCGCACTGGTCACATATATAATCTTTGTTGCCTTTGTGAACTGATATTTGGTGCCTACTCAAATGACTTCGAAATACAAATTTCTTTTCGCACTTGTCGCACATGAAATCTTTTTTTTCATTGTGAACTGTGTCTCGGTGTGTTATCATGCTGGATTCCAGTGTAAATATCTCCTGACAAACATCACAAACATATTTTTTGTTGTCTGAAACAGCAATGTCGTGCTCACTCAAATTATCCTTTGCGACAACTTGCTCGAATTTCTTCTCGCTTTCATCCATTTTGATGTTTGATTAAAACGATGGATCTTTTGATTTGTGCTCCGAAATTTAATAAGTAAATTTCGATCTTCCTGTATTATGGCTAATTTCACCGGTACAGACGACATTCAAACTAATTTACTTTCACAACAAACATGATCAGTGTATCGAGAGACGATGACAAAATCACGAATGTTAATATCGTTTACGAATGAATTACTGATTTATCTGTTTATACTATATATTGTCCGTAAAATACTGAAACAGTCATAATTCAAGCTTACTGACGATTTATGACGAGGCGTTCGCAAGCAAAGCCAAAGAGATGATGATCAATCCAGATCAATCGCTCTACCAGATGGTTTGATTGCGACCCTAAGAGACTGCGTACATCTGGCCGATAAGACAGCGAGAGGATTTTTTCGGCAACGGGCACCGTATCTATTTTGGGAATTGATAAACTACACCCGCTGATGAAAAGATTATTTCAGTTTTTGAACTTGGATTGGTTAATTAAGATATTTTTATAGTTTTTTTATTCGGTAACGGATTGAAAAGGCCTCTCCCCCCCCTCAAAAAAAAACATCATGTTCACTAATTTTGAAGAAATGCAGGAAACATTTTTTGGTTTATATTAAATTATTCAATGCCTCCCACGTTTTTTTTCAGATTGAACATATTTTTATTACTTAACAGGAAAAATCAATGTCCATCAGCAAAAATTTATCAAAATATTGCACTATAACGTGCGTTTGATCGATTTTGGGTCGTTTTTCATTACGCGCGGTTTATCACATGTCATGTAGCTAAAAAGATCCTCGCCCAATCAACAGTTCCAAGCAAAACGTGAACACAATTCTCGGCTCATCTTTGCATAAATAGATGCGGGAAGCAAGTAGAAAAAAAAATTAACAAAGAATAGTAATTATTAGTACGCGAAATATGAAATCACCGCGTTAGTGAAGCAGCAAAGGTGTACTAATAGTTTTACGTCCGAAGTTTAGGTCGTACAGATTTTTTATTGAAATTTTAGAAAAACATATGTCGTTATACATATTTACAATTTTCAAATATTTTTTGCTGCTCGCCCTTGTCGAACGTGTAATCTTACTGACATTCGTGAGCTGTCTTTTCGTGATAGAGCAAAGTCACTTTTTGTCCAAATTTTTTCTCGCACTTTCCGCATGCGAAATCTTTGCGACCCTCATGTATAGTCCTTTGGTGGATAAACAAATTAACTTTCTGTCCAAATGTCTTCTCGCATTTGTCGCATGCGTAATCTTTCCGACCATCGTGTATTGCCCTTTGGTGGACAAGCAAGTTAAATTTAAGCCCGAATTTTTTCTCGCACTTGTTGCATGCGTGATCTTTGCGATTTTCGTGGACTGTTTTTTGGTGGTTGGACAAATCTGATTTTTGTCCAAATTGTTTCTTGCACTTATCACATGCGTAATTTTTGCGACCTTCGTGGACGGTCCTCTGATGTCTGATCAAAGAACTTTGTCGTCCAAATTTTTGCTCACACCCGTCGCATGTAAAATCTTGACGACCTTCATGTACTACCTCTTGGTGCCTTAACAAATCTGATTTACTACAAAATTTTCTCTCGCACTTGTCACACGCATAATCTTTGCGACCTTCGTGGACTGTTTTTTGGTGTCTGAGCAAATTACTTTGGTCCCCAAATTTCTTCTCGCAAATGTTGCATGCGTAATCTTTTCGACCGGCGTGGATGGTCTTTTGGTGTAAAAGCAAATGTGGTTTTTGTCCAAATTTCTTCTCACACTTATCACATGAATAATCTTTTCGACCTTCGTGTACTGTCTTTTGGTGTAAAAGCAAACTCTGTTTGAGTCCAAATTTTTGTTCGCACTTGTCACAAGCATGATCTTTGCGACCTTCGTGGACTGTCATTTTGTGCTTTAACAGATCTGATTTCTGACCAGATTTTTTCTCGCACTGGTCGCAAGCGTAATTTTTTCGACCTTCGTGGACTACTTTTTGGTGGTAGAGCAAATTCGATTTGTGTCCAAATTTCTTTTCGCATTTGTTACATGCGAAATCTTTGTGACCTTCATGGACTATTTTTTGGTGTCTTATCAAAATGCTTCGAACTCCAAATTTCTTCTCACATCCATCACATGCATAATCTCTTTGACCTTCGTGTACTGTCCTTTGGTGGTGAAGCAAGTGCGGTTTTTGTCCAAATTTCTTCTCGCATTTGTCACATGTGAAATCTTTCCAATTTTTGTGCACTGTTTTCAGGTGGAGGAGTAAATGCGATTTTATTCTAAATTTCACTTCGCACTTATTGCACGCGAAATCTTTGCAACTCTCATGTACTGTCTTTATATGCACGAGCAAACTCTGTTTATTTCCGAATCTCATCGCGCACTTGTTGCATTCGAAATCTTTCCGACCTTCGTGTACTGTCTTTTGGTGATCAAGCAAATACCAGTCATGTCCAAATTTCTTCTCGCATTTATCGCATGCGAAATCTTTCCGACCTTCGTGAACGGTTGTTATGTGTGAAAGCAGAACCGATTTATATCCAAATTTCTTCTCACAATAGTCGCATGCATAATCTTTGCGACCTTCGTGAACTGTCTTTATGTGCAAAAGCAAACTATGTTTATTACCAAATCTCTTGGCGCACTTTTCACATAAATAATCTTTGAAAATTTCGTGGAATATTCTTTTGTGTTTGAGTAAAGTTGATTTGTTTGCAAATTTCTTCTCACACTTTTTGCATGAGTAACCATCACGATCTTTGTGTACTAATTTTTGGTGCGTAAATAAACTCGATTTTTTCACAAATTTCTTCTCGCACTTGTCACATGCAAAATCGTTGCTGCCTTTGTGTACTGATACTTGGTGTCTACTTAAATGACTTCGGAACTCAAATGTCTCTTCGCATTTGTCGCATGCGAAATCTTTTTTTTCATTGTGAATTGTGTCTCGGTGTGTTATCATGTTGGATTCTACTGTAAATGCCTCCTGACAAATATTACAAACATATTTTTTGTCGTCTGAAACAACAATGTCTCTCTTGGTCAAATTATCCTTTGAGACAAGTTGCTCGAATTTCTTCTCGCTTTTATCCATTTTTATTCGAGGTTTGAACAAAACGATGGGTCTTTCGATTCATGCACAGAATTTCAATGAGTAAAATTGATCTTTTGGTATTATGGTTTGTTTTCCCGTTAAGACAACATTCAAACTAATTCAATTTTACTATAAAGTGTGTAAGTGTGTCAAGAGACAATGACAAAATCATTAACAATACTTTGTTTACAAACGAATTACCGATTTATCTGTTAATATACTATTCGTTGTCCGTACAATATTGAAACAATTCATAATTCAAGCTTACCGATGATTTCTTCGAGGATTTTTTTGGCTTACTAAAACTATTTACTTCCTACAAACTTCCAACGGAAAACATCGAGTAAATAAATATACGCATTTACAATAAAAATTTTTAAAATATATTCAAACATTTGATGCACTACGTTTCCGTAATTCGCCACTGTCTTTGAAAGAAAATAAAAAAAGACCGGTATATTCCGTTTGATTTCATGGACCGTGTAACTAAAAAAAGAGTGTCGCGACAAAATGTCAAGTACATAAAAAGTCTCAGAGTATTTCTTAAATGGTTTTTTCGACACTTAATTTTTACAGGTCGACTGTCACACGCAGCACCTGCGCATAGCCCGCCGTCTCGGCGACAAGGTCGAGGAGGCCCGGGCCTTCAGCAATCTCGGCTCGGCCCACCACTACAGGCGCAACTACGGCCAAGCGGCGGCCTATCACGAGAACGTGCTCCAGCTGGCCCACGAGCTCGGCGACAAGTCCGTGGAGGCGCGAGCCTACGCCGGCCTCGGGCACGCCGCCCGCTGCGCCGGCGATCTCAAGTCGGCCAAGCTCTGGTATCAGCGCCAGCTCGACATGGCCCTGCAGACCAAGGACAAGGTGACGGAGAGCCGCAGCTGCAGCAATCTCGGCATCGTCTATCATCTGCAGGGCGATCACGACGCCGCCCTGAAGCTGCACCAGGCCCATCTGGCCTTGGCGCGAGCGCTGGGCGATCGGGCGGGCATGGGCAGGGCCTACGGCAACATAGGGAACGCCTACAACGCCCTGGGCTACTACGAGCAGGCCTGCAAGTATCACAAGCAGGAGCTGGCCATCAGCAAGGAGGTGAACGATCGCTGCTCGGAAGCCAGCACCCACGGCAATCTCGGCGTGGCCTATCAGGCACTGCAGAACTGGGACGCGGCTCTCAGACACTATCGCGCCCACCTGTCGATCGCTCGAGAACTCAAAGACGCCCAGGGCGAGGCGTGCGCCCTGCTCAACCTCGGCAATTGTCTGTCGTCGCGCGGACGCTTCGACGAGGCAGTGCCCTACTACGAGACGTATCTCATGCTGTCGCAGGAGCTGCAGGACGTCGAGGGCGAGGCCAAGGCCTGCCACTTTCTCGGCTACGCGCACTACTGCTTGGGCAATTATCGCGAGGCCGTGAGGTACTACGATCAGGATCTGGCCCTGGCCAAGGATCTGCAGGACAAGTCGGGCATGGGTAGAGCCTACTGTAATTTGGGACTGGCGCATCTGGCGCTGGGCAATTTGGACACGGCTCTCGAGTGCCAAAAGTACTATCTGAGTAAGTTGAAAAAAATATGATTTCTCCTTGATGATATCCAAGGTGAAAAATATAACAAAAGATCTTTCAATATATATTAATTAATTCCATTTCCTTATCGATCATTAGCCATCGTCCACATGACCAAGCAAGTATCCGGCAAATTCCGCGCCCTCGGCAACATCGGCGACTGCCTCCTGCGCCTGGGCAATCACGACGAGGCCATCAAGATGCACCAGCGTCAGCTCCAGCTGGCCCGCCAGTCCGCCGACAGGGGCCTCGAGGCCACGGCCTACGGCGCCCTCGGCGCGGCCCACCGCGCCACCAAGAGCCTCGACAAGGCGCTGGGCTATCACACGCAGGAGCTCACTCTGCGCCAGGAGTCGGGCGATCTGCGCGGCGAGTGTCGTGCCCACGGCAATCTCGGCTCGGTGCACATGCAGCTGGGCCAGTTCACGCACGCCCTCAAGTGCTACCGGGAGCAGTTGGAGCGAGCTCGCGAACTGGGCGACTCGGTGGTGGAGGCTCAGGCGCTCGGCAATCTGGGCATCACGAGGGTCAATACGGGCCACTACGAGGAGGCGATCGGATACTTCGAGCAGCAGCTGTTGACTCTCGAGCCGCAGACCACGCAGACGGCCATGCTGGACAAGGTCCAGGCGCTGGGCAATCTCGGCGACTGTTTCGAGGCGCTCGGGGACACGCACGAGGCCGTCAAGTGTCACGAGCAGGAGCTCAACGGAGCGGTGCAGCTTCGTAGTCTCAAGGACCAGGAGAGGGCCTACGGTGGACTAGGCAGGGCCAAGGAGGCGGCTGGTCAGCTGCAGGAGGCACTGGTCTGCTTCGAGAAGCGACTGTTGGCCGCCCACGAGGCCGACAGCCCCTGCGGTCGTGGCGCGGCTTACGGCGATCTGGGCCGAATACACGCGGCCATGGGCAATTACGAGCAGTCCATCGGCTGTCTGCAGCATCAGCTGGCCCTGGCGCGCGAGACCGGTGACAAATACGCCGAGGCCGAGGCTGCCGCTGGTCTCGGAGCGGTGCATCTGCTCAGAGGTGAGCCGCAGGCGGCGCTACAGCAGCATCAAGCCGAGTACGAGCTCGCCGAGAGTCTACAAGCAGTGGGACTACAGGCGCGCGCCTGCGGCAATCTCGCGGCCGTGCACGAGGCCCAGGGTCGCGTCGACGAGGCCATCAGACTGCACGAGAAGGCACTGAGTCTGGCGGCGGCTGCCAGTGGTGCCGATCTGGGCCAGCGCGCCTCGGTCTTCGCCAGTCTCGGGAGGCTGCACCATCTCAACGGCGATCTGGCTCGAGCTCTGAGCTATCTGCAGTCGGGCCTGTCGCTGGCCGAGGGTCTGGGCCACGCCGAGGAGACGGCCAGACTGCGACATCGTCTCGGCCTCGTGCACTGGGACAACGGCGACTGGCCCGGTGCCGCCGAGCAGCTGGAGAAAGCCGCGGCTCTGCTCGAGGCTCAGTCACCCATCACCGGTAGTTCCACCTCCTGGTGCTCGGCAAGATCGTCTTCGCCCCGACTGGCCCAGAAGCCCAGCAAGGCCGAGCTGCTCGGCGAGACGTATCGCGCGCTGCAGCGCATCTGCGTGCACCTGGGCAAGCACGAGGAGGCGCTCTGCTGGGCCGAGCGCGGCCGGCGCGGCGCCAAGGACGACGTCGCGGCCTCGGTCACGGAGCTCGTCGACCGCCAGAAGGCCCTGGTGCTGTACTTCAGCGAGCTCGAGGACGAGCTGCACGCCTGGTGTCTGGCGCCGGGTCGGGGTCTGCTGCGCTTCCACTCGAGCCAGCTGCAGGCCGCCTCGCTGGAGAGACGATCGCAGGAGGCGCGAGAGTCGGTCATCAACGCGGCCGATCAGACCAACAACAACAACAACAACAACAATAACAATTTGGACGCTATGAACGAAGATCAGATCGGCAACGGCTCGTCGGCGACGATCCTACCAGCGAGAAATCATCATCTGAACGCGTCGAGCTACAGTCTGAGCAGTCTGTTCAGCGTGGGCTCGGTCAGCTCGAGGGCCGGAAGTCAGCGATGGACCGCCGCCCAGCAGCGTGGAGGCGGTGGATTGCTCGAGGACTGCTGGCACGTGTTGCCCGCGGCGCTCCAGGGACTGTACGAGCTGCTGATCGGGCCGTTCGAGGATCTGCTGCCGGCACCCAGGAAGGAGCTCGTGCTCGTGGTCGAGCGGGGCTTGTATCTGGCGCCGTTGCCCGCGCTCAGGGCCGATGTCGGTGAGTGGTTGCTTAATTTATAATTATATGATAATCGCAAGAGAGGCAATGATTGTTTGATGTGAAAATTATTTTAAATTAAGTATAATTAATGAAGCAATCAAAAATTGATTAAAATTCCCTCTCACGACAAAAACTAGATTGAAAATTAAATTCAAAATTTACAAGTTACACATATTTCATTCGTCGTACTTTTTTTCCTCTCTTATTTCAGATGAAATATTATTTTCGTTATGTTTCGGAGAAAACGAGTATCGAAAAAATGATGTAGCGTAAAACATCTCGCGTTCTCACATAGTGACTTAATTTGGTGGATAAGATTTTGTATTTTTTACAACAATTGGGTGCTTTTATTAAAAAAAATTAAAGTGTTCTCTTTTTGAACTAATTTATTTAAATGACATGGAATATCAAGAACTTTGAATAATATTGAATATTGTAAAGTACTGCAAATATGTTCATCGTAATCATGAGCTTTGGCCTAAAGCTGCCAAGCAAATCCGTGACATATTTTCGTTCATTAGATGGTCCATGATCTTTTCACAGCAGAGAATCGGCAGCTGATGGCTTGTCATCTCCGAAAAAAATTCTATTGCCCAGCATCGGAAAAATTCTCTCATTTTAACCTCGCACAAATACGCAGCACAAACCTCTTCGTAGCAGCTGACGTCAGGATCGTAATCATAATCAGTAAATGCTTCGAGCAAAAAGTAGTCTGTGTACGTGATCAACTTCATAACTTTTTCAAGTGGCAATTTTACTAAGTCGTAAACCGACAGGCTCGAATTCAAAGTTGTATTTTTGGCCCAGTCTACGAAATATTTGTTGTTACGCAAACATTCGTCAAGATCCGTCATCGCCTTGAAAAATTCGTACTTGATGAACAATTTCACTACGGTCAAGAAGTCTCTTTGTTTGAATTCGTACCCTTTTTTCTCAATGTGCTTGACCATGATCGGCAGTTGAATTAAAAGACATTTGTTGGAAAGGCCTTCAAAGCACTCTTGGAAGTGACTCTCCGTAGGAAAAACGAAGCTGGACAGATCAGCGCCACGTTCCAAGAGTATATCGACGCTTTCCAACTCGAGACACGCTACGGCCCATTGCAGAGGTGTCCGACCCAGCTTGTCCCGAGCGTCGATCTGCATCGACTGATTGAATTCGTCGATGATATCAAAGAATAGCTTCAAGTAGTCATAATTGTCGAGTTTCATGCATATAACGTGCAGAGCATTCCATCCCTCCTCGTTAACCGAGTTCGGATCGGCACCATTTTTTAGCAGCACTCGAACGATCTTTTGGTCATAAATTACGCCAACGGCGTAAAGTAGCGGTGTATAACCAAACTTATCTTTGGCGTTTATCTGCAACGGACGAAGTTTGCTATTGCTGGGCTCGAATAATATGTGAACTAAGTCATTTTTAAATAATGTCCCCATCTTGCAATAAACGTGTAGAGCAGTTTCTCCTTTCTCATCAGCTATATTTGGGTCGGCGCCGCTTTCCAGCAATAATCGTGCCAATTTCGCTTTGCATTCGTACAGAGCCAAGTGTAGCGGCGGACGGAGAGATTCTCGCACTGGGAAATTGGGATCCTGTCCCAGCTCGAGGAATTTCTTGACGATTTGATCACGATCAAATTGACAGGCCACATGAAAATGTGACAATCCAGATTCGTTGATGTAATTTACTTCGAATTTGTCGTATATTTCGAATAGATTATCAATGAGGTCTTCGTGATATGGTTTAGCCGCATAATGCAGTGGTGTGGTGCGACGCAGAATTGGCTTGCCGTCTTTATCGACTTCGGGCTCATCTTTGTAGCCGGTGCAAGCCACAAACTCAATGATAAATGCTCCGTTAAATCGATATTGGGGTGCATACCTGCGGCATATAGAATCCGAGAGAAGAAACTCAATTTCTTTCGTCCGAAAGATTTCTCGAAGGTTAGGCAGTGGTCCCTTCCATTCGTATATAATACTTGCAACTCGACTCAAAAATCCACGACGCTCTTGTTCGATCTCCCAATTGATATTTGCATGCTTCTTCAATTGTTCCAATTTATATTTAGAAGAAACGTCTTCGTCGCGCGAGAACATCTTTCTGAGCACGCACACGCGAACACAGTCGTTTGAGGTATATGAAATACTTTTTACGTTACTCCTCTCGACGGGAATCACTTTGCGCTCGGCGCGATATTTCTTTGTTTGCGGTGCGGCGTTGTAACGCGAACTGGACCGAACTATCCGATGAGCGGCGGGGGACTACCTAATCGATCCCTCACTCCTTCGTCCGCGCATTCATAAACTAACGAACTGCACGACAAAAAGCGAAATGTGAAGTTTTAGAACGCGTCGAGTCCGATGCTTGATATTATTTCGCCGTCGAATGTTTTATGTCGTACTCGACACTCAGCTGTCAGCCTACAATGAAATTTTAGGGGCTACAATGAGAGTTGCTTTTTTTTGAAGCTTAAAGATTCAAAAAAAAACCGTAAAGACGAAAAAATGTAAAAAATCGTTGAAAAATGTTTCTTTTTCTTTTTATAGCTTAATTTAGAATTTAATAATTTTAATTTCTTGCTTGTTTCTGATTGCATGAATTTTTTTTTCATATATTTTGTAAGTAAAACACGTTGTCTCTTTTTGCGTTTCACACATTTTAACATTTTCTCAACTTTTCGACTCAACGAAGAAATTAATATTTTAACTAAAAATCAGTAAAGCAACTTGCGTACCAGCCCGCTGACTTCTCCAATTTTCTCAAAAGAGATTTTTTATTTTGACAATAGTTTGCTCAAGAAAATCAAAACTGTTTCTTTTTTTTAAATTTTATTTATTGAATTATATAGAAAATCTGTAACATCAAATATTATCAAACATAAAAAACGTACCACAAATATGTTCATCGCGATCACGAGCTTTGATCTGCAGCCGCCAAGCAAACGCGAAATAAATCTTGGTTCATCAACTTCTCGATAATTATTTTACAGCAGAGAATTGGCAACTGGTAGTTCGTCAGCTCGAAGAAAGAATCCAGTGCCCAGGGCCGAACAAATTCTCTCATTACGATCTCGTTCATGTGCGCAGCAAAAGCCGCACCGGGTTCTTCGGGAAAATACCGAAATTCTTGCAAGCACTCGAAATCGTCCTCAAATTTGAATAATTTCTCCGCCTTTTCTATCCGTAATTGCATCAATTCGTAAAGCGACAGGTTCGAACTCAACACGACAGTTTTGGCCCAGTCTACGAACACTCCGTCCTTGCGCAAACATTCGTCGAAATCCATCGTCTTCTTGAGCAGGTCGAACTTGGCAATTATTTTCATTATCGTCAAGACGTCATTTTGGGCAAATTCATATCCTTTTTTCTCCAGGCTCTTGACGATGACCAGCAAGTGTGATAGTCGGAACACTTTCCGTATATGCCGTTCAATCGTTGTTGTGAATAATTTTTCAAGCTCTGTTTCTGTATGACACTCATCGAAATGTTTCTCGGTTGGAAATACGAATGCAGATAAATCAGCGCCACGATCCAAGAGTACATCGACTACATTCGACTTAAGATTCACCACGGCTAATTGTAACGGTGTACGGCCCAAATGGTCAAGAGCATCGATTTGCACCGTCTGCTGGATCTCGTCGTTCACGTCTAAGAATAACTTCGCGAAGCTACTATTGTGGTGCCTCATGGCACAAATATGGAGAGGAGTCAATCCGTCTTCACCGGCCAAAATCGGATCGGCGCCGTTTCTCAACAATAATTTGGCTACGTTTATATTGACGAATAGCTGCGAAGCCAAGTGCAATGGCGTATTACCCAACTTGTCCCGGGCATCGACCTGTATCGTCTGCTGGATGTCGCTGTTGATTTCGAAGAATATCTTCATCAAATCATCGTCTTCGTTTTCTCTCCAGCAGATGATGTGCAGAGCTGTCGATCCATCTTCATTGGTTAAATTGGGATTGGCGCCGTTTCTCAACAATAATTCAACCACCTTTTTATGTTCGCCTCCCACAGCCAAGTTTAGCGGCGGATCACCTGTTTCTGTCACGAGGCAATTGATATCAACCTGGCCGAGTTCGAGAAATCTCTCGACGACGTCGTCCAAGCCGGCCAGGCAGGCGGCATGAAAATGCGTTAATCCAAATTCGTCGGTGTAGTTCACGTCGAATCTGTCGTATATTTTAAAAAGAATACGTACGGCGGTATCGTTACCGCGTCTAACCGCACGATGTAACGGCGTGGTGCGATGCAACGATGCCTTGCCGTCTTCATCGATGTCGGGCTCGTCCTTGTAACCCGTCTTGATCGCAAAATCGATGAGCGATATTGACTTGTTCTGGTCGTCATCGGTTTTTACGGATTCCGTGAGAATCCAATCGATTTCTTTCTCTTGAAAAGTTTCCCGAAGATTCGGAAGTTGACCCCTCCAATTGTCAACTAAAGACTGAAGTTCGAGGAAAAATTTCTTTCGCTTATCTTCGACCTCCCAATTGATCTCTGCTCGCAAAGTTTGCAATTTTTTCAAACAGTTTCGGTCGTTTTCGGCCATCGTCCAGCACACTCGCATAAACACAATCGCTAATATATAAGTTATTATTATAACCAGTAAAATAAGAAAATATTGTTCTTTTCACAAGAAACACTTGCAACGGTCGATGCGAGATATTTCTTTGTCTGCGCTGTGAAGACGTTATAAAGACGTGTAGCTGAATTGGACGACTCGACGTGCTGGCGTGCAACGTGTAACTGACTTAGACTTGTCGGCGCTTGACTCGACTCTGCTCGAGAGTCGAGTCTAAACATCGAATCCGACTACAAAGCGAAATATGAATTTTTGGAATTTGACTGTCGCTTGATATTATATTTACAGTCGAATACATTTCACGCTAAATTCGGCACTAAAGTACAAGTCTACAATTCAAGCGTAGCCTGCTTTCGGTAGGGTCAGATTTTGTTATTTTTAAGGGCAAATTTAATGAAATCTTCGTACAAACAAGAAACTTAAGAATTCAAAAAATTCATCAGGCGAAAAACTCTGGGAAACATTGTCTTTCTCTTTCTAAAGTCATTTTCAGGAAAAAAATATTTAAATTTCTTATCTGTTGCTGTTTGCGTGAATTTTTTTGTTGTATATTCCGCATGTAATACGTTTTTTTCTCTTATGTTTTCATTGTAAGATTCATCTCTTCATGTACTTTTTCTCTATGCAATTTACTACTTAGTAAGGACGAGGGTTTTTCAATGAGAAAATCGAAACTGTTGTTTTTTTTTTAAATTATTTATTTGAATCGTATGGAAAATCAAGAACTTTAATCAACACTTGATATTATAAAGTACTGCAAATATGCTTATCGCAATTAAGATATAGAAAAAATGATTATCTCTTTCGCTCATTTATTAGTTTAATAACAGGAGGTAAAAAGAACTTGTATAATCTTCACCACTGAATTTGTAGCCTTTGGGGAGCTTTCCTAGCCCTAACTGGTCTTTTGTTGTTACACTCTATTACACTCGATAAAACATTATTTTTACGGTTTTTATGGCTTTAATCCTCAGCCATCAAGCAAACGTGACATAAATCTTCTAACATAAGCTTCTTGATGACCATTTCACAGCAGAGAATCGGTAGCCGGTAGCGCGTCAGCTCCAAGAAAGAATCTAGCGCCCATCGCCGAAAAAATCTCGTCATCATTAATTCCAGCAGGCGCTGAACACAAGTCTTCACGCTTGACCATTCGGCCATCGGCCAGTGTAAGAACGTACGACCGTACTCGTTTTGGTCCCAATGTTTGATATGTTTCTCCGCTTCTTCGGGTCGCAATTGCATCAAGTCGTTGAGCGAGATGCCGCACCTCGCCAAGAACTTTGTTTTCGCCCAGTTCACGAACTCCTCGTTGCTGCGCAAACGCTCGTCGAGATTCGCCGAATTCACGAGCAGTTTGTGCTTGGCAAATAACTTCATTATCGTCGAGACATCACTTCGGTCGAATTCGTAGCCTCTTTTCTCTAGTTGCTTGATCATAATCGGCAGATCCGATGTCAGTGTAAACCATTGTTTATCCGTTCGTTCTTCGAGAATTTCAAAGCAATCGTCGAAATGACTTTCGCTTGGAAAATTGAAGCTGGACAGATCAGCGCCATGATCCAAGAGTTTATCGAACGCCTCGAAGTGTAGATTCGCCACGGCCCATTGCAAAGGTGTCCGACCCAGCTTGTCCCGAGCGTTGATCTGTAACGGCTGTTGTAATTCGTCGTTGAGCTCAAAAAACTCATCGAATTCATACACGAATGAATTTATGCACATTTTGTGCAAAGGCGTGAATCCTTTCTTGTTGATTAAATTTGGGTCGGCGCCGCTCTTCAACAGCACCTCGATCGCGAAACTGCTGGCGTGGTCCACGGCCACGTGCAGCGGCGAATCGCCCGTTTCTGGCACGAGTAGATTGGGATCCTGGCCGAGCTCGAGGAATTTCTTGACCGCGTCTTCGCAGTCGTATTGACAGGCCACATGAAAATGCGTCAGGCCGGACTCGTCCGTGCAGTTCGCGTCAAACCTGTCGTATATTTTGAAAAAGTCCAGGACCATGAGCCTGCCAAGGTCAAATTCACTTCTAGCCGCCCAGTGCAACGGTGTGGTGCGATGCAAAAATGGCTTGTCGTCTTGATCTAGCCTGGGTTCGTCCTTATAGCCGCTGCCAGCCGCGAACGAGACGAATTGCTCTGCTTCTTCGAACTTCGAAACATCGTCGGACACTTTGATCGCGGAATCCATGAGTAGCCGATCGATTTCTTCTTTTCGAAAAACATTTCGTAGATTCGGGAGTAGTCCCTTCCAATTTTTGATCAAAGGATAAATTACATGAATGAATTCGCGTCGTTCGTCTTCGACCTCCCAATTGACTCTTCTTCGCAACATTTTTAAGTTCTTTAAACATTTCTTGTTGTTTGCCATCGTCTTACACACTTATATATTTAATAAAAACGAGTTTACACTTGCTGCGCTCGATGCGATCTGTCTTGGCAGCGTCGTAACGTGATACTGAACTGAACACGACTCGTCGTCTGCATCGACACGCGCCGTGTAACTGCCAAAAAGAGCGGCTTACCGTTCGCTAATAGTCTCCGTGTCGAAACTTGTATGGAATGTTCTACGGCGTAAAATTCGAGCGCTTATGGCGTGTAAAGTTTTTTTGAACGTTTTTGAATCCATGAAACATGAAAGGTTTCTTTAACGTTAGAGTAATTGAGTAAGAGTAGGGATAAAACTATTAGCATAGATAAAGCTATTATTTCTCGAATCGATTTTCAAAAACAAAACTAACGCAACTGTCTTATTTTTTTTGTTTTCGTGCACTCAGGCGAGGAGTATCTGTGCGAGCGATTCTCGCTGCTGGTCGTGCCGGCGCTGGGCGCTCTGAAGCGTCGCTCCTCGTCGGCGCGCGCACCCGCGTTGACCACCACCGAGAACGGCAACAATAACAACAACAACAACAACAACAACAACGATGGCGGCAGTGGAAACGCGGCTTCGACCATAGCCGCGCTCGTGGTCGGCAATCCGCTGCTGCCGGAGAAGGTGCGCGACGAGCACGGCTGGAGCGAGTCCGTGGCGTCGGCCGAGACCGAGGCCGGCATCGTGGCCGAGCTCCTGGAGACGAGGCCTCTAGTCGGTATGTATACAAAAAAAAGAAAAAAACATTACACTTATCTCAAGTTTTACGATACGCTATATATTATAATTAATAAAATGTGCACAGGAAACGAAGCCACTCGATCCGCCCTGCTGCGCGACCTGTCGGACGCCGAGTGCGTCCACCTCACGGTGCCGGCCTTCTTCGGCTCCTCGCCGGCCCTCGGCCTCTCGCCGGAGCAGTGCGACGAACCCGGCGACGATCCCGAGTACCTGATCGATCCGTGGCGCGACCTGCCCAAGATCACCGCGCGCCTCGTCGTCATCTCCTGCAGCCACTGGAGCCACGACTCGCTGGACGCGCGTGGCGTCGAGCGTCTCGCCAGGTCGTTCCTGCTCGCCGGTGCCCAGTGCGTCCTCATCGGCATGTGGCCGGTGCCCTCCACGGCCAGCAGCATACTGCTTCGGGCCTTCTACAGCGCCATGCTCCAGGGTCAGCGGGCCTCGCGCGCCCTCGCCGAGGCCATGCAGACCGTGCAACACACGCGACACTTCGCTCGGCCCGTCAACTGGGCCGGTTGGTTACTCTTAGGCGGAGACACTCGTCTGTCTAACAAGGTGGCGCTGATGGGCCAGGCGCTGGCCGAGCTGCTGCGCAGCGGACCCGAGGAGTGTCGCGACGCGCTCCGCGTCACCCTGCACCTCGTGGAGAAGTCGCTGCAGCGCATCAACTGCGGCCAGAAGAACGCCATGTACACGACGCAGAAGAGCATCGAGAACAAGGTGGGCGGCGCGCAGGGCTGGCGCGAGCTCCTCATGTCGGTGGGCTTCAGATTCGAGCCAGCGGGCAACGGTATCAGACCCTCGGTGTTCTTTCCCCAGAGCGATCCCGAGGAGAGATTGACGAGGTGCAGCGCCAGTCTGCAGGCACTGCTGGGCCTGGGCCAGGCGTCGCTGCACGCCCTGGTGGAGCTGCTGCAGTCGCCCGAGGCTGCGGAGGACGTGATCGCGGCGATGCGCAGGGCCAGTTGCGCCAGCGAGGGACAGGAGATCAAGCTGCCCGTGAGGGTCTGGAGGACGCCCGGATCGCACGAGCTCTTCGCCAGTCTGGGCTTCGATCTGATGGAGGTCGGACAGCTCGAGGTGGGCTTGAGGACCGGAAAGATGGTGTCGAGGCGTTCGGTGCAGTTCGCGCTTCAGGCGCTCTTGGCTCTTTTCGGTGAGTATTACAATAACAATCGTTGCGATCGGTATGTATCTAACGGTTTGTCCTTCAATTAATTGCTGCAGATACGCAAGAGGCGCCAAAGAGTCTGAGCCTCGACTCGAGCAGTTCCATGGAGAGTCTGTCGTCGTCGACGGCCGCGGCCGCGGCAGCAGCAGCCAAGAGCGATCATCGTCTGGACCGCGTGCGTCTGGGTGGGGCCTTCGCCTGCTACGTACGCGCGCGTGGCGAGCCCGACGGCAAGACCATGGAGACGACGCCGAGTCTTTCGCTGTCGCGTCTGAATTTGCAAACTGCGCATCGTAAGTTTATATACCAAAGTCGTTATGAATAAAAATAATTTAAGAACGATGATTAATTGGGGATGTGTAATTTTATTTTAGCGAACGACAACGATACATACTCGTCGCCGTCGGTGCTGAGCGCGGAACACCCACCGCCCGCGAGACTGCGCAACCTGTTCCCGGACAGCAAGGCCGCCGCAACTTCCGGCTTGACCCGGCCAGGATCAAGTTCTAGTGGATCGGTTACTGATTGGGATTCGAATCTAGGACACAATACTGTTCTACGTAGGCATCATCATCATTATCAGCTGCCGATCTTGCCCTCGAGGCTGAGCATACGCTCGGAGTTGAGCAGCTGCAGCAGCGGAAGCTCGAAGAAAACCGGCGCAACTTCCGGCAGCAACAGCACTCAGGGCAGCGGTAGCGTCGCGGCATCCACGGCGCCCAAGCGCAAAGCCGCGAGGAAGAAGAAGATGATGCTGCTCGACGAGGCCGCGGGTGGTGCCGGCGGTGGCTGCTCGATGAAGACCGTCGTCGAGCTGCACCACGTGCCGCCGAGTCAGCAGGCAATCAACAACGGTAGCAACAACGCCGCGGCCACGGGACAGCAGACGCAGACGCAGTCCCATCGCAGCTTGACCAATCGCACGAGGGACCTGACGCCGAGCATCTCCGACGTCTATCACGAGCGCAATCTCGGCCTCGGTCTGGCGCCGTCGCTGTCCAAGCTGCTGGGCGAGGACGGCCTCGGCGCGGCGGCCTGCGGCGAGGAGGAGGCCGCCACCGCGGCCATCATGGTGAGGAACAACATCGTCGTCGGCCACAGCCAGACGACCAATTGGCTGCAGACCGAGCAGGAGTTCCACAAGAGGGACGAGGGCGACGGCAGGTCCATCACCGGCTCGCAGTGCAGCCAGACCAGTGGCTCGAACAAGATCAGGAGAAAGGCGCCGCCGCCACCGTTATGAGACTTATTTTTTAGATATTAAATACCGATGGATTCGAGTATAATTCAATTGTTGTACATATAGTGAGAAAATGATAAAAATGTATGTAGTAGAGAACGATTGAAATTAATAATTTGGATTATAGTTTTATAAATTGTGAAATTGTGATATTTTGGATTACAAAAGTTAGTTAAATGATTTTTTTCGATAAAAAAAAATAATAATTTTTGCATAGCAATGAGTACGAGAAAAGATAGTAACATTTTAATACTTGTAATCACATCTTTGTGTGAAAGTGATGTACGACTGTGGTGTAGGAAAAAAGAAATAGCAAATCTCTTGCAACCGATAGTTTACATTTGCAAGAAATCGAATCATCTTTTTGTAATAAATAACTTGTATTAAATCAACTTGTACATTTGTAACACGTGCCGTCCGCAATGTTTTAGTTGAAATGTATTGTAATTTTATTGAGCCAGAGACGTTCGATGTAAGAGGTATCTATAGAAATGTAAGTAAAAAATGAGCTCGTAGTTCATTTTTGAATCCTCAATAAAGTCTGATTCATGAATTTGATAAAAAATAACGACATTTATTTTCTTACTTTTTCATTTATCATAACGCTTCGCATGATTTATGTACAAATTTGTACATTCATAATTTATGAAGTTTATGTTTTATCGCAACATAGATTCTTTGTACATTATTTTGATTTATCTATTATTAAACAATACTTAGATGATTAAAAAATGACAATGATGAGATGGTTGTTTGTCTAGAAGCCTTAGTTTCTATAGAAGTCTTCATCATACTTTAGTAAAGTTTTAAATGGCCTGTGATTTGATCAATTTGGTCAGCTGGTCCAGGTCCAATAGCACAAACAGTTTTACTGCCAGGTGCCACTTGTGTTTGACCCGCATCACGAACAACATGAGATATCAGTCCAATTGCTTTAGCTGTTTGATGGAGTTCCATCATTTGTTCCTCAGAGTCACACTGTAAAAAATTAAATCCATTAGTATTATACATACTTTTCAAATACATTCTAATATTATAATGTGCAATGAAACTCACTTTTAGTGTGATTTTTGTTTGCCCGCAGGCTTCCCATGCTTTGAGAACATTTGGACGTTTTACAGCTAATCTGTATGCACCAACAGAGGCATGACCGCACTGTGCTGCAACCTTGCCTTTGCCCATTTTCAAGTCATTTCTGATAACTAAGACCAGTTTAGAATAATTTTCATGATCCATATCTGAATCGTCGTCTGTCTCAAAATCACTTGAATGCTCTGATAAGTTACTGTAAGATGTATCCACAGGTTTATCCTGAAATTTAAAAATTTGTTCATCAAGTATTATACCAATTTCAAGTTCAACTTGTACTATGATTACTAATTTGATTACACAGATGCAGCATTTGAGTAATTTTTTAGATGAATAGTAAAAGTGAAGAATAAAAATACATAGTGATTCGATAATTAAAAAGTTATCATAAATGAAGTAAAATATATAAGGTGTTTGCAATGACATTCTTTGACACTAACTGATTTGAACTAATTTTAAATATTTTATCCACCTTTACGTTCACCGTTACTTTTGTAAAACGTTATCACTTAGAAACACTTACAGATGATGCACATTTTTCAGATTTTCCTGCATATTGTTTAATCCATTCTTTTTTCATGTGTTGATAAACTTTGTAATAAACTACCAATGATAGTGGCAATGCGACAACTGAATATTTCAGAGGTTCAAGAAATTGCAGTATTTGATCCATCATATTGAAATATATTGAATTAAAAAAATTACAACAAGCCTCGTGCTAACACTGTTTGTAACCAACTCGCGTTTTGTATGCAGTTCGTGTCTGCTTCTATTTGACTATGTGTATTACTTACTTTGATTGGAGCTCACCTTAATACCAGGCGAAAAAGCGCCACTGGGCCCTATATATAGTCTATAACCAACGCTATATGCACGAGGAAAATGTTTAGTTATTGTATGCGGACGTCACTGAAACAATCCAGAAATACACTAGCTAGGTTTGAGGTTCGAATGCGCAATGTGCACGTGGCATTGGCGCTTCATTTGAAATCTTTCGAGCCAGACAAGAGGAAAACTTGATTAAATTAAAATTGAAATTATAGGTGTTTAAAAGACGTATATTGAAATAAAAGTAAAGATGAAGTCTTCAAAATATTTAAGTGAAACCATATTAAATGTCTTGGGAAATGAACATTTTTTTTATGAAAAAATGAGGTATACTTTTTTTATAATTTGGTAGCATGAACAGTTTTTATTAAAAATGAATATCTAAAACTAGTTTGACTGAGTTTCAGGAATCAATAACTTTTAACTATACATATAATTTATAAGATAAAATTTATATAAAACTTTATGCATCACACTCTTTCACTCATTCAAGTCATTTTTCACTCATTTTTTATGTTACGATTAAATAATGGATTAAATAATGGATCTAAAGTTCTCACAAACTCTTTCTCAAAATTTTCTGTTGAAAATCTTTGCACTGAAGCTCGAGCTGCATTCCTGATGGTATCTTTTTCATTAGCACTCATCTGAATAATGTGAGCCATGATTCGAGCATACTCTTCTGGTTCTTGTGCCAAAAATCCATTCAAAGATGTAGGCTGTTCTGTAATGATATCTGTTCTTGGACCACCAGAAGCATGGGCTACCATTATCAGACCAGCAGCCATGCATTCCACTATACCTATACCAAAATGTTCATTCCACATAGCGTGCAACCCAATTGTTGCCTGCTGAAAAGCTGTCATAAGTTCATCATGAGGAACATTCAATTGAAACTCAACATTTTCATCTAAGGCTAAATGTTTTGATAGGTCAATCATATCTTTAACTCTGACTTCATCTTCTTGATTTCTTGTGGATCCTATTAATACTAAGCGAATGTTTTTCCAAACTTCTTCTTTTACCATGGATCTAAGTTCGAATAAGGCTCGAAGTAAGAGAGGATGATTCTTTTCAGGCCTGAATTGGCCAACTGAAATTATACGAATCATATTATTTTTTTCCTCTTCAGTTAATAGTGGTAAACTGACTAATTCCTCAATATTACAAGGAGGATAAATTTTAAAGGTACGTAGTGGACATTTCCAAAGTGAGTTAATATGATCTTCAGTCCAAGTGGAATTGACCATTATGATGTCAGCTGTTCTACCAACAATACCGTACATAAAGGCAAATATTTTATAATACAATATTTTGCCAGCTGTCAAAAATGGATTTCTTGCTATCACTCTGCGATTGTTATGTCTAGTTTTTCTACGATATACATGTTTCAACATATCCGTTGATATTGTTGGATAATGTGTATAACTAGCTACTTTGCAACCTCCGATGTACCTGAACAAAGGATAAGTGAAGGCATAACCCATGGTGTCAATATAAATATCTGGTTGAAATTTACATAAAGCTTCATAACCCAGCCACACAGATCCCAAGCTCTGACCCAGTAGAGTAAAGTAAGGGTACATATCACTTTCGACCCACTTTCTTTGGAATAAGTACACAAAATTGACATTTTCTACTTTGATGTTGAAAATCTTCTCGGCGTTGCCAATGATTTTTCCGTGGTCGGCATCAAGATCCCCCGTGTAGATGTATATCTTTACATTTTCGTACTTGGACTGCAGAGCTTTTACACCAGCCCACAGAACTCTTTCACCGCCGCCACCAGCATTGCAGTACGGATGAAATATGCCGACCGATATCTCATTTTTAGTTCCCTTTCGTCTTCTGAATATGAATTTGATTTTCAAGTATATCGCCACAAGCGACGGTATGAAAACGAACAGAGTCAACAGCACCGACAAAAGCAACTGTCCGATGTCGAGAAACTCGGTGAAATAGTAGGCCGTAATCATTTTCACGACTTTTTTTTTACAGAGACTCAAACCGTTCGATCACAAGAAACTGTTGAAAAATCCCGTGCCATGACCATTCACTGATAAAACCCGATTATTTATATCCCATTGATCATTTGACAAGTAACACGTAGTCAAGCTTTTACGCAAGTGTTGCAGTACTTCAAAACATAACCCCCCGAGCGAGCGCTATTTTATATTTCTGCAGATAAGACTTCATTATATACTGATCGCAGTTTGCAGAATGTGCGGGGAAGTTCGCGATCTGACGCGTAGCGGGAAATTTTGGGTTTGTAAAGGCGTGTGAAAAAAGTAAGACGATTTTTTAAACAATTTAACGATTCTATCTATATATTATCTACAATTGTCGTTTTATAAAAAAAACAAATTTACAAAATCATTAAGATCGTGGACTCATCTTTTGGTCATACTTCGAAGCTTATTAAATGCTTGACATTTAAAGCTGATCCATGCTTTATGTTGAGCAGTATAATATCTTCGATTTCTCTTTCAACGATTTGGATATCCGAATTAAAAACATCTGCTTTGATCTAAAAGAAAGAAGAATTTTTTTTTAATTATACTCTACTTCTTGTACCTGTATTATTAATGCTTCAGAAACGTACCATAATTTGTCTCAGTCTCAAGCGCGACAAAAGGCGCAATTTTAAATTCATCAATCCGTGTGGCATAAATGTGTTTTTTAAACAAGTTGAATTATCCAATACATCGATGTGATAAATTCTACGGAAAAATAAAAAAATTAGCTGCTTTTCTATATAGGTGACTGTAGAGAGTATTTCAAAGAAGAAATCCATTGCTCAATACGCACTCTTTTTCGGTGATCAGCGTCACACCGGGAATAACAATCGCTTTGACAGGGCACTCGATTATCATCTGACTGATCAGTCCCCTTGCCACAAGTTTATTCGCTACATTTTTTACAATTTCTAAGCGATCTGAAATTCTGTAACCAACTTTCAAGGGCTTTACGAGTGACTTTGGCACTCTCATCTTCATTTCAAGAGAGATTTGTGCTATTAGTAACTGAAGCTTTGTTTGTATTTTCCAATGGTATGATCTCCTAATGACTGGTGCGAATAAGTTTTCCGATAAACAAATTTTCAATAGCTGGATAAAAAATGAAGTCATTGTAAAAAACAATCTTTTGACACATGAAATTAGATATTATGTTGAAGAAGAAATGGAAAAAATCCATTTCATTTCGAATAAAAGAAAATTGATAAAATTGAACATGCAAAAATTGATTTTTTATTTTAACTAAATTTAGAGAGTAATAGAAGAAAATACTGCACCGAATAATCAGATTTTTAACTTTTTTAAATAAAAGCATATCTTACCTTTGTACTCCAACACCTAAGCATATTTAAACTTAGCATACTATCAACTAACATTCCAAGATTATCTTTTGATGTATATTCTGTCCATCTGTGTTCAACAAAACTTCTCACAATTAATTTTTCACTCAATGACAAAATTGTTCCTAGGTGACTCAAACTCCATAAAAATGTATTTACATCAGAGATTTGCAACATATTTTTATTTGTATTCATATCATTTTGAATTGCTTTTACACCCGTTTTGACAAGTGAATCAACAACTTTTGAGTCCATAATTAAAGCATCAGCGTACAGAGCTAAAGTGTGAGCTACAGCACCAAAATTCAAGTTGTTTGTTTCTTTGTTTGATGTCAAAATAGCATCACTCAATTTTTGTAAACATAAACTATCGCTTGCCTCACTTATAATAACACTCTTGCATATTGGAACAAATAATTGAGGATCATCAATGATACTTTTAAAGTCTTCTTCAACAACTTTTTCCAACATTTTAGCTTGTCTTAGATGCAACTTAATTGATGATTTTTGCATTACCCAAGCCACTATGCACTTTTCCATTAAACAGAGATCGTCAATATCTGGTAAGAATGGCTTTAGATTCTCAATCTGTTCCTGGTTATGACTTTTCAAGGAAACAAAATACAACAGCTGAACAAGTTCATGATTATTCAGTGTACCAGTCATTGCTAACTGAATCAAAATTGCCATAGCCTTTTCATAAAATTCCATGGCTGTCAATTCCAATCTGGATATACTACTGAGAGATGCAAGAAATCTAAATATTTCATGCGGTTTCAAGTGAATCAATATATTTGAAAGTTTGTAATCCATGTTTATAAGTTTTTCTCGTATAACGACATTATCGCGAATTTCTTTAAAATTCGCCAGAGCCACTTGACATTGCTGATATTCTTGATTGAAATTTTCCGGCCGTGGAGCCGGTTTGTTGTCCGTCATGAGGTGGTCGATTCTCGTTGACACAGCTTCATTCTTTTCTGGCTGTTTTTTTAAAATCTCGTCAAAATGCTTCTGTATGCGATATTGAAAGGTTCGCTTCACGCGATCTTCGTTCAAATGACGAACGAACGTCGTGCCGGTGTTCCGTTGAATCGAGCGTTGCAACGTTAACAATGAGCGTAACATTATTGCACTGTGTGTCCACTCGACACGAGTTACGGTCGAGTGATTTTTGTTTTTTAATAAATGATAATGATAATAATAGAAAAACGTAAACAGAACGAAAAATTTAGCCTCACTTTTTACGAGAACAAGTGCGACACACAAACGCAAATTCGTCTGCTAGATTCTAGGCACGTTTTGTTTGAGACTGCATAGCGAGAGCGAAACTGCACTGCGAATGCGCCGCAGATGTCGTTTAAGTCCGCTACGCGCGCTCGGCTTCGATATTGCCGTATGAGTAACGTGATAAATGACGATATCTTTATCACATTTGCAATTTATATTCGTTTTTATAATTACGTTATATTAGAAAATAAACTCTTATGCTTCATTGTACTTGTAAAAGTTACTCAGTCCGGCGATACCTAATAATAATAATTGCATTATCGTAATAATTAAAATTTTGACACTCGGCATACGCAAAAAACTAAATCGGAAAAAATGTTTGTTTATATCATTTGTAAAGAGGGAACGTTTTCATCATACTTCAGAAGATTTCTCACGCGTTGCATCGGAAATTTCCCGGAAAAGTTTTATTGATACTGACAGTGCGAGTTTAAATATTCAAAATGGCGTCTGCACCAGAGAGACTTGTTGACACGCCAACAGCTGGCGTATCAAAATAATAGCCAGCTGACTATTCCTCCGATCTGTCGACTCGTTGTTTTTGTATCTGTCGCAGGATCATAACTCGCGTTAATTCGAGGCAACAACTGCTTCGTTATTCGGGCGCCGTTACTGCGTCAGTGCGATATAGGTGTTCGTTAAACATGCCATAATTAATTTGCTCGACGTTATAAGGGACATAAAACAGTTCAATCATGGAGAACAACAACAGCGATAAGTTTTGTTACATATACAGTTGCTCCTTGGAGACCAAAATACAGATTAAAATCGGAAATCTGGAAGGTAAAAGTATTCGGCCGGAGTACGAGAAGTTGCTGACCGATCCTTTGTTGAAATATTCCGGATTGTTCGACTCTAGCAATGGCAAGGGTGACTTGATGGCTTCTTTTCAAGTCTTCGACAACGGCCGAGCTCTAGCATTGCCAGTATTTACGGCCTACAAACACTTTGCTTCGAGATGGAATTGGAATCAATGGATCACATTGCCAATCTCGTACTCGGATTTGCCTCGAACAGCTCAGCTCTGCATCAACCTGTACGATTGTGCAGGTCCCATGAGAAAGATACCAGTCGGAGGTAGTACTATAAGTCTATTCGGTAAGCATGGTATCTTTCGACAAGGCATATTGGATTTGAAAGTCTGGCCCGGTGTGGAAGCAGATGGAGATTTTCCATCTACGACACCAGGAAAAACTCCTGACAATGGCAAAGATCAAATGCAAAGGCTGGCCAAGCTTGCAAAGAAGCACAGAAATGGTCAAATCAATAAGGTAGATTGGCTAGACAGATTAACTTTTAGAGAAATAGAGTTGGTTAATGAACACGAGAAAAGGGCTTCAGACCATTTGTATCTAATGTTGGAGTTTCCAGAGGTGGTGATTAATAACCAACCTTATGCCATTGTTTACTATGAAAAAGACGGCGATGAAGTCATTCAACATAGATCCCAATCAGATATTGTCACTCTACCGGATCATGAGATACTGCAAGAAAATTTAGTAGAGGCTAAGCATCATAAATTAGCAAGAAGTTTAAGAAGCACTGGAATGACAAGAGACTTGAAACCTACCTCTGGTGTGAGAGATGCTTTGAATGTAATTTTAGCTTATCCACCAACTACTGCTCTTACAACTGAAGAGCAAGACTTGATATGGAAATTCAGATTTTATTTGACCACACAGAAGAAAGCTTTGACAAAATTTGTAAAATGTGTAAATTGGAAAGTTTTTGTAGAAGAGCGGCAAGCTTTAGAAATGTTGACTCGTTGGGCACCACCCGATCCTGAAGATGCCTTAGAATTGTTAGGCCCTGCTTTCACTCATCCAAGTATCAGAAGATATGCCATAGGACGTTTAAGTCATGCGCCAGATGATGACCTTATGTTGTACTTTTTACAATTAGTGCAAGCATTGAAGTATGAAAACTTTGATAGTATTAAAGCTATAAGCAAGAATTTTGATAAAACTAAAGTAACACCAGAACAATGTGATAAGTCTGGCAAAGATCTTCTCATGAATAATCTTTCATCTTCTGCATCTATGTCTTCTACTGAATCTGAACAGAATAATATTATATTATCTCAATACAGTGAGACAAATTTAGCTAGTTTTTTGGTAGCAAGAGCTTGTGAAAATTCAACTTTGGCTAACTACCTATTTTGGTACTTATCAATTGAGTGTGAAGATCAATTAGACCCAGTGATTACTGTCAAACAAGATACTAAAGTTAAAGAAATGTATCTCACAGTTATGAATATGTTCTTGAATGCTCTTTCTTCTGGTAATCATATTTGGCAAAAGAGGAAGGCTTTCTTAACTAGACAAAAAATGTTCATTGATCAATTGGTATCTCTTGTTAAAACTGTTGCACGAGAGAGTGGGAACCGTAAGAGAAAGACAGAAAGATTGAGATCTTTGTTAGCAGATGCAGATGCCTTTTTCAAAATTAATTTTGAAAACTTTGAAGCCATACCTTTTCCACTAGATCCAGATATTTCAATTAAAGGCATTGTTTCTGAAAAAGCTAGTTTATTTAAATCAGCTTTAATGCCTTCAAAGTTAACATTTTTGACTACTGGTAATACAGAATACATTGCTATCTTCAAATATGGAGATGATCTGCGTCAAGATCAGCTTATCTTACAAACAATAGCCTTGATGGATAAATTGTTACGGCGTGAAAATTTAGATTTAAAATTAACTCCATACAGAGTTCTTGCAACAAGTACTAAACATGGTTTTGTACAGTTTATTGAATCTACTACTGTAGCTGAAGTGTTGGCCACTGAAGGATCCATTTTAAACTTCTTCCGTAAACACCATCCTTGTCAAACAGGACCTTATGGGGTTGATCCAAAAGTTATGGATAGTTACATTAGAAGTTGTGCTGGATATTGCATTATAACATATGTGTTAGCAGTAGGAGATAGGCATTTGGATAATTTACTTCTTACAACTTCTGGAAAACTATTTCACATAGATTTTGGATATATACTAGGACGAGATCCAAAACCTTTACCACCTCCAATGAAACTCAGCAAAGAAATGGTAGAAGCAATGGGTGGAGTGGGATCAGAACATTATTATGGATTTCAAAAACAGTGTTACACAGCCTTCCTTTACCTGCGTAGACATGCAAATCTAATATTGAATTTGTTTTCTCTTATGGTGGATGCCAGTGTACCAGATATTGCATTGGAGCCTGATAAGACTGTAAAGAAAGTTCAAGATAAGCTGCGTCTAGATCTCAGTGATGAAGAAGCTGTACATTATGTTCAAAATCTCATAGATTTATCTGTGAGTGCTGTAATGCCAGCTTTAGTTGAACAGCTTCATAAATTTGCTCAATATTGGAGAAAATAATAACATTTCTATGCTTATTTAAAACTGTACATATATGCATGAATTCTTGAGTTGTGAAGTAATTTTTGAGAGATTGAAACAACAGTCTTACAATTAAATTAGAATTCAAAAATATTGACGACATGTTTTTATATTTGATATTTTCTACTTGCAAGAATAGTTGAAAAAAAAAATGTTTGTTACAAAATAACACTAAACCTGTAATGTTTGATAATTTTGTATAGTCTTAGAAAAATATTATTTATCGTTATCTTTTATACAAAACAATGTATATTATTGTTTCATTTTGTAAAAAAAAGACTTGTATAAATAATACAAATGTATCATAAAATTTGTATAAACAGCATAAAATACGGATGAAAAAAATAAAATTTCATTAGTACTTAAAATTAAACAATTCGTTTCAATAAGAAATTTCAATGTTTATACCTTCTGTCAAAAATACAGAGGGCGTACCGCAATTTGACAGATAGAATGCGGCATGCTTCTGCATAGTGCAAGATCTGTCGGCCTTTGTGTATACATGAAAGCATGTTACACCGTCATCTTTGTTGACGATCCTTCATCAGTGAAAAACATCGGGAAAAAGAAAGAAAGAAAACTCATCATATCAGTTTTCCAATTTTTCATTCATTCTTTATTTGCAGCAACATTTGGTTTCTCTGATAATTTAAAACCGGCTGATTATGTTGTTCTGAATAACCTCTTGAAGAATTTTGACTGATTTTACTTATTTTGACTAATTTATCAAAAACGTTGTTAAATTAAAAAAACAAACATGCCTACGGTCATAGCTTTGGATGTTTCCTTGTCTATGAGAAGAGTGGTTGTTGGGACAACAGCTTATGAAGGAATACCAGGGGAGCAGCTCACCAGGCATCACTTAGCTCTTCAAGGAATTAATACTATTTTACACTATCTACAAAACAATTCTAAGCTTGAATTTGTTGCATTAGTATGTACCAATGATTTATTCAGTTATGACTGGCTCATATATGTATTTTAATTTATTATTTAATAATTTTTAGATGACGTTTTCTTCTATGTATGAGATACTGTGCCCATTTACAAGAGACTATGAATTGATTAGGAGTAAATTGCAAAATATTGAAGAGTGTGATAAGACCAGCATTGAAACAGCTCTTCACGGAGTAAAGACCTTAGTGATATCGGAGTGGGGCAGCAGTACGCCTTGCCAAGTAATCTTGGTCACAGATGGAAATCCTGGTGTTGGACCGATGTCCTTGCGAGAGTCTTTACTTTCAATGAACTTCCCTCGAGAGGGAGGAATACCCTTCCCTGTGCCTTTCCCATTTCCAGCAAGACTGTCAGTTGTATGCTTAACAAATCCAACAGGTAAATAGTTTTGGTAGATTCATATTGTTTATCAGTTGATTCATGATAAATTATTTTTAGACCCAACTTTTGTAAGCAACATGCAGCTTTATCAAAAATTAGTTGACTTAGTTGGTTCAGATGGAATGGTTTTGGCACCTGAAGGATCCTTGTCAAAAGCATCTGTTTCCAATTGTTTTAAAAAATTATCAGAGACAAATTTTACTACATTTAAGGGGTATTTGAAGTTTGGTAATCTTGGATCACGTATTTTCTTATCACCGGTTCCACTTGTAAGTCATAGCATATGATTATTTTCATATTGCAAAAATTTATTTTCATTTGTGATATATTTTCAGCCTCAAACAAAAAAAACAGATTTTGAAGTAGTGCCTTCTTTAATGATCTCTAAAAATATTGAAATATGTGGATTCATACCAATAGCAGATGTTGGAAATCCAGGTGCTATCTCCAGACATTTAATTTTACCCATGTCAACAGAAAAAAATTCAAGCATGCAAGGAATAGCTGTCTTAGATGAAGATGATGAAATTGAAGAAGTAATTGATGAAGGAAAAGAACCTTCGTTCTGTGTTTTACTCCATGGAGCCTTAAAGGTACTACTATTAATAACCAATGAAGATTTGAATATTCAAACTAAATTATCTATTGAAAACTTTAGGTCGAGAATATGGCAGCATTGTGTTTACTGAATACTGATTGGTATGGTTTCATTTACTCATGGGCAGATTCAAAGAAAAAGTCAAATCTTATGTTGACTGTACTTGAGCATGGATGTGAAGTAGTTCCATGGCTTGGTAATCTTCGAAATTTGGGATCTATTTCTTTTGCTAAGGATAAAACTTTTGAAGCCCTCACTTTCCCAATACGACCTGTGGAAAAAAGAAGTTACGCTGCAAATACTCCATCTTGGATTAGAAATTCAGGCCTACAATCGGATATTCAAAAAATTTTACGTCAGGCTAGAAAATTACCAGAAAAAACTGCTAATTTCTATAAAGAACTTAATCGAGTGAGACGGACAGCTTTAACTTTAGGATTCTTAGAATTATTAGAAGGTTTAGCACAAATTTTTGACAGAGAGATTACTTTATTACCTCCAAATGTGAATCCTGAGTGTGCGATACAATTGAGTCATTGTTCTGAAATGTTACGAAAACCATATTCAAAGGAATTGAACGCAAATATATCGCCACTCCGGACAAAATATTCTGGTGCAGCAGAGTAAAACTTACGAATTTTTTTCAATAATTAAAATAGTTTTAATAATTTAACTAAAAATGTACAATTGTAAATATACAAGTATTTTTTAAAATTTTTGTAAATGGAATAACTATTATTCTTTCTTTTGAGACCTTGCACATTCAATTAAATGAATAAGGACATCAAGTAATCCTTGTGCAGTTTTTTCACTGGAATATATACTCAGTTCTGGAACATGAACAAACAAAACGAGAGGTTCCTCTAATTCGAGTGACTTGTAGTAAATGTACTCGCATAAGTATCTGCCTGCTCGGGTTGAAGTACATGCTGTGCAATTTGTTTCTGTTGAATTTTTGTTAACAATTTCACAAATTTTATGAGGGTCACATTTGGTTTTTAAAATTTTATGATCCGCACATTCATTTGGATACTCATTGTATATATCCGGATGATTATAGCCTTTACTGTTTGCTTGACACTCAACTGTCAAACAAGTTGCCATATTTGATACACCCACATGTAAAATTACCTGAAATTTATTTTCAAATCTTCTATTTATTCAAGACATCATGATAATTCATAAGTTTGAAATTCAAAGTAGTTGCTTACAGATGGTTTATGTTTTTTATATAACTCTTCAACTTTTTTGTCAACAGTTTGATATGCAACAGGTATTTCCTCAATAACCAAGTTGATTTCTGATGAAATTTCAGATTTAGAAAATAATTCTGGTAATAATTTTACTGCTTCCCAACTTGCATTAACGTCATAATCTCTAAACAGACCGAATCCAGTCACTAATACTGTTTCCTTTGGTTTTGTTTCCATATTTTTATGAATGGATTGTTGTTGTATAATTTTTTTCTTAAAAATTCAACAGTACAATTTTTCCACCAATACTTCCAATATGAGTAAGAAAATAAAAAGACTGAATGAAATTGTAATTATTTACGAAATTTATAAAAGAATTAAGTCTAAAACAATGACTTTCATCGAGAAATTGATTTTTTATTGAAATTTTCGCACAAATTGATAAGTGCAAAGTAGTGTAGATTCCAACGCGTCGCACACAATCTCTCAGCAGTCGGCAGATATGAAAATAAATAGAAGTACTGAGCAGTGTAGTACTCAAGTATACATGGATGGTACACGGTACACACAGACACAAACACACAAACCCAAGGTTAGCCCCTCCTCCACAAGTGATCCCAGATAAAAAAAAAGGTGCATTGCAATCAACGTTCGTTATCTACGTACGCGTGATTTTTTTCGATAAAAATGCAGAAAATAATAATATTCGCAGAAAATACACAGTCGAAGCGTTATATGAGACAAAAATGAAAAAAAATGAAAAATCAATTTTTATTTCTGAAGCATAAAAAAATGAATTTGAATGATATATAGTCAAAACAGCAATGGATTATTGTTTGTTAAGTTTTATTGTACCAAAAATTTCATCTCATTTATATATTTTTCATATATATTTATATATAATATATTTTTTTTGTATCTATCATTAACTGGATTTACTTTTATGCTAGGTAAATATTTGAAATCAATAATTTCGTTTACATGGATATATTACAGTTAAAATCCAATATTACAATTGCCATGGCTGATTGCATTAAATTATGCGACAATGCTTCGACCGTGGGGTGTTGTTATATATTCTACAGAAAAAACATTGATTATCGACGTCTATTTTATTGAAGTTCATATACTTGTTCTGTTTTCCATGCAATTAAATTTTATTATTATGTATATTTATCGTTATTCCCACACAATTATCTTATATGCTCAGCGACTTTACTCGTGCATCGAATACATCAATCTCCGTCGGGACTGTCTGCCTTGATTTTGCCTATAATATTTGTTTGTTTTTTATTCAATTTTTACATGTATGACTTTTCTCTCGAGCTCCACAGTGCGGTATACTTATGTGTAATATCGTTCGTTTTTATCTTCATTGAGGACTTTTTGTTGTATTTTTTTTTTCATCGTTATTAAAAAATAAATTTTTATCCTTAACATTAACGGGTAGATTCGCTTCAGCTAGAAATTGTTGTTGCTTTTTTTGTAAGTTGCAAAAGAAATGGAGTCTCGATGAAATGAAATTGACGATCGAAAAGATTTACTTGTGAGAGATTGTATTTTTTTGTGTGTCGTACGAAAATATGACATTTCTTGCACCTCCCACCGCGGTAATCACAAGTGCGTGTTTTTATGTGTTTGCCAGTGATGTGTGTGTGTGTGTGTATGTGTGTTGGTGTTGGATCAAGGAATGCAATAATCGAATGCAATGAATTATAAATTTATATTCAATATAATATATATTTATATTGAACTTTTTTTTTAATAAAGTATTTATTTATTTTTTTAACTCAATAATAAAAAAGTATTGTAATATATTTATATAAGTGGAAAACAATAAAGAATGTCAGCCAAATCGAAAAACAAATGATATGTTTAAATCATATATATTATTTATATGCGTTATAACGGATTCCAACAAGGAATCCTTTAAAACTTTCTACAAGTGTTGAATGTTTTTTTTTTGGTAAGAAATCATGTTGGTTCTGCTTTAGGGCATAATCAAAATTAGTAATGGATTTTTTGTTGTTTTTTTAATCGCAAACACGCATCACAGACATCTTTATATTATTATTAAATATTATTATTTTTTTATCCTCATCTTTTAGAATCGCAATTAATAACATGTATCGCCTAATTATACACATCGAGCAACCTCGCGACAAACATGATTCTACAATTAATCAAATTCAAAAGTTTTACATTTACAACCATACTTTTTTCCCTTTACTTCAGTTTATTATATTATGTAAATATTTTGCTCGTCGTTTATAAGTACTTTTATTATTGAAAAAAATCATAATGGCCGATGGGTGATTATAACGTGTTTATATCGATCACTTGTTAAAATGTTTAATAATTACAATTGTATTAATAATTTTGATTAATCCACTTATTTTTTTCTTTAATGAACACAGGTAAACAATAATTTGGTCGAAATTCTGTTCTTAGTTTTGGTGCTTATTTTTTACAATGGAAGTTGCTGAATTTCAGAATCTGGTTGAAAATTTGTGTATCTCTTTACAAACGAGTAGGCAGGTGCGATTCAATGATTCTTTAAAAGCGACACAACCAAATCACACAAGCATATTCGGATAATTTTGATAACGGACAACTCGATGGTATATATCGGTTTGAAAGTAATTGTGTCGGAAGTGTGCGTGTTAATTTTTTTATGAATGATAACTCGTTAAAAGCGATTCTTTAAGAATCTTAAAAGTACAATTTTTTTGTTAAAAAAAATATCATTTTTCAAGTTCAAAACTTGCTTTAATATTGGAGCTATGTCACGTCTCTATAATGAAATGTTACCTCTTATCATTAGTATATATATAATATTTATATATAAAGGGAGTCATTTCTCCATTTTTGTATATATCCACATTACTCTACAGGCTACAACAATGCTTTAACTTTTTTTGACATTTTTTTACACACAGTTATTGCATTTGAGAAATCGATGGCTACAATAATATTGTGGCTATATGAAAGAGAGAAGAACAATGATTTTTTACTCTACTGATTTTTTTCAACAATGTAGCTTCTTTTATCGTACACGAAGGGGGAAAAAAATAAAACAATGTAGAAAAAAAATAAAACAAAAAATAATTTATATAATTAAAAACTATTACATAAATCTATTGTTTTCCATAAAGTTAGACAATCGAAATTATTATCAAATACATCGCTCGTACTGATTCGTAACAAACAAATTCGTACGCACACGATTTCATTAATAAATACATAACAGCTAAATTAAAAATTATTTACAGCGCTATGCTGTTAGTATGTATTATCTAATATTCTCGTACATATATTAATGCGTGAGATCTGAGAACACAAATTCATCTCGATTTGTCCTATCTGGAGAATCGTTTGCCCTCTTAAAGCACTTTTATTTAATATTTTTCTTTCATGTATTTTTTTCTCGCATATTCATAGTAATTATACTAGAATGCAAACCATTGCTTTCAAAAAACGACGGTTTTCGATACAACGAGGAATTAGGTAATAATCAAATTTCGTACTTATACTTTCTCAAAATAATTATAACGATAGTTCAATCTTAAGAAAAGAATTGGTCATTGGCATCAGCTTGGTTTTCAATTTTAAATGGTATTGAAGATCGTAAAAATCAAGCACGGATTCACGTGTATTTATCCTTTTTTTCGGCGATTTCATCAAATCGAAGCGCACTTACAAACTTACTTTTAAAAAAAACTTAACATTCTTTACTATCACTTCGTAAATGTAAGAAGTACGATACAATTTTTTGCAAAGCAATACTGTTGATTCGAATCCACATGTAAGAAAATAATTGATAGCTATTTTATTTCAATAATCTTAAATTATTTGTGCTTGAAAATCCATCATCGTGAATCGCGTGCCAAAATAAAGAACTATCGCCAAGATTTTTGAACATCTGACACTATCTGTAATAATCAACTAACATTCTCTCCCTTTTGTTTCCTTTTTTTGTTACGAACGACATTTTATTTTAATAATAATAGATGTATCTTTAAACTTCTTTTTATAATCGATGCTTCATGTACAATCTTTTAAGACCCACTGTGACAAATCAAGCCAAGTACTTATTGACTAACAAAAAATTCTTTTAATCAAAATTGAGATGCAAATATAATCAGATTCGGACGTTTTACTATTTCTGGTTTATTGGATTGGTTGACTTTTGAAAACGCGAGATTTATTTTCATGTGCAAACTTAACAATATAAATATTCGTACATTTTTTTAATGTTTCACAGCCAATCGAGATTACATCAAAGATTTTATTGCAAGGAGTAAAACGTCCGAAGCTTGCTGAACTATTTTGAAACTCATTTTTAAAATTTTTTCATGCGCACTCTTTATTACGACGATTAGCTGTTTTATTTTCAAAGATCTCTTCATCAACTATGCTTAAGATAATATATGAAAGACTAAGCAACATTATATAAAAAATTGAGTTCCGTTTATACGTTTTATTTTCATTTACACAACTCATTAATTTCGTCTCCTCCGTTATTTCTGAGAATTTTTAATTCAAAAACAGGAATCAGCGATTTTTAACGAATAATAATTGATACTTTTGAAGCATATAAAAGAAATAAACCAAACAGAACTTAACAGCAATACTTTATATCGCCAGATGATAATATTCATTTTTTTATGGACGAATTTTCGATGATCAAATTAATCGAACTAAAAGAGGAAACAAACAAACAAACGCACAAAACATCCCAACATTACCCATCAGCTTCATTGTCTGTCGCCTCTGTATGTAGCGCAGATTTACAATAGAAGAAAAAAGAGCATAATTCTTTTCTGTTATTCATTTATATTATATATATATCAGCATCTCTATGCGTTTTTTTACTTTTGTTTTTCCGTTTAAAATCTGCTACCCACATTTAAACTTTAAAAAACTAATGTGTATACATATCATATGTAATAATATATATATACATATTGCGCGGTACGCGCCGCACACGAATACGCGCGCACATATACTTAAGCACGTACACGCGTACACGTACTCGTATGGTTCTATGCGCGTACCGCGCTGTAATTAATTTAACACATCGGGGGGAGGCGGGAGGGGGGGGNGGGGGGGGGGGGGGGGGGGGGGGGGGGGGGGGAGGAGGGATTCACCACAGAGCAGCAGTTTCACCAAGGACTGTGTTGGGCCGCGCGAGGCTTTAGTTTTCCATGATTTATGTCAAAACCACGCTCTCTATAACACGTTGTAACCCGTTATTTCTCACTCAGCCATGTCTCTCTCTCTCTCTTTCTTTGAGCCTGACGTTTAAACTAGCTGTACAGGTATAGTTTCTAACGCTATTGACGTTATCTCTTCATCCGCGAAAGACGTATAATATATTGTTATTTTTCATTTTCTCAGATCGGTTGGTTACTTGGCTTCGCTTATAAATACGTCATCTCGTTCTCATTATCCAGCGTTGATATTTTTTGTCACGTTGCCGTTGTTTCCCATTACTTTTTTTTCTTACAAAATTGAGATTTATAAAGCTCGTCATTGTCACACACATGCGCATTCACGAGAGAGAGAGAGAGAGATTCGTCGTTGTTCTCGTTGTATTTCTTCTATTCTACGGCTGTCGAGTGGTCGAGTAGTGCAATCGTCCGTTGCGCGTCGGTTTCGGAGTAGCAGCAATCGAGGAGCGTTGCGCTTGGCCGCCACTGCCATTTGGTTACAATTCCATGTCCTGGGCCTCGTCCTCGCTGAAGTCGCTCATCGAGGACTCGCTGTCCGACGACATGCCGTTGCCCGTGGCGCCGTTCTCCTGGTCCCGCAGCGCCTCCTCCGTCGCGTATTTCCTCACGTAATCTGTGGATGGTTGTCGGGCAGGAGAGAAACAAAGCAAAATAACAAAATGAATTACGTGTACAGAGAGATATTTCAGGAGTCTCGCGAGTAATGTTTTTTGTGTGTTTCGTTTCGTTTTTTTTTCTTTTTTTTTTAATGGACCGATAAAAGCGTGGAAAAGTTCGCTACTTGTCGCGCGCGCGTGGCACACAAAAGGCGATAAACACAGTCGTAATTGTTTTCGCATACATACTGCATTGCAAGTCGTGTGGCGAGGTAATTTTTCATACATAAACCAACCGTTATGTCTGTGTGTGTATGCATAGTATACGCGTTAAGCTCTGTGCTCATCGATGAGCAATATTTTTGTTGAAACAGAGAAGTTAAAGGAAAAGAACAAAAAAAAAAAAAAAAAAAAAAAAAGAAATAAGTCATGCGCTCGCTCGTGCCGTAGTATGCCATTGCTCAATTTGGAGAATTATCTGTGCACGAACAATGCCGTGCAAGTATTACTACTACCTTTATACACACGGCCGCCGCGCCGCGGATACGCTCGTTAAATCGGTTAATCTGTACGGCACGCATACATTATCAATCGTATTATATGTATATTGTGTATGTTGTGTATGTGTGTGTCGAAAATTGTTGTTCCCTTTCTATATATACTCCATCTTACCCGCAACTTTTTTCTTATATTCCTCTGGTTTGTGAAGATACATCGCAGCTGCGTCGCCATTCAACGGGTCGATGGGATTTGGATATGTTAACAGTTGAGGAAGGAAAGACTCGAAGATATTCGACAGATCTGTGGAAACAAAAAAAGAAACGAAAAAATAAGAAAATGAATAAATTCTTTATTCATCGTGTATACGAACGGCATTAGGATGCGCGGTTTCCGTATATATTTATCGCGCGAGAGGCTATATTTATGCACGCGCGTAGAAATAAAAAATAAATAAAGTGCCGATATCGGCATTGTCTCACATCGCGACTCGCGCAATCGACGACGACGACGACAGCAACAGTAGCAGCAGAGGTGAATCACCTCTTATACTTCTGCCACTCGGCCGATCGTGTGTAAGTGTGCGAATTTCAAAATAAATAATGTTATAAGCGCGCTATCACCGATGACGACCCGAGATCTCGTCGTAAAACGACTTTTTTTCTCTCTCCTCTCGCTATTTTTTCGTCTCGAGGCAGGTTGATTATTACAGGCGCGATCGCGGTATGGTAAAAAACAAAAAAAAAAAAAAATACATCGAAGAGCTTACCGTACAAGGCCGTCCAAGCCTGATTGATGACGTCGAGGCACACGGTGCCCGAGACCTCGTCGATGTTCGGATGGTAGACCTTGTTCATGAAGCCGATCGACGGCGATTTGAACGGATAGTGCTCGGGCAGATGGACGCGCACCTTCCAGATGCCACCCTCGTAAGGCGCTGCGAGAAAAAAAAAGCAAATGAAAAAGACGTTAGTCGTTATTATTACGTCGTTACGTACGAGGCAAAATAGTGGTCTTTAATGTATTTGTCATCAATATAACGTTTATACGTAATGTGTGTGCGAGTGTGTATAAACTTGTCAACGCGGCCAATTTATTTTAATATATTCATCAAGGACGTGCGAATATAACAGAGCTTCTCATACACGTTTTTTCATTTGTTCTCTTCGCTCGCAGAAGTAGAATAGAATGGAACAAATACATATATATAAAAATCAATGCATACGCTTCGCGCGCATCTCGCGCGTTACATATTACACCGAAGCGCAATTTTTTCCTTTTTCTCTCTCTCTAGCTGTCTCTCGCACTATATACCGTGCGTCACGACGCATACGCGATGGAGGCGAAAAAGAAAAATAGGCGAAATTGAACGTCGTAACGGATATATATATCTGCGTATATACCCTCACCCTATATACGTCGCAGAAGAATAGATACGAGTATCTCTCTCGGAAAATTCGCATAGCGCAGAGGCAGGAGCAGCGCGCAGGGAGCAGCAGCAGCAATGGGAGAATGAAACGAAGCCGCGCGCGCGAGTAGAAGTGCATTATAAACAGCATATATACTATAATACCAGCCAAACGCGCTGGGGCTTTATAAGAGAGAGAGAGACTCGCGAGGCTGCATCCTATGATTTTTTTTTAAGCAACTCTTATACAGAATGAGAGAGAGGCTCGCCCCGTTACTTTCTAATGTTGCCTCTCACACACAAACACATATCTCTCATGGTGCAGCAGCAGCAGCATGTGTGCAGCATGCCTTATATATATTCATATACAGAAGTTTGTACCCGTAATATTGCATGCGCGCACGTCTCTTATAAGTCCACGAGCTCTACTCCGACGTCGCCGTCCCCGTCGCTGCTGCTGTTGTTGTTGTTGTTGCTGCTGCAGCACACATATAGTAGTAGTACATATCGTATCCTAGAGGCGCATATAATATGCCCATTATGCGCGCGCGCGCGCGCGTGTGTTAGAGCCTATATAGCTAGCTAAGCCTGTGCGCCACACAGCCTCTCATTTTCGCCGCGCGCGTCCGCGTCTTATATCTATTCTACCTGCGTGCAGCGTGTACTAGCTCCGCGGCTCTCGTAAGTAGATATACGATATATGTATATATATGATGTTGTGTGTGCATTAAACAAAGCGAGAATGACCTCGATGCCGCCGTTCGCCGCCGAGTGTAGGTACGAGTGGAGCGAGCGATCATTCGTTGCGCGTGCCTGTCTATAAAGACGTTCGCGAATTCGAGTATCTGCTGCTGCTGCGGCTGAAAAATTGCCGTATAGCGCACCTATATATCCACGTTATTTATTGTAATTAGGATGTTTGCGTTATTACTGTATATCGATGCCAAAGAGACATCGAGATTCATTATTGTTCTTCGATTCCCTTATTCGATCCGATTTCGTGCGCAAAAAGCGACGACGACTATTTCGTATGTACCTGCCAACGATTGCATTTACCTTGTATACATAAACCAAAGGAAAATACTACTACTGCACACGTGCAGTGCTGGAAGGAAGCATCGGCAGCAGCAGCAGCAACCTTGCGACCTATAATACATCTTATACGACCGTCGCCGCGCGCATCACCAGCAGCAGCAGCGAGAGAGAGAGAGAGACACGTGCGGCAGAGCTAAGCGGGCTACGCGCTCAATTTTTAATGCAAATCCTTGAACTTCGTATCGTACGTATACGTAAGGTTTGTATTCGACGTTTCACCGCGCGCCGAAGCGCATACACGCAGGATTATTTTCGGGCCTCGGACGCGGTCGTTAACGAGAGGTGGTTTCTTTCCTTATTTACATTTTTTTAGAAAGAAAGAAAATATTTATACCTTACATACGCTGCTGCTGCACGCGTGCAACCTGCACAGCTATATAACGTCAAATCAATGAAACGTGGGGGAGAATATAAGTATGGAGAAAGTATGCTGCTGCTGCGCGCGTCACGTCAGAAATAACAATGTAAACAATAGTGGATAGATAGATACACACTCGGCTTGAGAAACAAATGAGTCTCTCGAGGAAAAGTGCGGCGCGCGGCACTGGCCTGCTGCAGATGAAAGTTTTTCGTCCTCTCTCTCTGTCACGCACACACACACACCGATCATCGATCGGCATTCGCGATAGTTGATAATTTAGTTTATTAGTTCCCTCCGTACGTCGCCATGTCCACGAGAAAAAGTCAGTATCGCGTGCGTAAGATTTATACACACATATAATATTAATATTTGAAATATAATTTCGATGCGACATTTATTGAGCTTATAAATCGCGATTATAAATGGAATTATAACGTCTATACGATTAAAATCTGCCACTGCTGCGGTATTGCCGCGCTGCGTTAATAATACGTTATATATATTTTATATAGTTTCGTTAACCGATACATATATAATCAATCGTCGATTATACAGTACGTCATCGCGATGAAATGATTATGAAGGAAAGTCTCGCGCAGTGATCGCGATGACGCATTTATAAACGCGAGACGCCGATTTTTCTGCATCAAGGTTCTCAATTCGCAGCAAAGAGAGATAGATCCAAGAAGCGATAGAGACGGCGGCGGCGAATTATAGAAAAACAAACGCGGAAGAGAGGAGGCTAGCTTTACAACGTATGTACGGCCGAGCGAGCGAGGAGAGAATGAAACATCGATTCGGAAACTTTTCAGCGTATTATACGTACGCTTCGTGTCGATATATTATAACGTTTTTCGGCAACACAGAGCTCGGAGTGGAAGAAGAAGTTGAAGAAGGCGAGGAGGAGCAGCAGCAGTCTGGCAGTCCGACAAAGGCCATTGAGCTTGCCTTCTGCCAACTCGTGTGTGTGTATAAAAGCTCTCTCTGTCTCTCTTGCGACGCGGCGGCCGATATCACATGTGTGTGTGCGCTGTTGTAAATGTGTCGGTGCGAGCGCTACGTTTGCTCTATATAAGAGCGTGAAGTATCGTATGCTTTAGCTTTTTCTTCATTCTACCGCGTAATTTGCACACTTTATCGTTTTCTTTCTCTCTCTCTCGATCTCAATCTCGATCTATCAAGTTCAGTTCTTCCTCGATCGTGTCTTTTAGTAGCTGTTTCATCATTTCTTTTTCCTTTTTTTTTCAAGCTAGAGAGAGTTCGACCACATTTTCGCCGTCTTATGACGCATGCAGGTCGAGTATACGAACAGGAGGAGACGTCGCGACGCCCCTGGATCAGCGCACCCCGGTATTTGCCCAAGAGCTTGCAAGCTCGAAGTACCATCGTCGTCGCAGCTTCCAGACGTGTCTCTCGATGACTATGTACTTGGTTGATTCTACGTGCACCTTTGTGATCGTGTTTATCTTTTTCGTTTTTCTGCTTCTTCTAATGTATTTATAATGTTTTCATATAATGTTTTAAAATGTTTGAATCTTTATGGATGTTTTCTGTAAGGCTATACAGGACGATTAAGTCTTTAGCCTCATAATAAATCTATCTACATCAAGTTCAGCCCTCTCTATGCGCATTTTTTATTTTATTCTCTTCTCAAGATTTCTGGAATATACTGCCTTCGAGATCTACGTCGTATTCGTCGTACTTACGTAGTTTTGTTTTTGAAACGCGAGGAAGCAAAATGTCGAAGAAAAAAAAACGAAACGAGGCGATAAACTACGCGACGACGCGGGGTTAAACGGGAAAAAAATCAACCGTTGCTATGTAGTTATAAGTAGTTTTGCAATCTTCCGCGACGAAGATGTTTTTCTTCGCCTCGAGACATCGCGCGCGCGCGCGTGGACGTATTTACGAGATATTATTATTATATTAAAATTATTCGACGCGCACTGTACCCTGGTATTCGGTATCGATTCGCGATACAACACACAACGTCTCGACGACACGCGCTCAATTCGATATCTGCAATTATCGCTGAAAATGTATAGCGCGCGAAGCCAGACTTCGACAGTGTATATCATACGTTAATTGATGCCTGTTGGAAATTGTGCGGGGCCGCGAAAGAGAGAGCGTGTGTCAAAAATTATAAATAAATCATTTCGACGCTATACCACCACCGCCGCCGCCGCCTCCGTTTTCACCGCTGTTGCTGCTGCTGCTGTTGCAACTCAGCAGCCACGATGATGCACGAGAGGCTCAGCTGCTCTTCGCGTACGGTGTGCAGTGCAGTATGCTATAGGGACCGAATAATATGTAGTATACACAAAATCAAGTCAATTTCGAAACACACATCGCGAGCGAGACGTATTCCGTCGTCTCTCGACTCGTATAACAGACACTATAACAATTTTTAGGTCAACTCTCGTATATATGTGCCTTTTTCCTCTCGCTTCCCCCGTAATACTCTCGGAGTGAGGCCGTATACAGCCAGCGGAGAGAACAATAATAAGCTCGACTCGCGACCCGTGCCTCGGCGCGATATATATAAAGCGCGCGGAGCATGAATTTTCCCAAGCTTTTATCGCGCGGCGCGGCGCGGCTCTTTCTGCATATAATACATAAAACCGTATGTGTGCGCGCGCGGAGCTGAAATATCTTTGTCGCGCGCGTATAACAAACTCCTGCCTGCCTGTGCACCACCACCACCACCACCCTTTTTTTCCTCGTTTCATGTGTGTGTGTTACAACGAGCCTCATAACTCAGTGAGAGAGAACCCCGCTGCCGCCTCGAACTCCTGTGTATAAGAATATTTCATAATTCAGTTTACGGAGCTTTTTTTTTCATCTACATCATCTTTGATCACCCCCTTTTTTTTTTTTTAATTTTATTTTTTAATATTCGCATTCAATTTTTTCGTTATTACGCGCGCGCGATGAAAATTACAACGAGCGAACGGGCGAATGTCTTTATGAGTGCACGCGTAGCACTGATTGGAAATTGTTTCGTTAGCCGAGGAATGAGTAAAAAAAAACCAGAGTATATCGAAAAAGCTCCACAGAGAGATAGCCCTTTGAATTTCCTTCTTTTTCCTTTCTCTCTCTCTCTCGATCGGGAAAATAAAGTTAATCGAATCGAGCTGCTGTTGCTGCTGCTGCAGCACAGAGATAGAACCATCTCTCTCTCTCTAGCTGCGGGCGGTAAATTCTAATATATAAATCCATGTAACATCTCGAGCAAGAAATCAGTCGAGGCAATATAATTCTTATCTAATTTTGTTGCAGCGCGCGTGGCTACGCCAGAAAGAGCCCCATAAATACATGTAACACACACACACACACATTAAAGTCACGCATCGAGGCACCAGAGAAGATACTCATCTCTCGGCGAACCATCATCAGCTTGCGTATACACCACGCCACACCACACTGCTGTATATGCATTGCAATAGTCTCTCTCTCTCTCTCGCTTTTGCGCCTGGTATAGCCAGGCGCACGAGAGTGCCGCCAGAACTAGGTCAGCAGGTCAAGCGTTGGCTCAGATGTGCGCGCACACGTATATATACGTACTCGCACACACTCACTCAATTTGTGGCTCTACGTGTATATACCTATGTATATACCTACTGCACATGGATATAGTATATAATATATATCTGGCCTCGACTGAGAGGGCTGCTATATAGCGTATAGCGATGATGTACATGGGTTTAGAGATGAGAAACGCAATTCGACGAAATTACGAGAGGATAAGAGAAAAAAAATCGTCCAATCGGCAACGATCGAATTAATCTCCGTGAGCTCCGATACGAAAATAAAAAGTATCCGAAGCGACACGAGGGTAAAAAAAAAATGGGAAAAAGAAGAAAGAAGACGAGGGAGAATCGTCGCACGGGCGGTGCAGTGCAGTGCAGAGGTAAGAGAGGTCGCGGCCAAGGACGTTCGACGCGTTGCTCGCGCGCCTCGTATATAGCGTTTGGGTCAGTGTAGCACAGCAGTAGCCTATGAGAGCTCTGCTGCAGCCGCGGGGGGATGAATACGACGACGACGACGACGACAAAGGTCGTGGCTAAAATGTTTCATTTTTTATTCGCTCTTTCTTTTATTGTTATTATCGCTCTTCTTTTTTTTTCTTTTTTTTCCTTTTTTTATTTTGGCCAAGAATCGAGAGCTGCTTTGCTCGAGGCGTAAATAGGCATCGTCGCGTGCGGCGGTGGTTGAAAAGAAAAACTAATCGCGCGAAATGCGATATCGATATGCTTTTTTTCAGCAAAAGTAAATCCCGGGGATTCGGTTACAGATCATCGTCGTCGTCGTCGGTCGTCATCGCCTGACGACACGACATTTCGTTGTTATCTGTACGGGCAGGCACGAGCAATGTATACACGGAAAACCATGAAGTAGACGTACTTCGCGAGGCATTTTAAGTACATCGTTGCGCGAAGTGAGTCGAATGGATAAATAATTGACCTTAATGATATCAATTTCACGATTGCTAACGCAGCAGTAACAGCGCTATAACAGCAGCGATAGTAGAGAGAGCATAAGCATAAAGAAAGAAAGAGAAAAATGAAGCTGCCGCGTTAACTGGAGTGAAAATCGCATTATATATAGTTTAAATAATCACCTGTTTTATTACTCGCAAACAGGCGAGAGAGAAAGAGAGGTAGATAAGAGATTAAAGCAGCGGAGAGCAACGTAGCAAAAAAGAAGTAAAATATTATTTTTCATTTCAATAATCCATTGAAAGGTTGCGAACGAATGAATAATAAAGAAAAGGAAGCAGAGAGAAAATTAAACGCGTGCCCCACGAACAAGAGCGACGCGGCGAACAATTTGTTCTTTTTTAACACTTTATATACCCCGCTCGTCGCGCGCGCGCGTTATTTCAAGCATCGCTGATTTACTGATTGAGCTTTATCGCAGGCGAGTAGGCGGGCAGATCTCTTTATATATATTATATTCGGGGGGCGCAGAGAAATGGGCAACGACGAACGAACGAACGAACGGGGGAAGAAAAAGGAAAAAAAAAAGAAACGAAAAGATCCGCACTGCAATTCTGGGCGCGCGCGGTGAAAGCTGCAGCACACGTTCGCCCGGGGACAGGTGGCATGTGCGCGCGCAAGCGCCCAAGTAAATTGGATAATTGGATTGGCCGTTTGACGAACGACCGACTGAGAGAGAGAGAGAGAGAGAGAGAGAGACGTCCACGTGCATTTAATTCTAAAACGCATACGATAATAACGATAACGATAATTTTCCAAGTCGGGGCACGCACGCGCGTCACCTTACGATGTAAAAATCGCGGTTTAGCCCAGCCGCCCGCGGCTGAAAAGGCAAAATCTCTGTGCATAAAATGATAGCTAGCAGCAGCCGCACGTGCGCGGCACGCACGCAATTTGCGAATATCGTGCATTGCGCCCACCCCCGTTCATACGCGGTGGAAAAGAGCATAACGCGGGAGTATTGGCACACGAGTATTATAAGATCTCTCTGTGCACCGCATATCCTTGAACTAAAGTCTTTCTCTCTCTCTCTCTCTCGCGATGAAGGGCATTTCCGCCATCAATTTGTGCAAGCTCATCTCTAAGAAGACGACACTCGATACTCTGCTTGCTGCTGTTGCCTATCTTCTTCCCTTCCCCCCGCTTTTGGCTGCCGACGAGCATTGCAGTCTCGTGTGCAGTCGTAGCCTCCGTTGCTGCTGCTGCTGTTACTGCCTTCTTGGTGCATTTGCCTGGCTTCAAACAGCAGCAACGGCTGTGACGCGCATGCCCGAGACGAGCTTCACTTTATACTTCTTTTACTTCGTTCCTTTTTACTTTTTTTTTTGTATCATTTAGCTTCATTTTCATCAATGTTCGCGAGCGAGCTCGAGTAACGATTTCTCTCTTTCCTTGAGAGAGAGCCCGAAGTTTCGACTACTAAAAAGCTCGAATTTCTCCCATCACGGCCAAACAGTACTATTATTATTTTTTTTTTTTTTTTAAGCCGAGCTCTTCTCTTCTCGCTCCGATCTCGAACGAAGGCTAGTTCGAAAACATCTCGCAACTTCGTTTCAGAAATTATAACGAGAGCCTCTTTTCCTCGTATTATATAGGCTACCATAGACGTTGATTATGTATCGAGTGCTTTGTTTGCCGCTCCTATATAGGCATCGACAAAAAACAATCATAATACTATGCGGCGCTAATTATGTATCTCTCGCGACTCTGCGTGCACAGCTACGCGCGCACAGATGAAGAAAACAGAATCTCGGTATTATAAAAGATGTTTGACGAGTTTACTGCAGCAGCAGCAGCAGTAGTGGTACATTGTACTATAATACGACGCGCTAATTAGGAAGCAGCGTTACTTACACGGGCGAGAGAGAACTTTATACACACACACAGATACGCTTGCGAGCTTGATTCGTAATAGACTTGACCTTACGCGCGTCTCTATTGCGAGTGTACATAGGGGCACTTTTCAGGCCATCGCACAAATACATACACACGCACACAACTATTACACCGAGGCAAATGAAAAAAATATTGTCCCTCGAGTCTCGTTTTCCAAGTGCAGAAAGCCAGGCAATGAAATTCTCTACGTATAATACGCGCGCCTGCTATTGTAGCATAGTTGCGCCAGTTATTTCTTCTTTTTTTTCCTTTTTATTCAAAGCCGTATAGGCGATCGACTCGCAAGCTCGAGATGTATGTTACACGCGCTTATCAACACAATGTGTATAAAACTTGTCAGCGTGCCCTGTCGGTCTCGCGTAAGCGCGCGTGTGTGTTTTTAAACCGAACGAATTGGCGTGTTACATATACACGCGCGCGTCCGTGATAGAGGAGTTAAATCGATCTCGATGAATACATTTATAAACGCACACGAGGAATCGTGTATAAAGCTCGTCGGAGTGAGAAAGAGCTTTAAGTACGTAGGCGCGCGCGCTCAAAAGAGCTGCGACGACGATTACGTTTTCATCTAATTAAGGAACAACGGGCAGCAGCAAAAGCAGGAAGAAAACAAAAGGCGACATAATAATAATCGATCTCTCGGCAAGTAGCGTGTGCATATTACACACACACACACACGACTAGGATGGAAAATATATTATTACACACGATATGTACTTTAAGATGCGTGTTTTTCTCTCCCTCGCGTGAGCCTCGTATTATATACATATGCCTATAGTGCTAAGAGTGTGTATAATATACGTATGTGTCTGGGTTGTTCTCGCAAGGCGTATGCGGAGTGAGAACTGCTGCTGCTGCTGCTGCTGCTAGCTCGAGCGCGAGGAAACCCTTATTTACCCATAAGCCATTCTACCCTGTATAGAATAAATGGTTACTATAGAAATATCGAACCGACACGATAGTCGTCGTCGTCGTCGTCGAAGCGCCCATGCAGCGCACACAGCACACACACTGCAAAGCTTTCGAGAATCAACGACCTTCTTGCTTTGATGTATGAGTGTGTAGATGTGTGGCTGTGTGTCTGGTGTATATACACATACGCGCGTTTGTACTTTGTACACGTCTATCCGTGCACGGATATAGGAGGATGATCGCCCGCCCGAGAGATCCGATCGTGACGAGAACAATGAGAAAATCATCAGCCGAAAAAGTGTTTAGCGTTGCGCCGCCGGGTATATCATTTCGCGTAGAAAAAAAATTGCTGGTGTATTATAAAACACGCGCGAGTCGATGCGAGCGGATTATTCGAGCTTTGGTTTTTTTTCGTCTTTTATCGTCGTTATAGTTTTTTTCTTTCCTTTTTCATTTAGGAGTGTCACCGCCCCACATGACCATGAGATCACTTGGCATTGAAGATTATACGAGCTGCCGCTGCTGCTGCTGCTGCTGCTCTGCCGCGCGACGTGTGGGAGTGTGTCAAATATCCTTGAGCTTAGATTTTATTATTAACTATAAAGTGTTTGAGCTCGTGTGCGTGCGTGTACTAGTAAAATTTTCCTACTTCTTTCTTTCTCTCTCTCTCTCTCTCTCTTTCTCTCTTTTCAGCTGATACGGCTCGTTGGGTACGTAAATTGCATATTTACACCTGCTTTAAAGCGGCACGTATAGGCGAGACACGAGAAAAAAAAACTACTTTTTTTAAAGGCGAAAATCATCGATCGAGCTTTTTTCGCCAAGGGGATGATGGAGCGAGGCCAATTTCGACGTGTCATTGCAGTGGATCTTTGTTAAAGGACACGAAGCTTTTCAAAGTTTCGATCGAATTAAAATAATCCAGTTGATTTAGTTTTTGCTATAAGTATACAAGAGATGTGTTCCGAATGAAAAAATATGTATAAAAAAAAACTTAATACTCACTTCCTCGAGGTCCGTAGAACTTGACCGAGAACTCGTTGAGTCCGCCGAGTATCGTCACTTCGTGCTTGCTCTCTATTCTGTACAACGCAAGAGCGGAGGAAAATAATCTAGTTAAGGAAAATATATTATACGATATATATATATACTTTGCACCTAAATAATGAATAAAAAATCTCATTAAGATCGATGATGCGTGCGAGTGTGCTTGCGAGCTTTCATCGTATACGCGATCATCAATTTAGCGAAATCGATCGACTCGCGTCACGAAAATGAGCATAATAAATATAATCTCTCTTCCTCGTCTCTCTCTCGATTTTCCATGCGCGCATACACACACGAGTGTGCTCGAGTACATATAGTCGCGCGGCGTATATACGCGTGCCCCCGCGTGTGCATGTATATATATAATAAAATATCGAGCGAAAAACGGGTCCTCGGATTTTCCCGTTATATACAGGCCGCCGTTGCTTCAAGTACCTTCGGGGGGCTTGGTGCCTGCTGCTGCTGCTGCAACGCAGTATTCTATACGTAGCAGTAGTAGCACGCGCGACTCTCTTTCTTTCTTTTCTATCGCATAGAGCGAGCGAGTGAGAGAGAGAGAGAGAGGATATAGAATTTGTTCTTATAGATACGTACAGTAGTGCCGCGCGCGGCGCGATAAAATCGAACGAGAGAAACCTTGCGCCGTTTCCATATACACGCGCGTGTTAAACTGCGTATATGAAGGGCGTTATATATATAAAAGAGGCAACGACGACGACGACAACGACGACGGAGAGAAGACGACGCAGATCCGCGAAAAATTGAAAAAGAGAAAATAACGCCGAGGGAAAAAAACTCAATTGCCGCTGTGCAAACAATTACATTATAATATAGAGACTTCTTTGCATTAAATGCGTCCGAGCGAGCGAGTGCGCAGGTAGGTAGGTGGCTACTACTACAGAGGCTGCTCTAGCTTATATCCCACTACTCCGCGCAGCACGCGACATTAATGCTGCATTATGAAAATGAGGATTGCATCGCGCTTACGCAAGCTGGATAAGATCTCTCTCCGTCTCGCTCGTTCTCTCGTGAATTAACGTTTTTTTCTTCCTAGCTTTGGTCTTTTTTTTCCTCTTCTTCGTCTTCTGTTTTTATTTTTCCTATTAAAAAGATTCCTGCGTCTCATCGTCGTGGTGCGTCCCCGGCTATATCCTCCTCCTACTTTTTTGCACACGTACATGCGCGACACGACTTTGTATAATTGCACTTCGTTGAAGTTAAAGCGTATGTAGTAGTGTAATGTGGCAAGTGTGTACTTCTATTACCACTACTACCATCTTCGACATTATTATATCGTTACAAAACTACAGCAGCGGAGCTATTAAAGAGCTGCACACTGTATATATAAAGCACAGCATTGGGTGCACACGCGTATAGACGAGTACGTACATACGTACACACAATCGCGCGGATGCATCGAATGCTTCAGCGAAGAGAGCTGCCGCTATACATCCAACAATTTTCATTTGTTGAAAAATAAATAGAGGAAAAGAGTTTGAAAAGTAAAGAAGGCACGGTAACTTCCGCCTAATGCAATTTATGTATTGCAGCACACACAAACTCGGTACTGTATCGCAATGTTGTATAGGCAGCTCTCTTCCATTGCCTCTGCTGCCGGTGCTGCAGTTTTTTTTTCTCTCTCTTTCTATAGCTGCGCCTATTCTTTTGAAACAGCGATGCGCCGTACGTAGTCGCGAGCACACGTGTATTACATAAAATGAAAAAAAAAAAAAAAAAAAGAGGGGCACCTATGCAGAGAGCGTCGAGAGATGGCTAGAAAATGGTCGTCTCTCGCGGGAGACGATTGCAACAATAAAAAAAAAAAAGCGAAAAAAAACGAACGTGCGAAGGATGATAGAGAGAGAGAGAGAGAGAGAGAGAGGGCAGACACGCGCGCGTGCACGTACAGTACACAAGTATTTAACGCTGTGTGTTTGTGCATAAGGTCGATCAGCTGGCTCGCGCGAGGTAACGTGCTCTGCTGCAGCAACGGAGCTCTCTGCTCGCTGCTCCGCTCCTCCGCGCTCTGCGGTGGCGCAGAGTGATGATACACGTACCTATATAGTCATAATACAGCGCACACTCGTCGTCGCACAGCACATGCATCGGTCGAACGAACAAAGGAAGAGAGAACTCGGTGCAGAGCTGCTGCTGTCGCTGCTGCTAAGTAAGCGTAAAGCCGAGTGCGGAGCGCGGTACTAATGTACGACAGCTATTGCTTGCTGCTGCTGCAGTACACGTGTGGCATTTACGAGCTCGTCGATTGTGTGTGTGTGCCTCGAGCCTCTAAGCCTATACGATGATGATGACGACGACGATGTGGATCCGCACGCGCGATATACCACGTAATCAGCTGTTTTTTGTTTAGAACGCCTGCGTGTGCTATAGCATATATAGCAAACGTCAAATCCCGAAGTAGGGGGGCTCGATTCTCCCAGGCAGTGTGTGACAGCCTGATTGGACGTAATTGCTGCTGCTGCTGCTGCTCTACGCTAGTCGGGAGCTTTTGTTTTGTATTTATTATGATTCTTTTTTAAAGCCCGCACCGAGTATCGCTCTCTGATAGCAGCGATTATAAATTTGCTTCTCGATCCGACAAAAAACGAGCTCATGTGCCAGCGAAAGATGAGTATAGTAGCGCCGAAGAAGAAGACGCAAAAAAAGAAATAAGAAGCGAGAAAGAGAGAGACCAACGCGAACGAAATCTGTTTTTTTTTTTTATATTGACATGCGAAAGCAGAAAACTCCCCCGCAGCAGCAGTAGCAGTACGCCAGGGAGGGTTCCCTCTCTCTTCCTCCTCGCTGTATAACGTGGCTTATTTTTTATTTCTCTCTCCCATAGCTTTAATATCCTTTTTGTCCCTATATATATACGTACTCTCTCGACGCACTGCACGTCGCGCGCTGCGCATGATAAATTGGATTCGTCGATCGAGTGTGAAAATTGATTGGCCGCGCTCGCGCATATACATACATATATCCTATATATACGCGTGCACACGCGCGAGCTGCCGTTGAGCACATGCATCGACGACGACGACGACGACGACGACGACGACGACGACGACGGCGAACCAAACAACGCGATGAACTCGCGCGCGCATTGCATTTTCATTGTTTGCTGTCGTTGCGTCGGGGCACACAGCGGCGCGACTTTAACTTTGAATATTCATACGCGTAATGAAATAAATATTCTTAGCCTTCGCTTCGTGGGCTGCGTTACGCGTGTTACGCGCGTGCAGCAGCAAGCTATAGCATAGACGAGGCAAGCGTCGCAAACTTTAACTCGTGCGTGGTGTGTGTGTGTGCGTCGATACGTAAACACAGCGGCAGCAGCAGCAGCAGCAACAGCTAGCGTATAATATATATATATAACGAGAGACCAAAAGCTTCGCCAGAGAGCGAGGCATCAAAAGCATTGCTCCATTTTCGCGCGCGCGCGAAATATACCGTCGGTACAGTGCGTGCGCGTTTATATTAAAATGTAATAATGACGATGCTTCGAGCGAGCTATAGCGCAGAGCAAAACGATGCGTTCGCAGGCGTGTAATTTAGGAGCTAGTGAATTTCACGTTTGTAATAAAACGCAAGCGCCACAGCGAGAGCGAAAACTCGCGAAAACTCACGGGCGCGCGCGCGAAACCTGAGATTAGCTAATATTTATACGGCTCTTTTTTAAGAGAAACTTTAATTAAGAGAAACTGAATATATCGCGCGCAGCTTCTCTATGTGTATATAAAAAAAAAAACACACGCACACCCACGAATATGTACGCCGCAGTTTTGTAAACATCTCGCTCTTGCTCTGTACTCGACGCTGAATTGAAATAAAATTCATTCCGCGTTGATTACGATACCGCACGTTTTTAACGTTGTATGTATGTGTGTGTGTGTGTGTGCGTGTTTATAAGTACGCACCGAATTCAGACACGTAATTTATTCGCGTGTACTTGCGCGCTTCGCGCGCGAAATTACGTGCGCGAAGGAGAAACAGAGATGCAGATAGAAATATACGAATGGATACAAAAAAAAAAAAAAAAATGAAATAAAATTTTCTGCCCGCGATAAAAGCGTTAAATATTTCAAGATTGATGCGGTTCTTACGATTATTATATATTATATAGCGTCGGCGAGAGGTTCGCTTACTCGCGCGCGCGCTCACCACCACCACCACCCCGCGGAGTTCAATTGAATTTTCGATTTCCATGATGTGCGTAGCCGCAAGCGCACGAGCCAGCTCCAACGAGTACTATCTACCTACTGTAATACTGGTAGTATACGGGTAGATTCTGGCCTGTTATTTTTGCAGCATTAACTTGTAATGAGCGAGCTCGCGTGTATACGTATGCGCGCGCGCGCGAGCAGCAGCAAAGTTAGACGGACAAATTTTCCATTTGCCTTTTTAAACTTTCAACGAGCGCGTGAGCAGTAGCAGCAGCGCAGACCTCCTCCTCGGGCAGCAGCAGCAACTCTTTTTGAATTATATACATGAAAAAACACCTGAGCTTGAGTCGAAAGTAAATAAGGTTGCAACAGTAAAAAATATATTCGTGATGGTTGGGCTCTATGCGTATTTTTTCAAAAATAATCACGAGACGAGAAGAATATCATCGACCTTCGAGTTTCTGTCCATTCGGAAGAAGAATCACGAGCGAGCTTTAAAACTCGTTTTTGTTTTTTATTCTGGAAAGATCACATCGACACGAGACCGCTCTGCGCAGCGAAGATTACAAAAAGGCAAGAATAAATTAGAAAGAAATTACTCGAACGTTGACTCGAGCTTGCTTTCTTTCTCGCTTTATTTTATTTTTTCTCAAGTAAAGCTCGTACCTATGAATATTTCATTCATCGACAAATGAACCTTCGCGAGGCAAAAAAGAAACGGAAACGTATGCAACCAAAAACTGAATTGATACAGATAGCGAAAGAATAAACGCCCGTGAGTCAAATTTTGTTCAAAGAAACAATGATATATAAGTATATTCCTCGGCGTTTGCCCTTTTTATCAAACTTTAGTCAGGCTTCTATGAAATTTTATATCGTTTCGCTCATAGAATTCCGATAGCGGAATCAGAAGCTCATTACGTATGCCGAGAAAGAAATATATAGGCGTAAGGAGAGAGAGAAAGAGAGTGAACTTTGTCGAATCTCTTCATAATGCTTGGCGTGCAAAATCTTTAAATAGAAAAAGCCGATTATTTTTAGTTTTTTCGCGAAATCTCGGAACAAAGCGAGCTGCTGCTGCTGCGTTTACAAAAAAAGGGCCTCTAATGAATTCATTCGGGTGCAAAGGAAAAAAAAATCAAAACAAAACAAAAATCCAATCCGCGCTCCATTCTTTATTTCTCTCTCCGAGACTTGCCTATTATTCTCTTCTCTCTCTCTGCTCGGCGTCAACAATGATTACAACCCGTTGCTATCGATGCGGACGATCAATAATAGCCCCGCACCGCCGCGACGTACTGTATATATATATACGTACACCATGCGTGCTGCTGCTGCTGACGATGCCCCAAGACTCTCTCAATAAAGCTTCCGATTAAAAGAGCGAAACCAAAGATGCAAGTGGAAAGTTTCGCAGATGTAAAACTAGTCCTCTCTCTCTCATGCTCGCGTAAAAGTTATTGCCTCGCTATACACGCAGTGATTTGATAAATTATATCGTTTCACTCGAGCGTGTGCGTTAGTATGTATATGTGTGGCTGCTGCTGCACGCGTCGGTGTATCATATAGTTATGAAACGCGAGTTTTTCCTAGGCAATAGCCAGCGACGAGGTCGAATTTTCACGGCGAATATTTAGAGAGAGAGAGAGAGAAATATCTAGAGGTGGTGATTATTTTTATCGGAAATCGCGCGTTATATCTCGTCGCTGGTGCACACAGCAAGTGTAGAATTATATCTCTCTCGCTCTCTGATGTGCCCGAGATAAACGAGTGTCTGTGTGTCTGTGTGTGTGACGTTGTAAGCGCATTGACGCTCTTATTTGGCAGAGAAACAAGATCATTACTTTTGCGGCTGCGGATGAGGAGGAAACGAGAGTGACGAAAAGTAAAAAATTCTCAAAGACGGAATTCGAAATTATTCGCTGCGTAGTACAGAGTAATTAATGCGCAAGACCAAATCACGCGGCTAATTCGACTCGATTATGCGTTTTCCTTGATTTTGTATTTCCATTAAGCGTATGCTAAAAACTTTCCAGAAGTCTACATTAGTTTTGGTTAGAGAGATGTTTCGTGGCTCTGAACTAGTATCTGTAACTACCCACCTACCTACATGTTCCTTTATACAAGTTAATTCAAATGCTTCCCTCTCCCACTGGTGTCCCAGTGGTGCACTATGCTCTTTTTAAAGCCACAGCAAAGAGTAAAATGGTTAGGAGAGATCAGCTGGTTTTTGAGGCAACTGTCAGACATTTGAAGTTATATATGCATCTGCAATGCATGACATGTACACGTATGACCACAGCTCAATTCGAATCTGACTTGAATATTCATATCTACCAAGTTTTGACCACTTATGGGAATTTTGAAGTTTCAAATGCTCATGCGATAAAGCTTGTTGAAAGCACCACATAGAGATATGGCATATGAGTAATAAAGTAAAATTAAACAAGCTAGAAATGGAAAATTATTAATGCAATGTCTGTACAGCAACAAATTGAGTTTATATCAGGTGAATACTCGTATTCAACTGTTGGTATCATGTTTCGAGTGCTGGTAAACAAGGTTGTTCTTTCAAATAAGCAATGTACGTATAGCTTTGCGAATTAACAAAGTTTGTTTCAGACTGCCCTACCTTAAGCATACTCAATGTAATAATATTGAATGATAATTGTATGATATAATGATGTATTGAAAAAGGATACAGTTTTATGACATCAGTGTCCATTCGTCGCTTTCCTGCACTTGGCGAAGACATGGTGCTTGCAGTTCTTGTCTTGACTGTTCTTTAAACGATAGGAGGTTGTAGTAACCTCTCTCTTGTAACACAGTAAACTACTCTCACAACAACAATTCACCACACTAATCAATCTGCTACAACAGTGTTGATGTTGTCTTGATGATGAGGGGAAACCGCTGCAGTCTTATATCTCCAGCGAAGAACAGTCCTTGCAGGAGACCAAGACACCAGCAGCGGGTTCCTCGTCGAAACCGCCTCTTGGGGGGCTACGTCGTGGCCAAGCGTGCTCTTGGTTCACCTTGGCACAACAGCAGCAGCAGCAGCACAACCTCGGCCTCGGCGTTCACAGCTCTCAGCTTCCGGGGTTGCTGCAGGTCTCGTGGTGCTTTTATTGTTCGCACACACAGTAGAGAGACTGCAGTAACGATCACACCAGCAGCAGCAGATATATAGACCCTTAGCTCGACTTCACTATGGTAACTGTCACGAAATCTCCCCGTCGCAACAGCTGCGGCTGGACTTCCTGCTTCTTTGAAAATCACACAGAAACAACAATATTTATTATCATCACGACCGCTTGTTACTGTGGTTAATGCGTGCGCGCTATATATGTATATATATCAACAGCAGCACTATATATATATATCAATTACTCGTCAGCTCGTCGGAGCTCTCGCGCACAAATACAACACATGTGTAATTCACACACACACACAAACATACACTCACACGGAGCAGCAGCAGTCAGCAGCTAGCAGCACACGCACAAGAAAGAAGAGCCTTCGACGACGACGACGACTACCATATACAATCAACGGGGAATAAATATTCGGTTGTTAGGTTTTTATGTATTAATAACCGCCGTCAGCTATTAAATTGGCTCGTAACAACAGATACTACAGCAGCAGGAGCAACAGCAGCGGCAGCACAACTATCGTAACGATAATGACAAAGAGTCGAACTGGTGTCGTCTACGAGGAGGAGATGATGCTGGCGATCGTCGACTGGCGTGCAGCAGCACATATTATCCACACCCGCAGTAGTAGTCGTGCTGCAACGCTTTTTTTACAACGACGCTCGCTAGTGGACTACTCGTGTATATTATCGAATGTAACGACATGTATACAGGCTCTCTCGCACTACTTCGAACACGCGATCGTGTGTGTGTGTGTGTTTGTACCTATACAGCAGCGCGAAACCTACTGCTGCTGCTACAACTGCACAGCACTGTGGTAACAGTATCCATCAAAGGTATGCGTGTGAGTGTGTCTCTCTCTCTGCGCGTGTATGTATACATATATGGCAACAACAAAAGTGCAGAATGTGTGGTGCTGCTCCGCTATATATGTATATAATAATAATGTGCGCGCGCGACGGAGGCTCGATCAACACTGGCGCGTCGCGCGAGCTAGTAGCTGCCTGCTGCGCTGCTGCTGCTCCGACATTTGTCTATGTGTGTGTGTGTACACGCGAGAATCGCGCAAAAGCAGCGCGCACTGCTGCTGTCTATATATATGTTTTGCATTTGTGCCTCGCACGGTGCGCGAGGCAGCCTATATGCTAGCTAGAGGGACTCCCTGACTCTCGTGTCCGTGAATGGATGGCAAATGGGCACTGCTGCGCTGCTGCCATTGCTATACATGTAAACACACAGAGACAGACATACATACATACAGCAGCAGCAGCAGAGACTGTGCTGCTGCTGTCAGTGTGCTCGCTCGCCTGCCCTCTCTAATCTTTCGCGAAGCTTTGCCAACAGCTCTACACTGCACCAGCAGTAGAGTAGAGTAGATAGATATAAGCCCGTCTCGCTCGCACTCGCACGCGCGCGGGCGCCTCCGAGAGAGCCCTGCCTACTATATATGCTGTGATTTTAGCGTTCTTTGTCCTTCTCGCGCATGCAGTAGCAGTTTCGAGCAGCTCCGCTTGTAATGCGCACGCATATACGTAATAATAAATTTACCTATTATAAGTCTACGTTAAAGCGGAGCTAGCTCCACTGCTGCACCTCTACTATATACACGCGATGTTAATGAAGTCGAGCGCGCGCGCGTGTTTTTGCTCTCTCGAATAGACGTCAGATATTATTTTGTCATCGACGTAGCGCGCGGCTGAGAATATCGTCTGCAACGCGATACACATACATGCACAGATGGATGCGTACATGTATGTGTGGGAGATCGCGTGCTACAATACGTAACGCGGAACTTTGTCCCTCGCGTTTTGATTCGGTCGCGCGACTGTCATTATATACATATATTTGTATGTATGCATCCATGTGCATGTGCAATATTTTCCGCTCCTGCTGCATAGACTATATTAACACAAAGTCGAGAGGAGTAGTAGTGGTGCTGCTGCTGGTGCTGCTGCGCCTGCCCGTGCAGTTTCTCTACTGCTGCTGCTGCCTTTATGTGCGCGCCGCGACGTGTGCAGTCGATCAGCGTGTCTGCAACGCTATACAGGCAGCATAGTCTCGTCTCTCGATAAATTTCGTACAATATATCAAGTATTTTGAGGCTTTTGTTTGAATATATGTAGATGTAGCACAACGTTCGATACGCGGATCGAAGTCGGATATAATTTAACACGGAGAGTTTTTGCGTCATGTTTTTTTGCCTGAAACATTTTACAGCGGACCGTATAAGAATGTATGGAAACCGGGGAAACAACAACAGCAGACCATAGAAATCGACAAAAATTACATTTTGCATGTCCGTTTATTACAAGCGATAAGTAAAATTTCGAAGCAAATGAAATCGGAGTCAAGAAGCAGCAGCAACAGCAGCAGCAACTATTCAGTACTTGAAATTGGACTTTAAATTAAAAAAAAAAAAAAAACAAAAAAATGAGCGATCGATTAAATACCTTTGAATGAGTTATCAATAAACACTGAGATCTCTTTAATACGTAATTTTTCAAAACTGAATGTGTGCACTGGAAGCGATAGGACATGTGCAGAACTTCGAGATCGTAACAAGATTGAAACCCACGAAAACCTATACGATGATGCGGAGGTTTAGGCTGACGAAACGACTACAAACTACTACGCACTAATTTTTAACCGAGAGGAGCCATGCTCGCGTGTGCTTCCCATATAGTTGTATTATTACACGTGTGTGTATGTGTGCTGCGTATATGGCGATCTATATACATGCGATGTAACGGGTAAGAGAAAGATAGAGAAACATATTTCTCTCTCTTAAACCCGAACGTATGTTTGTGTGCGTGTGTCTGTGCGTGGGTCGACGAGCTGATCTCTTTTTTTTTCGAGCACAAAATAATAATATCACACATACACACACGTACATACACGAGCCTCGGGATTGCTAAGTGTGAGTCTCGAGCGTGGCTCCCCCATAAACACGACCACTACCGCACCACTATATTGAAACATCGTATTATTCGGAGAGCGTAATACACTTGCACACGAACAACAACGACACACATACACACACACTCTCACTCGTCTTGTATTTTCTTATTAAAGCGCCTATAGTATAGCGAAACCAGGAAAATTAACGTGGTATATTTACGAGTGCAAGTGTGTGTGCATGTGTATATATCATGCTCACATGGGTGTGCAAGTACGTGTGAGTGTATACAAGCACGCACTCGCGCTTTCTAAACAAAGAAGTATACACTCGCTCGACGCGTGCTGCAGCTGATGCCTATATGTATATATAATATTGTACACTTGCGCGATAGTAGTATACAAATTGTAGAGAGAAAGATCGCGCTCCGACACATATATACCTGTACGCTACTTGTTATTATATATTTGCAGCTCGCAAAATTTATGAACCATCGTCACGATCACTTACCTTTCGCGACGACGGCGGCGACGGCGGCGGCATTAAAGTACAAAATTTAGCTCGTTTCGTTGTTACATCAACCGAACGAATCAATCCCTTGAGTCGAGCCGAATATAATATTCACGCGCGCACACTAACTATTTATCGCGTTAATAATTAACGTAACTCGAGCGGTGCGTCATCGCCGAGTCGTTCATTTATTTTTATTTCATTTACATTTTTGTTTACGTTCGGATTATCCTTTTTTTATCGAGTAAAATTTTCTTTCGAATTCGGAGCAGACACAGTTTATATACTCTCTTTCTCTCTGAAACAAAGTCTCGGACTCCTATTTAGTACATGTAACACGTCCATTTACACGATCCGATATATGCATATAGGCGAGGGAGAGAAAGAGATGTCAGCGCGCGTGCTGTATTTTATTGCGTTCAAAGAGCCGAGAGCTGTGCAGTCGAGCTGACGAACCCTTTTACGCTCGACAATGTTTTTGTATACATTTCTGCGCGTTGCTATATGACTGCTGCTGCTGCTACTGCGAACAGCTGATGTCGACGCTATTATATACTACTCTTTACAAGAAAAATTTTCTCGTCCTCGAATACAGATCTAAGAATTTGTGGAAAAGTTTTTACCCAAATTTCGATAATCATAGAAGACTCCCAAGGTTTTTTTTTTGAGAAATTAAAAGGCCAACTGGTGTATCGAGGCACGATTCACCTTTTTAAGGAACAACAGCTGCTCTTTGTATACACGCGATTCTGACTAGACTTTGTAGGTATACCTATAGATATCTCGACACCACCACCACCACCGCCGTCGAAGACGACAACATACACACGCATCGAACGCTTTCGAAGTTTTATACATCGACGAGGGGGGAAAAAATCAAAAACGAAATCTCACAGACGCACCTGCGGCTATTGTCTAATATAAATATAGGCCACTTATATATTGCGATTGGTTATAAAAAAACATGCATATCATTATACTCACGCGTTCTCGATTGTCGTATGCATCTGCGATATTGTATTGTATATATCAAAGCAGAACCTCAACGGCTGGAGAGACCATGTAACTCTCTCTTTAATGTTATCGGCATGCGAGCGAATGCGCGATACACGCGAATTTGCAATATTATTTACTCGCTAATAATATAACGTACTAAACGACGCACTCCTCGGTTATATGTGTACAATCATCTTCGCGCAATCGCTCCTCTTCTCTCACTGTCTGTCTCTCTTTTATTTTTTTGTTGTTTATGTACTGTCTGCGTTGTTTTGACGCGACGCCTGATACTCGATGGTGTTTCCCTCACTCTCCTATATCTATCTATCTATCGTCGTGCACGCCAACACCGACACACACTTGTCAGTGTGCTCGAGCGCGCACACACACACACACGATTCAATACTATACTAATCTTTTGTGCTTCACACATGCCATGGGTCATGCCTCGTGCTGCACACAGCGCAGACATACAGAGAGACTCGTCGTAACTCTTGTAAAAATCGTCGTGATGCACTCTGCACTGCGCGCGCGCGTGTTTATACATGTAAGTACGCGACTTTTGCATTACACAGGCGTCCGCGCGACGTCGTTATAACGTGCGAGTTCGACTCCGCGATCGAACGCGCGCATTTGCTTTTCAAATTGCGCGAAGGGGGTAATTATTCATCGTTTCAATTTTTCATACGCGTGAAGCGGCAGATCGAGAGCTCTTGATTGTCGAAACAGCACGCGTTACGTGTGCATATGAGTATATACGAGGAAATTCTGCGGACAAAACTCTATCATCGAGTAACAAATTCGTTTTTATTCAATAAAAGGAGAAAAAAAGACGTTCGGTATAAAAGTTGTAATATTAAAAAAAAAAGTTGTATCTACAAGCTACATTATATCAGTATTTCGTAGTAAACACTTAAGTACTAATACTTTTTTTTTGCGAAACGACTCGCTTGTAAAAGCGATCGCGTTATCTTGACTGCAGTCTGGTAAAATAGAATATATTGCGCATCGCGTTAAAACTTTTTCTTTGCAGGTTGTACAAAAGATCGTTATCAATATGGCAAAATTTAAAAAATCATAATGTAAAAAAAGTTACATTGAATTATTTTCAGTATACAATACAATTCTTAATAGCTAGGGCAGACTATTGTTATTTGAGATTAATTATTATAATATCTATATTCAAGTATTTGAAATTGGTTCTCAAATACTTCAGTCGTTGTTTGATAACACATATTGTTTTGGCCAGTTCATTTGTTCGATTATTGGATAGGCTAATCACATTTGCACATTTATATAATATAATAAATCTTATAAAATATATGTTGAATAATATTTCATTCAGAGATCTCGCGCAGCTGTATCCAAATGTTTTGTTTATCATCGGTATTCTTTTTATTCTTCTACAGATAACTGCTGCGTCTTCTCGAAATAAAATCGTTATTCAATTTTTGATTGCTACTTATTGACTCTTAAATATATAATCTACTGATACAGTTACAACGAAAACTGCCTTTAGTAATACTAGATGCACAGTATAAATACATGAATTTTTTCGAAAGAAAAGATAGCAATGGAATGGTTGGAATATATTCTTCAAAAATCTCCGAAGTTCTGCATAAATATTCTAAGATTCGATGATATATTGCCAATAAATATGGATTATCTAATCTATAGCCGTTTTTCTGGAGAAAGCTGTCAGTGACAGCATTTCATTGGGCTCTGTTGGAAGCCTTGAAAATTCAATTTCTTCGCTGACGCTGTTTTCTGAAATGTTAAAATTAAGTTTAAATATACTTCAATGCAGTTACATAAAATTAATCATTAATTATTTACCAGAAGGTTCGACTGGCCATTGTTTGTGTGATGGCGCGTATAAACAAAGAAGTGCTATAGTATAAATATTCCACATTCCATAAACTCCAGTAAAGAAAGCTGAAGTCATTTCTAATTCGATGTCTTGATCCCATTTCCACTGTCCTTCAGCAACCTAAAAATTTTTAATTTATTGATTACCATTTAATTTTCAAATTCAATAATTTTTTTTAACATCAAATAGTAAGTACTTGTCCAAGAATAAAACCAATGACTGTCAATGATGCACACAATAGGGTGGCGACCATCAAGAATTTAAAACGGTAAATTACACCTTCATAGTGTAAACGTCTGGCAGAGCTCATACTTGGTAGAGCAGCTCTTTTAATACTTATATTAGTGAATACTTTGTAAATCATATAAGTTAAGAATAAAAGGTATGATCCGGCAGAAACTCCAGCTAAAATGATGAATGATAATGCTAATTTGGCTCCTATGTTGGTCACCCAGATTGAATAAAATGGGTTTCGCAATTGTACACCGCGTTCGCACATATCGAAAAAGAGCAGCGACAAACATCCGACTCCGACGGCTGATAAATGACGCCAATAGCCTTTGAGTGATGTCTTTTGATCGCCATCCTAAAATGAAAATTTATTTAATAAATTAATTTTCTCGATGCAAAAAACGTTGGTAGCATGCTGAATACCAACCTGAACCATGAGATGTTCTCCAGCAAACACAAGCCAGAATGACAAAAGCGTCGCATAAAATATACCTTGCCTAATATCTTCTAATAGAAGCATGTATGGCATATCAAATAATAAAGTAAGATATTCCAATGGCACTGAAACAATTAATACATCATTACAAGTTTTTTAAACTTTTTTTCAAAATTATTTTACAAATTAATTTTTTAATTTCTTACTATTGAGAAGACTAAGAGCACATCCAAGTACTAGTAACATGTATTCTAAAAGTGCAGGTGATCTAGACAGCATATGTATTCTTCTCCAATACCAGCACAGTACTAATAAAGTAATTGGGAAAGAAACCGTTTTTAGAGATACCCAAACTTTTGTGAATCCTCCATTTTGGTTAATGACCTATCAAGAATATTTTAAGAAGGATTAAATTTCATCTTGTATGGGTATCTATTTAATTTAATTATTTTCAACTAACTGTAACACATAAGTCAGTAATGTGTCCTAAATCTTGATTGGTCTTTTTAAGAGGATCATTTGGTAAACGAATATTCAGCAAGTAATAATCATGAAATACAGAACCCAGTTCGAATAGTGATAATGTACTGCAGTTATAATTATACTCTTCTCTGGCCTAAAAATAAAAAATGGAAGATATAATAACTGAAAAAAATATTAATAAATACAATAGTTAATAACAAACATTGTCTATTGTGCACTCCAAATTTCTTTCCACAATCGAAGAAGCATAATGTTTCCATTCATCTTCAGGATCACCTTTATTTCTGTAAGCTAGTCTTGCATCTATAGTCAGTTTTGTAATTGGAGCTAGATAAAAAATTTAAAATTGATTATCACTATTTTTTTGACATCATTCAAAAAGACTATAAAAAGATTACTTACGAACAACAATATGATTGTGATACATTACTTCAATCTGTAAAACTCCAATTAAGCTATGTTGCCATCGAGAATAGTCTAAGAATTTACCATTTCTTGGTGTTGGCATCTAAAAATGTAATTTATTATGAAATTTAGTTAAATAGTGAATGACTTTATCAGTATTTGCTTTATGAAAGCAGAATAAAATTACCTGAAAAACATAAACTAACGGTATGATTGTCTCACTCATTTCATGAGTATCAACATGTACACATTTTCCTGGGGGTCTGAAGTACATCCAATCATCCAAGCCTGGTGGTGTTCCATTCACATTGAGTTTATCTCTACATGCAGTTCCTAACATATTTTGACTATTCGATGGAGGGGGTGCTGAAAATAAAGTTTGTTAATAATTATAACGATCATTAAAAAAAAGTATAATGACAAAAATTTTAGAAAAAACAGAGTCAAGCAGAGAGATTCAAGAGAGGTAATCAAGAGAGAAGGATAAAAAAAAGGGTACACAATGGTTGCAATAAGACCCACTTGTCAAAAGAAATATCGGAGCAATGATGTCTCAAGTAGCTACTTCTTTGTTAGTCTCCCCCTATCGCAATATACACATGTATGTGGTTATAAGGGTAAGAGGGCAGAGGAATAATTGAAGAAACTCCCCCAATATAAATTTGTGAAATTTCAAAAGCACCATCATGAAAACTCGTGCGTGTACATTCGACAAAGAACCGCGTACAGTACATTTGACTTTACAATCATCATTAGCGCAAAATCAAAACGTAAATATAAAAATGATAAAAAAGTGCGTAAAATATTTTACGTAAAAACAACAACCAATCGAAGTTGGTGCTGTTACTAAAAGAGATAATTTTGAAAAAAAAAAGAAAAAAAAATCATCGATGTCGGTCCGCTTTCCTACACTCATATCGAAAATAGCGAAATCACAGGTGTCAATAACAAGTGTTTTAGTCAAAGGGTTGACTGCGTATTCTTAACCTTTTCACAAGCAGGTAAATTTCGCACAGTCGAAATAAAATCCTTCACAAAGAAGCATACAAATTTTCCGTAAATTTCGATTCAATGAGTCATTCTCGCGTTTCGAACGTAATTATTATGCACGCGACAAACTCAAAATCGTCCGTACAGGTATTCGTTTCGAGTAAACAAAGATAAAGTATATCGCGGAAAGAAAGCGCAGCCTATCCTTCGATAAGAGATGCATGCAAAAAAAAAAGTGAGAATGCAGCTTACCAACGAGACCACCGATGAGAAACGATACAATTTGTGCGACGACGAGCAGAGCGACGAGCACGGACAATTTTTTGCCGCTAAGATTCTCGATGATCGTTCCCTGCATTTTGACGTTTTGTTGTTTACGTATAAAATTATTATTAAAAACGCTGCACTATAAACGGACGATTATCTCCACGGGTTCGCGCGCCGGTGCTGCGTGTATAACAATACTCCTCTTCTGTTCACCTCCGCTGCCGAGATGTCGAGAACTGAGCTCCGAAAAAAAAAGGACAACGAATATCTCCGGTGCGTGTATATGTGTTTTATATGCGATGCTATTATGCTCTGTGTGCTGCACGGCACGGACGCCGGGACGCTAAAAGCTTCAGCTGCGTAGGTAATATGCCTGTATGTATATGTAGAAAGCCGCGCGGCGGCGGCTTCTTTGTTTCTCTTCCGCGCACCAGCCAGCCAATCTCGCCCGAGTTCCGATGAAATGTAATACCTTATACATGTATAGCGCTCGCACGCATACACGTATAGACAGGTATACGTGTGTGTAATGGTGCAGCGCGACGAGAGACTGCGATTTACTTTTCCATATCCATATAATATATAGCGCGCGTATTATATCCTGCTCCGGTGCGGGAGGGTTGACATAACTCGGAGGGGTATTTGGGGTAGGGATATAAGAGATGGTGCCACGGCGCGGATTTATTATGACATGGGCGGTATATTATGATCCGGTGAAACTGTGAACGGGCATGACAAAATATTGTTATTGTTCCTCTTCCGTTTTTTTATTTTCGTAAGCGATCTCTGTGAAAAATAAAGGATTGCGACGTAAGTAAACTGGAATGTTGTATGGGACGGATGTGTGCGGTCCATCACGATTTGTAGTACGCGAAGTATCAAGAACAATATTTTTAGTTGCGGGTTTCCAATTTTTATTTCTCGAAATTATACGATCGTTGAATAATGTATTATTATTTTATGAAGAAAATTAATGGACTCGGTTAAATGTTAAAAAGTTAAGTACTACACATTTTATAAGTTTCATTAATTGTATTTTTTTAGATTATCTTCGATGTTTTTTAAATAAAAAGTAATGAAATTCTATCATCAAACTAATTGATTATTTAGGAAAATTGTAATCAAGCCATTCGTTTATCTTAATCTCTTAATGAGGTATATGTGATACTTCATCTAAGTGACAAAAACTATCTCTGTTTAATTAATTCTTTACTTTTTTTTATGCTTGATCAAACTGCAAAAACACATTTTACCTCATACAATTTCAAATTAAACCGCTCTGAATAATCGGAGCTCGCTTCCACAGATTATGGCGCCGTATGCAGCGCGTAGACTTTCCGAAGAACGTGTTTCTCCACCGTCATAACCTTTTTCTTTACGGCGATCGCACGGGTCACTACTCAGTAAGTCGCATTATTTAAACTTTCAATAAACCATGAGGTTTAATTAATCTATAAATGATTACTTAATCAAATTACGCGTCTGTGAATGTGTTCATGAGTTTCTAACAGACATTGCATTTATAGTACTCTAAAATGGATTTTTTTTATGATTTCAGTTCAAGATGGGTCGTCGCCCCGCAAGATGGTTAGTTTCAAAAAAATCTTATATCTGTTACTACACGTGACGAAACTTAATTATTTATTAGCTGTTTATGATGAGCTGACTCTGACAGTCAAAGTAACATTTCGTAACATATTTTTCATTACCTTACTGATGGCTTGTCATTCTTTTCTTATAGTTATCGCTACTGCAAGAACAAACCATACCCAAAATCCCGTTTCTGCCGTGGTGTGCCAGACCCTAAGATTCGCATCTTCGACTTGGGCAAGAAAAAGGCCTCCGTAGAGGATTTTCCACTATGTGTACATTTGGTGTCAGATGAGTATGAACAGCTCAGCTCGGAAGCTCTGGAAGCTGGACGTATTTGCTGCAACAAATACCTGGTCAAGAACTCTGGTAAAGACCAGTTCCACATCAGAATGAGAGTTCATCCTTTCCATGTTATCCGCATCAACAAAATGTTGTCGTGCGCTGGAGCTGATAGGTAAATAATAAATTTAATCTAACTCCACAGTTAATTGATTATACTTGAACTTTTGTAAAATAGTCAAAACACAGTAATACTGTAGAGTCCCTAATAACTGTGTATTTTGATAGTAAACCTATGAAATTTGCTATATTTATATCATTTGTTACAACAATTAGTAGAATCGAAACAATATTGATCATCAGAAATAATAATTAAAATCTTGTATTTTTAATCAAGGCTTCAAACTGGAATGAGAGGTGCCTTTGGTAAACCACAAGGTACTGTTGCCCGTGTCAACATTGGACAACCCATCATGTCAGTCAGATCCACCGACAGACATAAGGCCTCAGTTATTGAAGCTTTGCGTCGTGCTAAGTTCAAGTTCCCAGGTCGTCAAAAGATCTATGTCTCAAAGAAGTGGGGATTCACCCGCTACAACCGTGCTGAATACGAAGCACTCAAGGCCGCTGGACGATTGGCACCCGATGGATGCAATGTTAAATATTTGCCAGAGCATGGACCTCTGGACCAATGGAAGAAGTACAGAGAATTGCTTGGTTAAAGCAAATTTTTAAAAAACAATAGTTTTAATAAAAGCAAATAGAACTATAAAATATGTTTTTTTCTTTACCATTCTTGTTATAAATTTTCTTACATGATTTAGTAAATACCATAGTAAACCATTAAATGAAATTATTATTTCCCCTTTTTATAAGGAAAATAACAAAAATGCAGTGATAACTGAATATTTCGTCATTGTATACATAAATTGTAGATCATGATAATGTGTTGCCTTCCATCGTTAATTGACATTTCGAGTTGTTGACATTATCATAATTAAGTCGTAAAACGGAAAAACTTAACAACGAACACCCTATGAATGACACAATTTAAAATAACGATCGTTCGAACCATCGAAGGCGTCGCCGCGCGAAATTTACCTTGCCGACTGCTAGGCCGCCTATAACCTGCGAATCGCAAGTGTATTATACACTTGCATATAGCTTTAGCAAAAGCAGCGCAGCGATTGTAAAATCCTCAAGAGACGAGCGAGCGAGCGTATACGTAAGTGTCGAGCCCCGCAAGTGTATATGGTGTCGTTGAATTATACGATGACAACATTTTGACTAGGAAGCTGCTCGTCTCGCGTATTCGCACGCATCGCTGTCAGTTTTTGAGTTTTTTTTTTGTCGAATTCATCAGATGCAAGCTCCGGTTGATCGGGTCGGTTCTTCAGCTCTTCGAAATGAGCTTTGTTGACACGGTGGTGGTGCTGCTGCCGATGGAGGAGTGTCTCGTACACATCAAGATTTTGTACTCGAGTGTTTTTGCTTGAATAGTTTGTGCGTTCTCTCGTTTTCAAGATATAATTTTCAAAATGGTGAGTTTCAACTTTATGGTGAAAATTAATCTGTCGTTGACATCGAAACTTGTGTAGCACGAGAGCTTTATATCATCTCTGCTCCGAATCATTATCTGTTTAGAATGTAAACATTTGGAATGCTTTCATTTTAAATATGTGCATGATTTTGAAATCTGTTTATTTACTATCTTCATTTGTGCTTCAAGACAATTTTTTTGTATTATCCAATAGCATTTGATTCCGTTTGGGATAGTTTTGTTAATGGTAAAAGATCTCTGCACCCTACAAAAGTGTGTTTTTCTTATAGGAGAACTGTTCGTCACAAGAGCTTGACTTTGTGTACGAGGACACGGATAGTCATGCCAATGAGATTGCTGAATTATATAGTTACACTGAACATTGTGAATTACAGCAAAATGTCAAGGTAAAAAAATATTAAATTTATAACTTAGAATAATCATTTTGTAATGCTGAGTATCGTCTGCTTAGGTTTTTGAGGATCAAATGCAGATGTATGATTTGCGCCCAGTCTGGCAAAACTTGACCAGAGAACAGCAAAAATCAATAATATATAAATTGTTGGATCAACTTGAAGTTTCAAACAAAAATTTGAGAATGAAGGCTGCAAGATGTATTTTGTACCTGGCTCAGGGCTGCTGGGCAGAAGTGCAATCTGATAAAGAGCAACAAGACCAGGAAAAAACCAATGTTATGTTACTTTATGAGTGTGGAACATTTCCAGCTTTTATTGAATTGTTAAATATTGAAATAGAGTAAGTTATCAATATTATTTAAAAAATTTATATGATTCTAATTCATTACATTATTTTAGAGCTAGTAATACAGACAATACAGCTATGAAAAAATTAGCAGTAAGTCTTGCAGACTCAGTTGATCTTCGTGTTATTCTATCTGTTTTATACATTATTACTGAAGTGATGAGAGAAGAGATGAAAATCTTAGACTCAAGTCCTTATAGAAAAAATGTTGAAGCATTCAAAGAAGAATTGAGTAAGAAAAATTTTTTAATTTTATTTTTATCTATAACTTTTCACTTTTTAATACAACGATAACTTTTTTCTTAGTGAATGCACACGAAGAAGATTTACTTATAATCAAATTATTGGGAATGGTAACAAGTTTTTGCAGCGGGTCTGCACCACACTTTCCAATGAGAAAAGTTCTTCTTCTACTATGGAAATTAATTTTGGTTTCCTTGGGTGGAATGGAAGAGTTGAGAGAACTTAAAAATCAATATCGCAAACAAGCTGGTCTTGATAACATTAAGGAAGACACAATAGAAGTAGCAAAAGCTATGAGGCCAAGTTCTCCTCCAACAAATGCAGCTGATCTGTTGGACAATCAGAATATGAAGAAAAATAATCGACCTTTTAGGAGGGTAAGTTGAAAAGAAAAAAAAATTTATTGGAAAAAATGTACGAAGCTTTTATCATCTTTCATTTCTCACAGAGCTTAATGAAGCAAAGTTCTTTGGATGAACCAAATTTGGAGAATGACGTTCCAAGATTGCTCATTACCAATGAAGGGGGTGTGGAATCGGGAGAAGGAGACGTCGACGAAGGTGTTTTTGTTAATCAACCAATGGGAACTTATCAAAATTATTATGATAATCCAAACAACCAGCCCGAAATTCGTCCAGATACACCGCCACCTGCCAAGCCTAAAGGATTGCCATGGGTCCCAAAAGTAAGACAGAAAGACGTCGATTTATTTTTAGACGTGTCGAGAAAAAAGTTCGTTGGATACAAGTTGCAAGGTGATCGCGAGAGCTTAGCAGGATTGCCACTGCCCATTCACGAAGGATTGAGCACTCTCAAAAAAGTTAGTTGAAAAATATCATAAAGCTTTCAGAGTTGGAGAATTTTTTTTCCATAAACTCCCAATCACTTTCTTTTAGCATATGTATACATCACTTGCCGAAGTTCAAATTCTAAAGGAGGAGGAAATAGCCAAGAATCCATTAAGCACAAAGGAGCCTTTTATCAGGGACACACCCACTGAAATACTGTATCAAGCAATGCTACCCAATTTGCCTCAGCACATGATTGCCCTGCTGAAAATTCTTCTTGCCGCCGCGCCTACGAGCAAGACCAAAACCGACGGTATCAACATAATGGCCGACATACTGCCCGAAGAAATGCCAGTCATGGTACTGCAATCGATGAAACTTGGGATTGACGTTAATCGTCATAAGGAGATAATCGTCAAAGCGGTTTCGGCTATACTGCTTCTCTTGCTGAAGCACTTCAAGCTGAACCACGTTTATCAATTTGAATTCATGTCGCAGCATCTAGTCTTTGCCAACTGTATACCTCTTGTACTGAAGTTTTTGAATCAAAATATCTTGAGTTACATCGAGACCAAGAACGTGTAAGTACTTCGATCTCGTACTTTTCGATACGTCAATTTTCCCCTCAAAAATCGGTAATAATATTAAAAATCAAATTCTTCTTTTTCAAGTATTCCTATATTGGATTTTCCTACGTGCGTTATCGGTGATCAGCCCGAATTGACTGCAGATAATTTGGAACTTGGTGACAATATGAATTATTCCTGGAGAAACGTTTTTACCTGTATAAATCTTCTGAGAATACTCAATAAATTGACCAAATGGAAACACAGCAGAATCATGGTCAGTACGATTATTGATGGATCGATTTTTTCACGACCATATTTTAACGATTTTTTTCTCTTCCAGATGCTAGTTGTTTTCAAATCTGCTCCAATATTGAAGCGCACCCTTAAAGTCATGCACGGTATGCTGCAGCTGTACGTACTGAAACTTCTGAAAATGCAAACCAAATATCTAGGTAGACAGTGGCGCAAAACTAACATGAAAACGATTAGCGTCATCTACGCCAAGGTCAGACATCGTCTGAACGACGACTGGGCATTTGGAAATGGTAATTACAGCATTTGACTCAATCCCTTTTTGCATAATCCGCGCCCTCGAGACACCCGTAATTTCAATTATCATAAACACCCCACAGATCTAGAGGCTAGGCCATGGGACTTTCAAAACGAAGAGTGCACGCTGCGCAACTGCGTTGATCGCTTCAATAATCGACGCTACTCAAACGCAGTGCGCGACGAGGAGCTCGAACCCGTCGACACGTCGATCACCTCGGTGCTCGGTACCAACGTCGAGCTCACCGAGGAATTCAAGCAGCACTACGAGCTCTGGCTTCAGCAGGAGGTTTACAAGACCAGTATCGATTGGGACGAGCTCCTGGGTCCGAGTCTTGATATATAGGTTTGGGCCGCTGCTCGTGGACCGTGAACTTTGATATTAATATATAATTAATGCCTCTTTGTTGGGTCAATGAAAACGCGTTGGTTCGATCGTTTCCTGAATTATGTGTAATATATTTTAACGAGAATCAAGTCCTATTGACTTTGGGGAATATTATATACGTTTCGTCAACTAGCATTGCGTATTTTAAGCTCTGCAATACAAGTATTATTCACTTTTTATTACCGAGAAGCAAAGATTTTTCATTGAAAAATTCATAATATTACACGATAAGATATTTAAAAATTGTCGAGTTGTACATATTACTGACTTGCGTTTCTTACTTTTTCGTTCGAGTCGTTGCGTGTGTCATTTAATTTTAGCAATCTAACTCATTATAGAAAATGTTTGTGATAGTTCAAATGGAATCAAATTAATTAACCAGGAAGTAATCTTTAATTAATTTCGAAAAATTTATTTACCTTTAATTGTACAAAATGAAATTTAATCATTTCACTTTTTCTACTGGAAAGACTGAATTCATAATTTTTGCAAGCTCTTGTTTATATACTGTATATCATGTCAAAAGATTTTTAGAATTTGTTTTTTGTAAGCGATTCAACATGAATTATTCTCATTCAATTATTCGATATAATGATAACGAAATAACTGTAGATATGATTTTCTTACTCAATTATGTTTTTCTTTTTCGATTTAAGTAAAGTATGAACGATTACTCTACGTAATAAATGTAAACGAGGTTACTGTTTAATTTAAACAATTAGTCATGCTAATATATTAGATCCATACATGTAACAGAAGTATCATGACCCAGAATTGTTATTATTATTTACACTCTTTTTTTATATACAGAATGCCATCTCAACTTACATATGTACATAGTCCGGCTATTTCTGTAGGCTTATGTTAGCTCATCATGATTTATCATTAAACAAAAGTTCGTATACTAATAAACATTAGTTATAATAAAATTCACCGAAGTACTTGTAATATCTGCGCATTAATTCATAAATAACATCCCGTACAATTTCTCTCTTTTCTTTTATCAAGTAACTATACGTATAAATTTTATATAAAAAGTTATATTTCTCGCTCTCAAAAAGCGACTCGAAATTTGGCTCTCGTACGTTTGGTTTTTTTTAAATCTGTAAATCTTTGAAGTAAAAATACCTTACTCAATAAGGTAGTTACATATTATAATTATTGTCAATTGTAAAAAATTGCTTGTGTTGGCCAAATAGGTGACATTAGAAACCATGAAGATTTTCATTTACATATTATCTAAAGTACTTCTAAAGAGTAAGATTCGTATAAATGCTATATACTTTTTGTTCCCAGTGTTTTGTTTAAAAAAAAATCGATCACAGTTTTTGGGTTTGTGTGTGTGTGTGTTTTCCGTATCGTTATTTAGTGCGGGTGGCTCGGTCGGACCCACTTGTAAGTACCGTAGTAATTGAAATTGTTGCGTCTGGCCATCTCGTTGGCTTCCTTGGGTCCGCGCGATCCATACCTGTTTGCGAAACAAAAAAATCGTTTGGTTCAAGTTTTTTTTTACACAGTTTTGTAACGTTCGCTGTATTATTACTCACTTGTACGGTATCGGACGCACGTCGCCGTGCTCGATCCTGTGCAGCAGCGGGGTGAAAATCCTCCAGGCCTCGCTGAGCTCGTCGCTGCGCACGAAGTGCATCTGCGAGCCGCAGAACACGTCCAGAATGAGGCGCTCGTAGGCGTCGGGCAGCTTCAGGCCCTTGTAGCGCGAGCCGTAGGTGAGATCGAGCTCGGTCTCCTCCATGTCGAACGTGATGCCCGGCGACTTGGTGTTCATCTTGACGTAGAGAGCCTCGCCCGGCTGGACCCTGATGACGAGCTCGTTGCGCTTGGCCTTGCCGTCGAATATGTCGCCGGGCACGTCCTGATACTGGATCCTGACCTCGGCCTTGCGCTCGTTCAGGGCTTTGCCGCAGCGCAGAATGAAGGGCACGCCGTCCCATCGCTCGTTGTTGATCTTGAGCACGGCCATGGCGAAGGTGGGCGTGTTCGAGTTCTTCGGCACCGTCTCGTCGTCCAGGTAGCCCAGTCTCGCCTCCGGGTCCTCGGCCTCGGGATCGCCCACGTACTGGCCCAGCACCACGTCGTCGAGCTCCAGCGGCCTGATGCTCCTCAGCACCTTGACCTTCTCGTTTCTGATGTCGTCCGGATGACACGAGGCCGGCTTCTCCATGGCCACCAGGGACAGTATCTGCAGCAGGTGGTTCTGCATGACGTCGCGTATGATGCCGAACTCGTCGAAGTAGCCGCCGCGGCCCTGGGTGCCGAACGGCTCCTTGAAGTTGATCTGCACGGAGGCGACGTGCTCGCGATTCCAGGTCGGGCTGAAGACCCGATTGCCGAAGCGCAGCGTCATGAGGTTCTGCACCATCTCCTTGCCGAGGTAGTGATCGATGCGATAGATCTGCTCCTCGCGGAACAGACTGGCCAGATGGGCGGAGAGCTTGGCCGAGCTCGCCGAGTCACGACCGAACGGCTTCTCGATGATGACGCGTGTCCAGCCCCTGCGATTGGGATGCGCGCAATTTTTTGATTTTCGTTCGGGTTTTTTTTTTTTTAAATTCGATATATGAAAAGGTAATTACTGGTCGATGACGCATTTCTGCCTGATGTGCACGGTGCAGGTGTCGAAGACGGACGGCGGCAGGGCCAGGTAAAACAGCCGATTGGCCTTGGCGCCGGCCAGCTCGTGACCGAGGATCTGCCGATTGAGCTCGACGAAGCCCTCGGGCGAGTCGTAGCCACCAGCCACGTAGCGATTCAGCGCCCAGAACTCCTCGTAGCGCTGCTCCTCGCCGGGCTTGACCTTCATGTAGGGCTCGCACTTGGCTCGGAGGGCCGACACGGTGAGCTGACTGCGAGCGTAGCCGAAGAAGCAGGTGGCCTGGGGAAGGAGATTGTCGCGGAACAGCCACCAGAGGGTCGGGTAGATCTTCTTCTTGGCGAGGTCGCCCTGTTTTTTTAGCGTTCGACAAAAACATATATATTCGACGTCACTCATTGTGCCTCGAGAGAACGATGCTTTTTTTTTTATTTATCATAAGGATGGATCGTATACCGATGCGCCGAGGGTGACGAAGACGTGGGGGTATTGGCTCTCGAAGTGCGTGCCCTCCATGTGGTCCATCTCCTCGGATTTCAGCGACTCCCTGATGAACTGCAGACTCTCCTCGGTCGAGGCCCCTGCACATAAACACGTATTTTCATTAATTTTTGGCATGGTAAAAAAAACGCCAATTACTCAACATTTCAATCGGTGCTTTTTTAAGGGAATTTGAATTTATAGTGGATGAAATTCGATGCTTCCCGTGCATAGTTTTTTCGCCTCTTCGTTTTCGAATTAATGTATTATACATAATGATCGGTCAGGAAGTACAACGTACATCATTCGTACGTCACGCTCGGCTCGCGTAAATATATAATACGGACGCGCGTTGTACGTCGATTTTTATTTATCAACGGTCGAATCATATGCAACATAATATAAGGATCGCGCTGAGCGCAGCATTGAACTTGACATTACATGCCATCTCTCGCGCTTCCGCGCACACACATGATAAATTCAATGAGAATACCAGCTGATTAAGCGGTATTTTTTTCTCCAGCTCTCACGCTCTCTCTCTCTCTCTTTCTCGCGCGATCGCATAAGTCACATTAAGTGTGTTTCGATCTATTGGCGTTATACAAACGTATGCTATAGTACTTCGATAGAACAGGAAAACTATACGAGTGTATAAACGCGTGCATCGCGTGATTTCGAGATAACGTCACTACTTCTCGTTTTTACCTTATGAATGCGTATGCGTACGTGACACATACATACATACATAGGAATACACGATTGCGTCGCGCGGCTTTGAAGTTTTTCGTGCCCGAGCGCTCGTTTCATAATTTATGGAAATTGGCGATTGAAAGTTTTTTTTTTTTTTCATTTTCGTAATCGATGGTTCGATGATTACGGATTTCAGCGAATCGTAGCGAGGAAGTATAGAAAAAAATGTGTAAGAATGCGAAGGCTCGTGCTATTATTAGTAAAATGAATTCGGTCCCAAGGTTTTGTAAAAATTCACCCGATTCTACGTTGTGATAAAATAATTCACGACAGCAACTTTGTTCTAGATGAATTTTCAAAAGTATAATGCGCAAACCATGCATTACAGGACAGAATCGATGCACGGCGTTTACCGCCGAAAATAGCGCGAAAGGAGAAAAAGTGTCGAAAGCCCGGAATTATTCATAGAAACTATTTCCGTGCGTGTGCGCGTCTTTCCGACCGAACGGATGATTCTGCGTTTTCTCTGCACCGCGCGAGCAAGTGTGAATGTTTACGATCGATATTCACTTTGACAAAAGAATCCACGAGAACTCGATCGAAAATAAATAAGGACACTCATGGCACTCGATGATATATTTTTGAACGAGGTTGGTAACCCTTGATGCACAATCGTGCCCTCTTCTGCTGCACTACATCGAACTACCTTTATCTATATGAAAGTAGCCAGTTTTTGGCGGTTTTACGACTAAGCCAATTACAGATAGAAAGATTGTACACTCACTTATCACCGGCTGATGGTTACCATTCGTGTTTCCGTTCGTTCGTGCGTGATCCATTTTGACCTTCTGCATCGTGCCTCGTACGAAATTGCAACTTAATACTCCTTTTCTCTGTGTCTGTGTGTGTACACAACAAACGCCGCGCACCGAGGCACTTGGAACTACGTGAGTATATTTACGAAAAAAGGAAAAGGAGCTACTCTCTGGTTACTGCGTGAGACTACCTCGAGCGATGGCGCGGCAAGCTAGACTAAAAACGTGCTCCCGGTTCTCTCGGTACACTAGGCCGCGATCCGCATTATGTGCGCGCGGCGCTTCGTTATATTATTTTATCCGTTAGTGTGTGTGTGTGTGTGTAAATACAACAACGTGCCGCGCGGAGCGGAGGGAAACGTCACGCAGGATCGGCCCCCCCGAATTATCGCGGGAGCATTGGCATATATAGCGCTATATAAGCGCACACATCTCGCGCTATTTGGTGCGCAGCCGCGTTTCATAATATTGGTGCACACGGTGCTCACACAGATGTACACACACGTGCTATTATATATATAGGAATGTTTCTCTAATTCTTCTCGCTTATATTATGTGTGTGTGGGCCTCTCGTAGCAAAGTGGCGAACATTCCTTACGATAGACACGCACTTACAGCTAAGATACCACTTGCGAGAGCCACAGGCCCACACACACGTTATTTTCCTTCTATCGAGATTTGACTAATGTATAGTACGGATGATGAATTTTACTTCGGCTAAACTTGCGCGAATATCAGTTTGTCGCGCGTGAAAGTCTACTTCCGCTTGGAGCATTTTTGACAAATTTCTATCGAGTCACTCGAGTTAACGTAAGATTCCACTCTTACTTCGATTGTAATTGTAACATCATTGTTCGGTATATCTTAGTATGGAATTTTACGATGGGCTGATGTGTGTTACATGTTCTATTCGATGTGCAAAGTAGTGAGCTGATCGTTAAAAAATGAATAATGTAAATTTGGCCAAAAAAATTTTAAAAATTTCAACAGGTTGAACCTCAACTTTATCAATCATTACGACCTACTTACAATGTTACAAAGATCGAGAATTTAAGAATGAATACCTTGCGATTTATTATATTACAGTTAGCAATGATGATCTATCGATTCGATCGAATATTCGAATGATATTCTATAGACGACATAATGCGCATTTATTATATAAACGATAAGAGCAGGTCGGCTTTTTTTAAGAACATCAAGTACGTAGGAAAGAACAAATCTATCTTGAGGTGTAGTAAGTGCGTACCGATCGGTTAAACTAATAATCGACGAGCGAGAATCGTCGAGAGGCAATTTACGCGGTATTTATTTTGCCGATTTTTCGACGAAACCGATCATACCCGTTGTAATGAGCGTGGATCGAAAAGATTTACGGAACTATAGCGCGAAACTACGTGAGAACAAATCTGAAGATTGATTAATTTGTAAAGAGTAGTATGAACACGCGAAAGATGTTCACGTATACACAAATTGATCCGGATTTCCGCTGAAGCAGCAGCTGCGTGTATAAAATTCATCGTGTGCCGTTTGTATAATCCCGCGAAACGAAATTCGGAATCTCGATGAAGTTTAGTTTTTTACAGCTTATTGCTCGCGGTATAAAATCATTTGTAAATCACAGTAATCGATAGAACCGATATAATATAAGGAGCTGATTGTTCGAAACGAGCTGAGATGGATTGCACCGGCAATTGAAATCGCTTACCATGATTGCACCTCACCATTATAATGTAATATCTTTTTGTCGATCAAAATCAAGTTCTTGATCCGGAGCAAAGCCGAAGGGAATCACATGGTCACTCGCGCGGGAATTTCTCGCGCCCTAAAACAATTATGCACACATCCACGACACACAAAAATATGCTTGCACTACTGCGCGACATTACAGAAAATACTGCGCGTCGTTGGCAATGTATCAACATCGAAAGCAAAAAGGTAATTCGAACTCTTGGACATTGTGTAATCGATAGTGCAGCATGAACTATGGTATATCACCTTTATTGGCAAATCATATGTGTACGCTGTACGTCGACGACGGATCGGCAGGTGCAGGTGTCTTGCTCCGTTTTTCCTCGAGCTCGGAGGACTGACGGGCAAGCGTCGAAGCTCCGTCGAATCGTCCGCGACGGAGTCCATTTAGGCTGATCCCGCCGCTCGCGCGCGATCATTATCAAACGGACTCTCGAGATGCACCTCGCGAGGAGTTCGTCGTCGACGTACCGCAGGTGGGGATAATTAACGTCGTAGTTTCTTTTTTTTTCATTTCGTTTACACGTCGACGTGTCGCGCGAGATCTGCAACGTACGCGAGATTCCTTTCATTATTCTCTTTTTTGTTTTTCGTTTGTATCGTTGCAAAAATCGCGACTCGTGTCGCCGTAATATCGCAGTCCGAAAATACACGGTATATATTGCACCTGTCATTGTTTACGAGAGTATATTTTTGACGTCTCGATCGGGTGTTACGACGATTCATCAGAATAACGTGTCAACCGCGCGACTCAATTGACACACGAAGCTTTAATTAATGATATACGTCGTGTACTGTTGCAGCATCACCTCGTCGGACGATTTCTATCGCCCGAGCCCGCACACACACGCTTCATTAATGACAATACGTAAAAGACGTACTCGTACTCGTACGTGAATCGCAAGTCATTATCTGACATTGACATTGAAAATTTTACATCCTCGAGTTATGCTGTATCGCAGCCCCATATATGTAGGAATATACAACGAAGTTTAGATCATATCGCTGTCACATCGGTGTCAATAATTGATTATAAAGAATTATATAAATACGCGAGCCAGTACCGAAATGTCAACGCTCACGCATTTATTTTTATCATCGTCGAGATTATTATTTTCTAAATAAAAACTCGCACGCACCGAGATAACTCGATGTGTCATAATACAGCGTAGACGAGCTTATCAATGATATACGAAAACTCACGCTCTGCACTTATCTCCTGATCATCGTCATTCATACGCATTCTCGCATTTCCATTGCGTGCACTTTTTCGTTTCCTTTTCTTCCTTCTCATTCTCATCGTGCATAGCCTTTCCTCATTTGAATTGAAAATTTTTTCGGTACCACGCGCCACTCTGCACTCTCGCGAATTTACAAGAGAGAGAGGAAGAATTGAAAAAAAAGTCATCGCACACGTATCACGTGAATCGTGCGATTAGTTCGCATGACACATGGCGTGACAGCTCTCTCTCTCTCTCTCTCTCTCGAAACCGTGACGTAATAATCGGATACACGTACATTTGTAAAATACACGTTTCCCTGCGCGTTTAAGCATGTATTGGTCATTTCTTTTTTTGCATATACTTTTTTACTCGCGCGCGCGCATATCTTAACGTCCATTCACACTATTAAACGCCGCGCGAGCTCGCGCGCGGCGTTATTAAATAGCTCGCGAGTTTCCTAACGATGAATGGTTTTTTGGGCTATGTAAAAAATTACCAATATCCGCTGGAAAAAAATTTAATATCGACATTTTTCCTCGTGCCGCTGCTGTTGCCCCACTTATCTTTGCTAATTTCGTACAAAACGACGTAATTTTTCCTACTCGGCGCGGATCGTTTACGAATATCCTCGCATTATAAATCTCAAGGATCCTCTCACTTCTCTTGCAGCTAGCTAGCACACTTTGCGTCGTTGTTGTTGTGCTAATTGTAACCGAGTCAAGTATCTACATAGCTCCGAGCGACTCCGAGCAACAGTTGGTCAAGGTGATTTATGCGCATAATGACAGGCAATGCACTCGCGATTGTATTTCGCCATTGTATTTTCGGCGTTTATACAAAATTCAGAAGGGGGAGTAAGGGGGGGAGGCTATATTTTCTACCTCGCGATTCAGGAATAAATTACACGGGCGCAAATATCATCACAACAAATGCTAAAACATCGTAAACTTTATGTACCTTGGACGCGCGCGCTCATGCAAATTAACGTATAGTAAGTAACGCGTGGGGAGCGCGTGGCCTGCACGATCGGTTGTACAATGGCATACACGCGCGATAATACGTATACGATCGTCGTAAGTATTCCCCCCCCACTTTGATGCGCGAGCACATTGCATGGTAAATTCATGACATTTCGGAGTTACGGGTTCGATATATAAAATACTCACTTCGATGCTTCGTTGCCATTGTGCCGTTGCTTTCTGCCATCGTTGTCAATCAATTATTATTATTATTATGTCACTCGAGCAGTAGCGGTTGTACCTTTCCGCGCGTCGTTATCTCTGAAAAATAATTGTACTTTTTTAAATTATAATAGTATACACTATATGCGATGCAGCTATCGTCGTGCGAGCGCTACGAGCTACTTTGTAGAGAAAAAAAAATATGATACGTCATCGCGCCGAGCCAAAGTAGTGGCAGCGCGTCCACTTGTATATCTGCGCGCGGCCTATTACATATATAAACCCGGAGAACTCCGTAAAGTAACTCGTAAATAATAATCTCGAACTTGGCGAGGAACGGACACGAGTGTCCGGCGTGAGAACTTTCAAAAGATATTATATTGTTGCGTAATTTTGGGAAGGCTATATAAATACGCGTATCGATGCATAATGTAACCGATCGATCGGTATACGAAATACAGTTAAAAATTGTTACCTTATGTATCGTTTAAACTATCGAACTCGGAGTTATAGAAAGAAACCTATATCACTGCACAGCGATATCGAGACTGCCACATGAGCAGCGGCGACGACGCGTATATAAAAACTGACGTTTTCAAAAGTATATAAAACGCACACGGTACGCACCAACGTACGACCGGTGCGTATACACATATAATAGTGACGTCATATTATATACTTACTATACTATATGATGTGTAAATCCGAGAAGCTATGTCACGAAGACCTGCAAGGCTGTATACGCCGAGATGTACTACTTTGTACGGTGTATGAGAGAGAGAAAGAGAGAGAACTTCTCATGGGTCGCGGCCGCATACGCAACGATGGCGGCAGCGAGAAATCGAATATATACATCGTTATCGACTGCGTTCGAAATAGCACGTAAAATGTATTTTCTCTATCGAACGATCGCCCACCCAATCCGAATTGAGAGAGAAAAAATTGACGAGATAAGACGGTACATTACATTCGTACTCTCGCTTCCGTAACGGGGGGAAAAAATCGAAAGATTTCAAACGTTCGCGCTCGCGCGATCTTCGAACGCACGATAAGATCGGATATATTAATTTTACCGATTTATTAAATGACCCCTTGTTCCAATAAACTTACTCGAATCTGCAACACTCGTATTTCAACAATTTGTGCTGCACAGTCCTGACGCCGCGTGGCCGAAACTGCAACTATACACATCTCACACACAATAACAATAATAATAACGGAGCAGCAGAGCAGACGCCACGCGGCTGCGGCGGCGGCAGCAGTGCACTGCTGATATGCGCGGCGCATGCGACAAAAAAGAGTATGTGCGAATAAAGTAGAGATCTTCGATTGACAATTCGCGCTCGCGCGCGTCGCGTGACCTTTACCTACATATACCTCTGTGTGCATATATGCAGCTATATAGCTGCGTGCGAGCTTCGGTTTCAAGCTATACACCTACAGCAGCAGCAGCAGCAGCAGCAGCATGTGTATGCAGTTGCACCTATCTATATAAGTACACACACACACAATGTTCATCCCTACTGCGCCCCCGCGTCGTTGCCTTGGTGTTTACTTTTCAGGGACGACGTTAGCTGCTGCTGCTGCTGCGAGTGACAGCAGTCTACGCGGAGAACGTGGCAGCCTGTGTGTGCAGTCGTTCGACGGGGGGTTGTCCATGTGTGTAATATAACCAACGATAGACGTGCAAAAGTGCATTTGTAATTCCGTCGACGACGACGATGGCGTCTGCTCGCGATAACAACAACGGCGTCGTTGCTGCGCTCCATCGTTGATACATCCTCAAAGGCCCCCCGCACACGTTGCACCAAAACAAAGAAACACCGCTGAACAAATGCTGTAAGTATAGTAGCTCGAATAAAAGTGTGACAGTCGCATGCCCACGAGTGTACACGTTGTTTGTTTGTCTCTGTCCTTGACGCAGCTCGCACTACAGCAACACGACGATGGACGACGGCGCATCGTCGTGCGTTACCCAAAAGTCCTCCGCACCCATACCCAACAAGTGGGACACGACGCGCATGGAGATCATACGCTACAAGTACATGTGGACCATCAGCAACTTCAGCTTCTTCTGGAACAACACGCCCGGGGCCTACGTCGACTCGCCCGTCTTCTCCACGGGCGCCAATCACAAGATCAAGTGGCACCTGCGACTCTACCCGAACGGCAATTATTACGCCTCGGATTACGGCCACATCGCCCTCTATCTGCATCTCAAGTCGTGCGACGCGCCGAGCATCGAGGCCAAGTGCAAGTTCTCGATCATCAACGGCAAGCGCGAGGAGACCAACGTCAAGAGCTCGCGCTACTGTCATCGCTTCGTCAAGATGATCGACTCGCAGCGCTTCACCGGCCTGGCGAACTTCGTCAGGCGCGACTACGTCACGGACCCGGCCAACGGGCTGCTGCCCAACGACACCCTGACGATACTCTGCGAGATCCGCGCCTGTCGGGGCATCATCAACATACTCGGCCTCAGCATCTCGGATCAGCAGCTGAAGCTGCCCAAGACGCAGCCCGACGATTTCGGCGCTCTGTTGGAGAGCGAGGCCTTCAGCGACGTCTCGCTGATAGTCGGCTGCCGCGAGTTCAAGGCGCACAAGGCCATACTGGCGGCCAGGAGTCCGGTGTTTCTGGCCATGTTCCGGCACGACATGAAGGAGAAGAACGAGAACATCGTGGAGATTCACGACATCGACGAGAGAGTCATGCGCGAGGTGTTGCGTTTCATCTATGCGGAGAGGGTAGAGAGAATACAGGATCTGGCCAACGATCTTCTGGCGGCGGCCGACAGATACTCCCTGGAGGGCCTGAAGATCATGTGCGAGGAGGCACTGTGCGGCAAGCTGACGGTCAACAACGCCGCCGACGTGCTGGCCATCGCCGACATGTACAACGCCGACTGCCTCAAGACCCAGGTGATACACTTCCTCGTGGCGCACGGCAAGGATCCCTCGCTCTGGTCCAGATACCTCAACTCCGGCAACAAGTCGTCGATCTTTTGCGGCTTCTCCGACGTACTCGGCAATTACGTCAAGCTGCTGGTGATCTCGACGCTGTGCGCCTTCATCGCCATACTCCTCGTGCCGTACGTGTCGCTTCTCGTCGACCCGATGTGCGACGTCACGGCGAAATTCTGCGCGCCGCCCAAGGAGGTGGTGATGGACAGTGACACCATCGCCACGGTCCTCAAGAAGATGCAGAAGAGCGCCTCGGTGTTCGTCGACGATCTCTACTCGGTCATCGCCTACTTCTTTCGGCTGTTCTTCAATCTCGTCACCAGGCCGTTCTACGTGGGTAGTAGCAACGATTATCCCGCGCAGACGGATAAGCTATAATAGAGATATATACATTTAGGCGTAAAGAAAAAAAAAACATTTATATTTATTATGTCGAGAGTAAGGAGACGTAGAGTTGTATACTGCACTTTCGTAGAGGTAACTTTACACACGACTATTGCCAATTCACGCGACACGGGTCGTGCACCTTTTTAATATCGTTGAAGTATAATAAAATGTATAACGCCGAGGCAATTTTAAGATAGTTCGATAAACGAATAACGCTTGTAGACACACGTTTATATATCAAAGTCCAATTTATAGTTAGCACAAAAAAAAAGGTGGAATATATCGAGAGAGAGAAAAAAAATAATTAAAAAACAAAAGTGAGATTACAATTAGATAACACAGGGATGAAATATTCTTCTAGAAATATTTAAACTATTTTTATAGATGACATTAATCATCCGAATGAGTATTCCTTTTAAACTCGTTTTTAGAAGATGAAAGAAAAAAAAAACAATTTCACGAGACGTAATGCGGTCTTTTGAAAGAAAAGGGACGATAATATGTAATATTTCGGATCGATACGATACGATACGTAGCGAGGCGAATATTTTTATTGAAAACTTGGCAAAGGTTCCTTTTTTTGCATATAATAATATTATAATACGAATATGATTTACGTCACGAGTGTGCGAGTGTGTGTAATGTGTGTGTTATGTGTACACGAACACCTTCGAAGTAATTATTCATTAATGAAATAAGTCAACGTACTGCATCAAATTGTGTTCTATATGGTGCATATATTTCACCATGTGTGCTATAATAATGTAATAAACAGCCATTCGATTACCGATCGTAAAACAAAAGTATTACATTCCCGAAGGAATTCAACGAGATCACAAGCTATACCTGACAGTATTAACGTAGTTCGTAGGAGTAATCGTAGTATTTAAAAATAATTTACGGACCAAAATATGACTTGTTTGAGTTTGCCAGCACAATTTATTCTTCGTGGACAAATGATGTGTTTGCAGAAATTGGAAAAATTTTATCGATGCAAACTTTTACCCAAAATGAACCCACGAGTAAGAATTTTCATGTTAACAGGTGTCAAAAAGTGTTCGTTATTGTTTACCAAACTGAGGAATGATTTATTTTACTAGCGCTCAATGTGTAAAGAAATTTTCGGAGATTAAAAAATTTTTTATAATTTTGCATCGGTTTAAAGAAAAAAGATATCTCACGCGAATTAATTTACTTTCTCTCTTGCACGCATTAGTTTGTATTAGACGCGTAGCGGGTGGTTCCGTAAAATCTTATTATACCGGTTAATTCGAAATTATAAGTTCAAATCTCCTGCGTAATTGGACTACAATTTTTTGAAAAATTCTGATTACAGCGATTTAGAGTAGCGGACGTCATCTCGAATAACTGTGACAGTAATCATGACATGATATGAATGATGCACTCAAAACATTAATTTCAATTTTTGTCAGCTCAAGTTCAGGTCAAAATGATTTAAATGAAAAAAGACTTTTAAATAATAATTAAAATTGATTGAACGTATTTTTACGCCAGCTATCATGAAAATTCTCCTTGGTCCACGCAGCTTAATTAATTTGTTTTCGTAAAATATTTTCGGTCTAACTTGCGAGTTTGCAATATGTGATGTACATTTTGATTGAAGCTACATTCCGATTTTTCATAAATGATAAATCTAACAGGCCTCAATTACGAATCTCCGCCGTACAATCATTTCAATCAATTCGATCGGATGATTTTGTTTTGCAGAATGTCTGAGTGGCACAAGTTTTTTCGCGTTGATCGCGTTAATTATTTTCTTTTTTATAAGGCCACGTCGCGCCTTCACGAATGTTTTTTCATGATACATTGCTGCCAATAATCGAACTATTCTGTGCTACTGTATAATATTTAAATCAATATATTTATTCAAAAGTTATAAAAATAATTGAAAACCCAATGGGCTGTGATTAAAACGAAAAAATAAGAAAAAACATGATATCGAAAACGTACACCTAATTGAAAAACTAACGGAAAAATGGTTATTTACTTTTGCCGGTCACTCTGTTGAAAGTAAAAGAGAGAAGAACAAAAAAAACTAACTATTTTTTGATGATGCAAAAAAAAAACGTCAACAACGCAACGTTAAAAGAAAATCCGTAGTTTATGAAAAAAAAATTGATTGATCTGTAATAATTATCTAATAAATAGGGACCTCGAAATTATTCAATTAAAGTTTTAACTACCGCATAAAAGTGTACAAAAAAACTTATTTGTGAAAAACGATTTTAGCAATAAAGCACAGTACAAGTGATCGTCTTAATCTTTCGAGTACAATATTTTATTATTATTATTATTCTTATTTTGAGCCTCTGGACCGAGTTGTACAAATTTATATATAAGCATTTACAAAACGTTCGACTTTTCAACTAACAGCGCAATAATCAATGATACTTCAACGTAATTTGGTCTTCGCCTTGGACCGTCGCACCGACGCCTGTCCGGCCTTCTTCTTCTTCTGACCGGCGTTGGTGCTCTTCTTCTTGGTCGGGTACTTGCTGCACTTGCGCTGAAACTTCTTGACGCCTCCGGCAGCGGCGGCCGTCCCGGCCGCGTTGGACTGCTTCCGACTGTCGTCGAGCGCGTTGCTCTCTTTTCGCGCGTTGGTCTTACTGGCGTTGGTGCCTTTGCGCACGTTGAGCCGGGCGCCGCCGCCGCCGGTTTTTTTACCCGCGAACTGCGTCTTGCCCTTCTTCTTCTTTCCAGATTTACCTTTGTCAAATGATGCATATTATTAAAAAAATCCATTCGATTACTCTCATAGTCATTGATTATATCGTACCGGCAAGATGACTCGTGTCCATGCCCGCGATGATGGCCGCGGCGTTGGCCGTGATCCTCGGCTTCTCCTGTATCTGGGTGACGGTCACGCGTATGAACGAGTCGTAGAGCACGTCGCCGCACGACTCGCCGGCGCAGAACTCCTCGCCGCAGTCGCCGCATATCTTCACGCTGCTCTCGACGATGCCGGCCCGATTCTTGGCCCTGCGCACGGGACTGACGAAGCTGCGACGCTCGCGGGCCCTCGTCCTCGCTGCCAGTTTGCCCATTTCCACCTGTTGTTACGTATATCGTTTTATAAATTAAAAAAATGTACGCGAGGCTTTGAACGTTTTTTTTCCGATCTGTACCAATCGCGAGAACATATCCTCGTCGGCGCGCAGCTTCGGCCTGATCGGCGTGAGCATGCGCCAATCGATGCCGACCTGCTGCAGCTCCTGCAGATCCAGCGATCTCATGTCGGGCGGCACCGGGTCGCCGTAGCACCACTCCTTGCCGATCGAGCGCAGCTCGCGCTTCGTCGTCTTCCAGGTGAAGTCCTTGTCGCGCACTCGCGCGTCCTCCTTGCGCACCTTCTCGGGCTTGATCCGGAACTCCGGGCAGCACTCCATCAGGCGGCGAAACTCCTCGGCGGACTCGCAGGTGGCCTTGCTCAGGTCGGGCAGCAGATTGTCGCGCTTGTCGTCCTTGAGCAGGTCGTCCAGTTGGATGCCCGACATGGTTGGTTTTTTTTTTGGATTTTACTTTGTCTCTCTATCTCTCTATAAGGCCCAATTTTTTGTTTTTACGTGTATCAAAACTCCATCGCCGATCTGGAATTAATTTCAGTCTAAAGGCGAGGGGGGTAAAAATTATTTTCGGCGCAGCGGAGTCTCCCACTTATCGTAAGCGCCAAGAGCCGTGTGCTCGGGGGGAATCTCTCGTAGCGATCGTTAACGATTTTTTACGTTGCTTTTACGCGACGTGCTCGCAAGATGGCGTTTATGTCTAATTTTTATACAAAACTATGATAAATCGACGAAGAAGCGCGCGAGCTTTCGAACCGGAGCTACGATTGGCTCATATACATCGGAGAGAGAGACGAATCAGTAAAGTTCCGTTAACGGAGTGACTGGACACTCTTGCAGGTCCCATTCTTTTTTCTTCGCCATGAGGCCCTGCGTATACAAAAAAAGAAGTACAAAAATTAACGTATTCGTAAGTTTGTCCATTCTGTGACGCAACTCACGTTTCTCAACGACGTCAGATGCGACAATAAATCGGAACCACCACCACCACCACCACTGCCACCGCACCAAACATTTCGATCGTTCGTATTGTTATTGTAAGACGACGAGTCGACGTCGTCGAGCCTCTGTATATTGATCCTGCCGTTCTTGTCCGTCTGCAGCGGCACCAGCGACGTCAGGCTGTCCATCGAGTAATCGTCGTCGACGTTGTCGTTCTCGTTGTCGTTATTGTAATCGGCCACGTTGCGACGAACGTCGTCGGATCGTCGCTTGTTATCGCCGCTGCGCCGGGCGAGCACGGAATTTCGCGACAGCTTGGCTTTGACGATAGTATTGTTATTACCAACGCCGCTGGAATGTTGTTGCTGTGGCTGCTGCTGTTGCTGTTGCTTGCGGAGAGGACGACGACTGCTGGCAACGACGGGCGACGGCGAGCGACGATAAAAGTCCGAGGAGCAGCCCTCGTCGCTGGTCTCGGTGCGGCGCGATCGGTGGTGCCTCGTCATCAGTCGCATGCGTCGCTGATAGTGCGGGTCCTTCTCGCTCTGGGTACGGTAGCGCGTGCCTGGACTGTCAGTTGAAATTGCATTTGTTATACCTAGTACGGATGAAAGATCGGTAAACGTAATATGATTTTAAAAAATTGATATACCGATTGGCGTTCCAGCGTGGCCGAGATTCCAGGCTGGTCCGCTTCTGAGCCTTGGCCCGGCTCGGGAACGATTTTGACGCTGCCGCGGTCGAGTCCTCGTTGCCCGTCGTGCTCGTCGATCTGTATACGAAAGTCAACGACGTTAATAATAAAAATACCATCTTATTTACAAGAAAAATGAAAAAAAAAACGAACTTCTCCAGCTCCCTGCGAGCGGTGTTATTTCTCGCGTCCTTCCTATCCTCTCTCTCCTCGTCCTCGTCCTCCTCCTCCTTGATCCCGTAATCCGTGCTGCTCGGGTCGGCCTCGCAATCGGTCTGCGTGCCGCACTCTCGACCTCCACCTCCACCTCTGCGTCTGTGATGACCCATTCGATACTTGCTCGGCGTCAGTAATCTCGGCGTCGTGCAATTGCTCGCTCCACCGCCTCGGGGCGACAGCGGGGGCGCGTGCAGGATCACCTGGCCGGCCTGGCTCAAGCCCTGCAGCAGAGCACCGAGGCCGGCCGTGCTGCCGATCGCCGATCTGGGACTGCTACCTCGGGGCGAGGAATTGTTGTTGTTTCCGGCGTTCAGCACGAGATTGACGAGTTTCAGGGGTGCGTTGCGCAGCAGCAGCTCGGGGTCGTCGATGCGGCCGCTCAGGACGATGGTGACCTCCTGGCTGACCGGTAGATCGACCACTTGTTGTTGTTGTTGTGGTTGTGGTTGTTGGCTTTCCTCGGTTTTCTTTGTTACACCATTGCTGCAATCATTCGAATCGTCATCTATCTCGGCCGATATACGTGTCACGTTTTTAGCAACGCGCGCGACATGCGTATAGCGTATATCATAATCACGTATCTATTATGCCATGCACGTGTCTCGTTAATAACGTCGCGCACAAAAGAGAAAAAAATTTTTTTCCTCCGAGTCGTATTATGCAAATGCGGCATGACTCGACGCGAGATCGTTATGTATATATCGCACGGCCTATGTAGCAGCAAGCGATGTAACAAAAAAACTCACTCTCGCGTCGAGTCCAACGATACGGCCGCCGTCTTAACCGACGACGACGACGACTCGTTGGCGCCGCTGCTCGTTTGTTTGTCGGCGGCTGATTTATCCTCGACATTGACACGGTCTTCCTTATTGTTGTCCGTCACGGATTGCGACGACGACGACGACTTTCCGGATGTTTTGTTGTTGTTATCGTTGCTGGGCCCATCCTCCTCCTGCTGCTGCTGCTGCTGCTGCTTGCGTCTGCGCGACAATTGTTTGTCCTCCTTGGCCTGACGCTCGGCGGCCTCCAGCACCTCCTGCATGGCCTTGCTCTTTTTCAGCTTGGCCGCCTCCCTCTCGCGTTGCACTCGCTTCTCCTCTTCGATTCTGCGTTACACACATCCCACAAAATTGGCACATATGCTTCGAACGATCGATTTCGGTTATTATATAATAAGTATACCTCTGCTTCTCGAGGCTCTGCTGTCGTCTCAATCTCTCCTCCTCCGCTCTCTGCTCCCTCAGCTCGTTCTCCCTCTCCTCCATCCTGCTTCTCTCCCTGTCCTCGAGCTGCCTCTTGATCGCCCGCTGCAGCTCCAGGGCCTTCTGACGCTTGGTCTCGCGCTCCTGCAGCACCGCCGCGTCGATCGGCTGATTCTGCCCTCGTAAGTAAGTGCTTCTTGCGCCGCCGGCTTCGGACGAACTGCTGCCGTACGAGCTGCCGGTCGACGATTGTCCGCCGTCGGACGACGGACTCGAGGCGCTGTCGTGCGTTATCACCAATACCTTCGTAGAGAAAGAAGATAGAGAGATGGAGAAAAAATCGATCGATGTATATCATAATTGTAGCAGGCATTTAGCCGGTATAATTATAGCGCGCGAGTACCTGAGAGTTGTGATCGAGACGCGATAAGCCTCGCTCGAGCCACGAAGGCGGCGGCGGATCCTTGGATACGTCTTGACCCCAAACGCTACCCCAGCGCTGTCGATTGAACTCGCCGCCGCCGCTGCTTCGATAAGTCGGCAGATTTCTCGACGTTGGCCTGGCGTTCTCGTCGACGTTGCAGTACGGATTTCGCCAGGTTTTCTCGCTCATGCTCGAGCTCTGGTTCACTGCTTGTATATATAGAATTATATAGAAGAAAGAAAAAAAAATATTACGGGTATACATGATAAATCGCGTGCAAAAAGATATAGACATGATATATAGCGACGGGAGGGCACGATGACTCACCGTGACGAGGTAAAACGTGATCCTGATTCTGTTGCTGCTGCTGCTGCTGCTGCAATCGCAACGAGTCGTAATTGTTATTGTCACTGGCGTAGCCGGACGTCTCGCCTTCGCGATCCTCCTCGCCGCTCGTCCGAGTCGTCGTCGCCTGCGTCTGGGACGACGACGTCTTTTTCTTCTGATCGCTCGTTACGGGCGTGCTCGTCGCGTTCGACGCGGCCGAGGAGCGATGCCTGGCGTTGTTGCGCGAACACCTGTGTTGTTGTTGTTGGCTCGACCTCGACTGCTGCATTCGCCGCTCCTGCGATTGCTCGTACTCTTGCTTCTGCTGCTGGGGTTGTTTCATGTATGTACACTCGAGCGCACGTTTATTATGGCGTTGTTGTTGTTATTACGACGATGATTATTATATATATACGTTCCAGAGCCTGTAGCGAAAGGCCGATAAGGGCAATCGTTCGCGTGACTGCTGTATATGTTACACGGAGCGCACATAGGTGTGGGTGGGTGGTATAGGTGGTGAATGTACGTACATGAAGGGGTTCGAGTAGCCTAGTGAGCTCGCGACGTACATTATGTTGTACAGCGTAAAAGAGAAAGAGAGATTTCCCCCTCGAGATTTCGCTCGTTCGCCGAGCTTTTCTCTCACGCGCGCACGCGGGTCGAAATAATTTACGCGGCGCTCGAGATGTGGGTCAAAAAATATGATTAATTCGCGCTCGAAAAAGTAATACAATAATAAGCTGCGTAGGCACGTGAATGTTGGATCGATTACGAGCGAGCGACGATCAATTTTCCGAGGGGTAAATTGAAATTTCGAAAGAAAAAAAAAGTAGAGATAGAAAGAACCATTAAAAGCTCTGATTCATAGCCAAGTACAAAAGGTACTATAACGTGTATGATATAGTAGGTATATCGTGCCAAAGTCGAGAGCTTGCGGACGCCGAGGAGGAGGTCGATGAACGCGGCGCGCGGCTGACTGTACATACGCCGGTACTACGTCGACTATAGGTCGGTATAGGTGTTATATATAATACAGCGTATATGAACGCGGAACCGACTGTGCAGACTCGCTGCGCGCGTGAAATCGATATGCGCGTCTGGTACAACGCAAATACCTGCACACTTACGCGTTCAAAAGTACGTCTTCGAAAATGAAATATGAAATGCAGTTTCGGTAATTGTTGACTCGTTAGTTTATTTTTTCATTTTTTCCCCCCAATATAGTATAAACAATATGATCATGCGAAAACAGCCGAGCTCGATATCATTCGGATTCGGATAATGTACATACGTATATATATATACGGACAGGATTCCTTCGATTTTGGAATCTCCCTCGGTTCATACTGCATACGTATACACCGCTATTAAATCGCGTTCGTGCGCTGTGTTGTTGGCACGAGCGTTTGCAAGACGAAATCGGTGCGCGCGGATAATATATTTCGTGACCCGTCGTTGTAGTTGCGGCAGCAGCAGCGAGCAAATGCCTTTGTTGTTGTCGTTATTATCATCATTTTTTTTTCCCTCCTTTCACGCGAATCACCTACTTTTGGTGCCTGCAAATTCGATTGTATGTATACCCTAGGATTTTGCGGAACAGACGCGGCACGCCACGTATATACGCGAGTGTATATAACTACCGCTGCTACCGATCCGTGGCACGCGCGGCAATAATTTTGTTCCCCTTTCTTGGATTTATATACCTCGAGGCAGTATATGATATATTTTTTTACGATGATGCCTTTTCGAGTCTAAAATCGTATAATAAAAAGCAGTACAATAACCCAAAAAAAAAAAGTGAGTCGTACCTGGCAACGCAGCTCGTCCTTATAAATCGGCGGCAGATAGCTGAGTCGATGACGATGACGATCGTCGTCGTCGTTGTGGCCGAGATCCAGCAAGCTCCTCGCCGAGCAGCAGCTACCGCTCATCATCGTCATCGCGGGATGACGATTTGCATCGTTATTGCCGATCGTCGCGCCGCAACGATCGAGATCTCGCAGACTCGCGAAACTGAAGTCGGAATTCGCGAGGCTGCGTAGACTCGTCGTGCTGGCGTAGCGCGAATGATACCGACGAGGATCGTCCAACGATGACTTGAGGTGCAGATGACGCAGATGTGGATCGTTGGCGCAGCACTGCAGTGGCAGTAGCTGTCCATTGCCGATCGACTCGCTGGCGAAAGATCCTCGAGTACCGTTGCCGTAGGCGCTAAATTTGTGATCGATTTGTGATGCGATGCGCGTACCAATAGGTAATTGAATAGTTCGATGATACTCACCGATGGTCCGGCGGATACGAATTGCGATTGCCCATGAGTCTCGCTATTTCCTCTGCGCGTTACCAAAAAGTTTGTCGTGTTTATAATCGCGATCGAGAGAAACGCAATGTACGTCGCGTCGAGTAAAGAGAAAACGAACCTCGCTCCTTGGCCCACTGAAGACGCTTCTGCTCGACCAGGGACGTTCTCGCTGCGGTCATCTCTCCGATTTTTCAGCCATCGACGAATCTCCCCGACTCTCTCTTCTAATATTCTTCCTCGTCGAGCGGAAAAAAATTACATACGCTCGTACATTGTGCAAAAGTGAAGGGAAAAAAACGTAAATGGTCAACGATCGGCACGAGAGATCCGTGGGACGCGATAAAGACGTACCAGCAGCAAGGTGCAGCTCTATTACTGGTATGTGTATATTATAAGGGGGCAAGAAAAGAAGCGATTGCTGCTATACCGCTGCTGCTGCACGGCTTTATAATGCGCTCGACCCAAGAGACCCCGTTACATATAGATTGGCTATAAGATTTATTAGCGAGACTCCATCGCTGCTGCCCGATGCTATGTATTATCGCGACCAGCAACTTGTGGTGTGTGCGCTGGTTCGACAAACATGTAATACGTATAATAATACAAATATGCGTGTTCTCGTTTTTGTATTAACTTACTTTTCAACGGTTACTGCGATTGCTTATATATACTAGTTATCTCGCTTATATATGCGGAACTTTTTTCGCAGCGTCGCGTGCGCAGCTGCACTTTTCATTTTACGGTGCACATTTGTCGAACGTAGTATTACACACAAAAAATTATTATTAATTATTATTTATCGTTATTATCAATACCACTCGAAGAATAATAGTACTCGAAGTTTTCTTTTATACGGCGACGATGACGCGAGTGCAGCCGCTTATCGTTTGCACACGGGTCGTTGAGCTTTCGAGCACGCGCGCGCGCGCGGAAAAATAAACACACTGCCGAGTATAAAGGAAAGGCGCGTAAAGTTCAAGAGTAACGGGCGCTGCACGTTTACAATACACTATTGAGCTTTTCCCGCTTGTGCGCGTATGTATTATACGGAGCCGGTCGTAAACCGATGTCCTGATACGTACGATAAAAATCGTATTTGATCACGAGGACAATATAGTTACTATATATCGCAGCCCGGGGCTCGCTCGGCTTCGTTCGGCGGTGCTTCGTCGACTGATTGCCGCATGCCGCGGCACAACATCGCTTCGGGGGTAACTGACTCTCGTCGCTCGTCCGTTCGTTCGTCCGTTCGTTCGTTCGTCCGCGCGGCGAAAGCACGCGAGCGATGAGTCGTATATACCTGTACGTATAATGTGTAGAGAGTAGGGACGAAAAGCTCGGCTCGAGGTTCGCAGCTCGTGCACCAGAGACAGAGAGAAGTATACATACTATAGCATGGGTGTTATGCACACGAGAATCGGCTGTACTCATGGCTGGTGGGCCCGTGGTAGTTTCGATCGCAGCCTATAAGGATACTACCTATTGTCGTAGCTATGGTGACTATCGTGTCTGTGTGTGCAGGCCTCTTTTACTCTACATGTACGCGTACATTCTACAAGTGTGTATGTACGAGTGTGTATCGATTTCGTTCCGCAGCTTATATACGTACACCAGGTCGTGTGTGTATGAGTGTGTGCTGCAAGCTCTCTCTTTCTCTCTCTCTCTATACACCGTCTCGCGGACGATAGGGATATTGACCTCGACTGCTGCTGCTGCTGATGCACGTCCTGCGTGGACGCGGCGCGCGGACGTACACATGCTTACTCATCGCCATGTACGCGCAGGGTACGAATTGTCATTAGCCGGCTCTTGCATCGTATATGTATGAAAGTTGCAGACGGAGGCGAGCGATAAAAAGAAAAAAAAAGGGAGCTTTGACCGTCAACTTGCGTCTGGCTGGTGCTGCGCGTTTACTCGATATCGCGCGTATGAAATGGTTTTGCAATCAATGCGGAATTCAAACGCTGAATTATATTTATGAGAGCGCGGATAATACGACAAGTTTAATAGCGAAATGCATTTGCAGTGGCGAACTACTACAATTCCAACTAATTAAGCGTGATCATCGTAAGTAATGTTTTGAGAATTTTCTTTCGATGGACATTTCAATTGATATACATACGATGACACATGCGAATTGTAATATTTTGAGTTATCGTAATCTGCGCGAGACGCCTCGCATTACTAATTGAATTGTTTCGCCCGTCGGTTTTCTAACGAACAAATTCGATAGAAATTATTAGACGTCATCTCGTACTGACAGTTTTATTACGCACGTAATAACGAACGGAACTAATTTATCATCTTCGCCATTAAAATTGAATAAAATTACTCCCAAGTATCGAGGCCGATCTTACTGCTCGTTTCAACTTTAGTTCTTGCCCGTAAAAGGAAGACGTAACTTTTGAAAGCTCGTACGAACGTAAAAAAATATATAGAAATCGTATTAAAAATATTTAATTCAATCTTAAAAGATAATGTTGAGAATACCAAGATAATGATTGTAAAAATTTATAACATTCTATATCAATGAATTTCATGTTGCTTACAACACAGCGAGTTATATCTAGAAGTTCGAACTTCGAATACATAGGAACATTATAATTACCAATATTTTTTCAATAAAACAATCAAAACTTATTTTCTCAAACTTATTTATTTGAATTTAGACAAAAAATTGCAAATTTAACATCTATATAACACCAAACATGATCAAAAGTTACTGCAAGTGTACTAATGAGGTTTAGAACTTTGCAGTGTAGCTGTCAAGCAAATGTGATATAAATCTTTGTTCGTCAGCTGCTCAAGGATCATTTCGCAGATTTCAAGTGGTAATCGTTTGTGAATCAACTCCCAGAAAGGATCTAGAGCCCAGTGCAGAAAAAATCCTCTTGACAATTTCTCACACAGATGCAAATCACAAGGTTCACGATACTTTCCGAATAAATAGTAAGACAACTGAAACTTCCAGTAGTCTGTGTACGTGAGTAGTTTTTCCGCCTTTTCGGGTGGTAGCCGAGTCAGATCGTAGAGCGACACACTCGGACTTATCATCACTTTTTTTGTGTCGTTAAACCCCACCTTCTTCCCCTCATCATACCAACCAGATTTTTTAAGTTCGTCCGACTTCTCGAACAATCCGTGTTTGGCGAAAAATTTCATAACCGTCTGGACGTCGCTCCGATCCAATTGGTACCCTCTTTTCACTATGAGCTCGACAACAGCCAGAGCTCTAGAAGCTAGTTGGAATCTATATCCTTCCAGTGTAAGTGTATTATATTTCCACGAATTAAATCTCTCGGCGAAATAATTTTCAGTGGGAAAAACGAAATTGGACAGATCAGCGCCATGTTCGAAGAGAATATCGATGCAATCTGGCCAGAGATTTGCCACGGCCCATTGTAGGGGTGTCCGACCCAAATTATCTTTAGCGTCGACCATTACAAGCTGCTGTTTTTCGTCGCAGATCTTGAAGAATAGATCAATCGTACTCGAATCCGAACCCAGAAGCTGCCAATGGTAGAAATGATGCAGAGTTGTCCATCCCTCCTCGTTGGCCAAGTTCGGATTGGCGCCTTTCCTCAACAGAAATTCAATCATTACCTTGTTTACCAGTTTCGCGGCCACATGTAGCGGTGTGTTGCCCAACTCATCTCGGGCGTCGATCTGCACTGGTTGGTATTTTTCGTTGCTGACCTCGAATAACGTCTTCGCCAAGTTATGAGCAAAGTAAGTCCTCGTAACAGTATCAGTGTAGTTACCACTAAAGCTCAAATTTTGACAAATCATATGCAGAGGCGTCGACCCGTCCTTGTTGACTAAATTTGGATCAAAATCTATTCTACGAAGCAATTCGACCATCATATTCTTTCCATGTTTCAGAGCCAAGAACAGCGGCGGATCAAATGAGCTCGATTTATCAAGAAGACAATTGGGATCATGTCCAAGTTCAAGAAATTTTTTGATGACATCGTCAAAGCCAAATTCACAGGCCACATGAAAATGCGTATGTCCCAACTCGTCGGTGTAATTCACCTCGTACTTGTCGTATATTGTAAAAAGCACCATCACGATGTCTTGCCGATGGTATCCGAGTCTAGCCGCATGATGCAATGGTGTAGTGCGACGGGACGATGGCTTGCCGTCTATATCAACTTCGGGCTTGTCCTTGTATCCGATGCGATGCATGAACCAGTAGAACGCACACGATTTACTGTCATATTGCTTTCGTTTAAGATTGTTAATGGAATCCAAAAGAAGACACTCAATTTCTTCGGTTCGAAAAATATCTTGGAGATTAGGATATGGGCGGGGCCAATCACTTATTAAAGGATAAATTTTACGGCGAAATTCGTGTCGCTCGCCTTCGACCTGCCAATTGATATTTTTTCGCCAGCTCTTCAATCTTTCTATTCTTTGTTGGCTATTCAAATTTTCAACGGATGCGTCGTTGGACGTGGTCATTTTTCTGCCCTCTCACACACAGCACACAATTGTTTGTAATTTAGAATATTTTTTAATTTTTTCACAAAAATTACTCGATGAAAACAACACGATATTTTTTCTGTTCACGCTGCGGCGTCGTAACCTGTACTGAAGTTACATGCACCACGATCTATATAGAAAGTGAGAACACATGAGATACAATTAAAGCAGCGCGAGCTATGTACAGTTATTGGAAGTAAAATACGTAGTGGAGGCTGCTCGCTTCTCGCTGGATTTACACTTTCTAATCATTACCGAATTCAAAGAGACTCTGACTTCACATGTGGTAAAACAAGAGAAAACAAACGCAACGAGATAGAAAGAGAGACGAGACAACTTGGATAGATAATGTTACGTAGAAGTTGCAATAATCTCCTATTACTCTCTCTCCGTCGATGGCATTAAAAAATATCGTTAACCGGTGTGTAAACAACGATGAAAAATAAAACTAGCGACGTTCACTTCTTCGCTTTGGGCTGACGCTTGCGGCCGCGTCGATCCTCCGGTCTGTAGGGGCCCAATTTGTGCCTGACCATACAGCCGTGCCACCAGGCCTGTATACTCAGGGCGCAACTCTGGCGGTGGTCCTCGTGCTGCAACCTCCTTCGCTCGGCCTCGTGCTTGAGCTGCGTAAATAATCGGGGATAATTATATTATTAATGAGCTTCATTGATTCCGGCGTACTATCAAACGTCACGTCAATGCAGTATACATAATCAGAATTAGAAACCCTTCGAATGTGAGATTTGTCACCATTTGGATACCGGAATGTACGCAAAAATCACATTGTGACAGTACACGATCAAAGCAATCCTTACAAGTATGAATTTATTCGAAAACATTTGGACGCAATGAAGAAATTTGCAATCAAACGGGCTATACGCTACGTAATTTTTAACAACCCTTCTCACGAAAAATAAAACAAAACAAACAATAAAACATTTCAGATTGTTTTATGATTTCGTTGTGACTGTGAAAATCTATTACTCACCTTTTAAACATGAACTCAAATATCTACACGGTTTCGTTGTGTATTCGTTCTTTGAAATACCGTCATTGGAACAAACTTTTGACATCCCATTTACCGGCTGAACTTTTCTTTCTAAGTAATTGCTGCTTGTCAGAAAATCCTCGCCTCGAAACTAGAATTATTCTGACCGGCCTCCCGCTGTTTTGATTGATTTCCGCATGCATGCAAAGATTTAACAGTTGCAAGTCTTCCAATAATACGTGCACATTTTGTAATAAAAGGAGTCATAATTCACTTAATTGACGAGTCGAGTCGGAAAGATTCGAGTACTCGAAAAAAAAAAATCGATTCGAGCTTTTTTCGAGTAATAACCCCTAGCAATCGGTTGTAAATATCGTTGCCAGTGTTTCAATAAATGTTTTAGACGCGATATGCGTTCTGCTCGACTGTTTAAACTTTTTTCGTGTTTTCTTATAGGAAATTTATGCGGAGCTAATATGAGAAAATGATTCATACCAATCGAGCGGATTCATCGTTCGTTAACATTTAGGACGATTTGTCAATAGACAAGATAAAAACGTATAACGGCAAACCAAATCAAAACTGCATTTCCAATAGTCTTCTTGACTATTTTCCTTACGAGGGAATAAATTACGAGGGCGCAAGGGATATGTAATGGATTCAAAATAAAGTATAAGTCAAGAGACACGAGAATCTTTCATCATTTATTTCTCTTTTCGAATTTCACGTAGACGCCGCCCTCGGGGGCCTGGACCACGGCGCACTTGGAGTAGCCGATCGGTATGGGCGTCTTGTCGCACGTCGTGATCCTGAAGTTCATCAGCAGGCTGATCAGCGCTATCTTCGACTGCAGCACGCCGAATCGCGTACCTATAATGTCATACCAACGTAAATACATGTAATAAATACGCAGAAAAACGAAACGGTATATATTTTATATATAATCGAGTCGCTCACCTATGCAGACTCGGGGACCGTCGCCGAACGGCAGATAGACGTAGGGATTCCTCGCTGCTACCGCCTCCTTGGTGAATCGCTCGGGATCGAATCGGTCGGGGTCCGGAAAGATGTCGGGGTCGCGATGCAGCCCGCTCACGCAGATCATCGTGGCCTGGCCCTTCTGCAGCTTGAGATCGGTGCCGGGCAGTCGCGTGTCCTCGATGCAGACGCGATTCAGGAACGGCACCGACGGATGCTTCCTCAGAGTCTCTGTCCCCCCCGACAAAGACGAAAATTATCCCTTCTCCGTTTCTATCGTAGTTCATATAGTTATATAATTGCTCATTACCGTTGAAGACCATGTGCAGATACTCGAGCTCGTTGATTATCCTCTCGTAGGTGAAACCGCCGGGCAGCTTGGAGGCGGCGAGCAGCTCCTCGTAGAGGCGATCCTGCAGCTCGGGTCGCAGCGCCAGCTCGTACAGGCAGTAGGTCACCGTGGACGAGGTCGTCTCGAAGCCCGCGAGAAAGAAGACGAAGGCTTGGGCCTGGGCCTGGGCCACGCTGATACGTCCGTCGTCGGACTTTTCCTGCTGCTGCTGTGGCTGCTTCGCCGAGTCGTTGCAATTACCGTTACCGATTACCTTCTCGTCGGCCTCGATCACGCCCGTGTCGATGAGCTGAATCAGCAGACTGAGAAAGTCTCGCCTACCGGGATCGCGTCTGCGTCGCTCCATCATGTCGCGAAACGTGCTCGTGAAGAAGTCGATCACGTCCGGATAGAAGAGGGGCACGCGCAGCGCGTCCAGCACGACAGGCGCGAACATGCCGAGGCCCTGGCGCACCGGGCTGTTCTCGATGGCCTTGCGCCCGTAGCGCTTGAAGTCGCTGCCAGGATCGTCGAGGCTGTTGCAGTTGAAGCCGAAGGCGATGGACGATATGCTGTCGGTCGTGTATCTGCAATATACATAGCGCGTGATATATAGGGATGATGAGAAAGCGAATACGAGCTAAAAATTTAAACCCTATAGGATAACTTGAGAATTTAATGTGACGAACAAAAATTGAAAAACATGACAACTATAATATAAGTGAAACGAATCCTAAAGAAATCATTGATCGGACAAGTATACGTATTTTTTCGCAGTATTGAAACTTCAATAATAGCAGTGCCGCCGCGACACAATACGAAAAGTTATTCAGAACAGCTCGCTTCTACCGAACACTTTAATGACTCATGTATCTCTGTCTCTGTCGCGCTCGCTTGCTTCCGCATCTGCACTCAGCGTGCGCGTGTTGGTACGGGTTCGAATCGTTGGTCAAACGACTTAATACGCATCGGCACACATGCCTCGTTCTAATTGAAATTAGCGTCCGGTGTTCTGAACGTCGCTGAGTGCCTAGAAAAACGAGGATACGAGCTGGACCGTAGCGATGCCATAACGATTATGAACGTATTCGGAAAGTGGAAATTGTACGAGAAACCGGAGGACATTAAAAATCGTTGGTACGATAACGAGGAGTTCGCGAAAGAAGCCAAAAGATAATGATAGTTCCGATGGTGCTTTACGACTTGATCCAGTTACGACCCAAAGAGGCGGCGAAACTCGCCTGAAGTATTCGGACTACGACGAGTTGGCGTGCTCGAGAATTTCGTGCAGCCTCCCCGAAGGACTCAAAGACGTTTGCGAGCTGCATCTGTGCGAGGGGATTTTTCCACGGCTGAGCAATGGATCCTTTTATGGAGCTGGCGCGCTACCGATTGCCGATTCTCTGCTGCGACACGATCATCGAGCAGCTGTCGAACGAAGATTTGTGGCGTATATGCTTGGCGGCTAATACGGGCCCGAGCTCGGCTCAAAGTGTCGATCAATCGCAATAAAAAATGTGAATAAAATTTATACTTTGAACTCAAACTTTCAAATCGCATTTGTTGTTTCATTTTTATCAATTCTTTAATTTTACTTGAAACAAAAAATTTTCGTCGATTTATCCATTATTACCTGCCGATGAGATCCTTCAGCTCGACGACGGGGCTGCGCTCGACCTCGAGCCTGGCCACCTTGGCCAGCTCGTCGCCGATCTCGCGCAGCAGCGGATACATCTGCTTGAGCTTGCCCGAGGTGAAGGTCGGCGACAGCTTGGACCTGAGCTGGCGCCACTTCTCGCCCGGCAAGAAGAACAGATTGGCCGACAGCGGATCGACCTGCTCGTTGTGATAGAGGCCCCGATCGCGAAACTTGTTGAAGTCCTTGATGAGCACGTGCTTGATGAGGTCGGGCTCGTTGATCACGAGGATCGGCTGATGGAACATGTAGATGCCGTGATACGGCCGGTGCTTGTGACGCTCGTACGAGGCCTTCACGGTGTCACCTATGTCGCGGATATCGGTATATTTTAAGAGCGAAAAATATTTAGTTATTTCTTCATTGATATAAATATAATAATGATTCGAATTTGCCTAATTTTTATTGATAAACTTTATCGAAATTTCGTATTGCGCGGGATGACTGACTGACATTTTGAAAAACTGCGTCTATGCGAAACTCAGCTATACATAGCTCTTCGTTATATCATCATGATAAACAAGGCGTAAGGTCACGTTCCGAGTTAACGCACGTGTAGATCATAAAAGTTTTCCCTCTCGGTTCATTGTTGTAAAATTAGTTAAAATTTCAAGCGACAAAAAACTCATGGAATCCAGTGCTTTATTCACAGGAGCCGTTAGGTAATTTGGATTGCACGAGAATGAAATTATAACGATATCTATAATTACAACGAATTACTTTATCTGATCGAGGTTATTTCAGAGTAAAAGAGGAGCCTAGCGATGTGTCCCACAGTGAAAATGATTGCGACGAGAAACCCGATCTGAAAAACTACCAACGCCTACCATTTCCACAAGAATATTCGGTAAGTGATGATAATTACGGGTTACTTGTATCGTTGTTTTTGTAAGAAAGATCTCACGTAGCTTTCATTTCTTCGATAGACCTGTACTCTTCGAAAATGTGACGTAAACCATGGAACTGAATTTGACCATGATGTGGAAGTAGTCGTTGAATGTGAAGATGTCAAGCCTTTTATGGATTTATTAAAAGCTAAAAAATTTGACAACGATTCTCAACAACTCGCGAAATATAGCGATGATTATGGAACTCGAAATATAATTAAAATGGAACCCACGAAGGAAGTAAAACAGGAATTTCCCGATGGCTCTGTAGAAGAATCGAATGTGAATTTCGACCGTGAACTCAACAAGCAGAATGAAAGAAGAAAAATCACAAAAATGCCTTACAAAGTACATAAAGTCAAAAGATGCATCGGTTCGATGAATAGTAAAACAATCCACCCATGTAAAATATGCGGAAAGAAATTGTCAAGTCAGAGTAGTCTCAACAGGCATGTCAAATCATTACACTCGTGTCAAATGTACGACAGGACATTTTCATTTAAAGGTAATCACCAAATGCACGTTGCCTCGATGCACAATGGGGTCACTTATGAATGTAATGAATGTGGAAAGTCATTTGTACGAAAGGACAGCCTCAAAATCCACATGGATTCCGTGCACAATAAAATTACGCATGCATGTGATATTTGTGAAAGAACCTTCTTCCACAAACGCAGTCTCAAAAATCATAAGGATGCGATGCATAACAGTATCACATATGCATGCGATGTGTGTGGAAAAACGTTCAAGTACCAAAATATACTCAAATTCCACGTCGATGTAGTACACAATGGTGTCACTTATGAATGTGATAAATGTAAAAAGTCATTTGCACGAAAAGATAGTCTCCAAAGACATATCAATGCGATGCACAATGGTGTGAGCCATGCATGCGATATGTGCCCAAAAACATTCTGCTCAAAGGCTTATCTTAAAGTCCACATGGATTCCGCGCACAATAAAATTACATACGCATGTGATATTTGTGAAAAGACATTCTCAACTAAAGGTAACCTCAGATGCCACATGGATGCGATGCATAATAGTATCACACACGCATGCGATGCGTGTGAAAAAACGTTCAAGCGCAAATTTGAACTAAAATTCCACATCGATGCAGTACACAATGGTGTCACTTATGAATGTAATAAATGTAAAAAGTCATTTTCACGAAAAGAGAGTCTCCAAAGACATATCAATGCGTTGCACAATGGTGTTGCGTACGCATGCAATAAATGTGAAAAGACATTCACAGAAAAGGGAAGTCTCAAAATCCACATCGATTCCGTGCACAATAAAATTACGCATGCATGTGATAATTGTGAAAAAATGTTCGTCCACAAACGCAGTCTCAAAAACCATATGGATGCGATGCATAATAGTATCACATATGCATGCCATGTATGTGAAACGACGTTCAAGCGCAAATATGAACTCAAAGTCCACGTCGATGCAGTACACAATGGTGTCACATATACGTGCGATATGTGCGGAAAGGCATTCACACTAAAAGCAAATCTCAAAAAACATATTGAGAAGATGCACAATGGTGTCAATTATCCGTGTCATACGTGCGAAAGGACTTTCAAACGAAAGGATCGTCTGAAGCTCCACATGGAATCTGTGCACAACCAAATCAGACAGTCGTGCGTATTTGCAAAAAGGAATTCCTAAGCAAGGCCAATCTCAAAAAGCACATGAATTCGATACATCGCTCAGGCTTCCAAAACTTGAAGAACGTATAAAATTTATTTTATGAAAATCTCGATTTTCTTTAATGTTATCTCATAATGTATCAATGTTTAAATTTTTTAAAAATTCAATAAATTTTTCGAAGAAAATGAAGCACATTCTTGCTGGTCAACACCCCTCGATTCGATGGCGATTTGTAATGGTCACATTTCGGCTCGAGTCAAAAGATAAAAATAAAAAATAAAAAAAAAACAATAGAATCAAGAGATCGGTAATTACCCAACGACGCCTTGCCGAGCAGGGACGGCAGCATGTTGCCCAAGGGCACGAGGGGCTCGTCGTGCGGCACGCCTCGCCTCTTCCAGTAGGTGAACACCCAGAGCTTCAGGTAGGCGTAGATCGCCAGGGCGATCGCGCCCAGCCAAAACAAGATCATCGCCATCGTGTTGTGGTGCTTTTCGCGCGCGTTACTTGCACACGCGTATCAGTTGTTTATATGGAAAATGCGTAGTAGTACGCGCGATCCTCGCAGAGACCGCGACAAAACTGGATAGCTCGGCATGCTATTGATATAATTTAACTGCGCTCCTCTTTTACGACGACGACGACGACGACGACTCCGCTTCGATCGTCGTAATAAAACTGCATCATGTGTATTATTATCCGCGCGTTGGAGAGCAGAATTTTTCTGCAAGTCGTTGTGCGATGAACAAATTGCCGTGTGTGTGTGTGTGTGTGTGTGTGTGTGTGTAAGCGCGCGAGCCGCGGCTGGAGGAGGAGGAGGAAAATCGACTTCGTACGTGTAAGATGACGAAGTGGAAAAATCATTTTCTTTTTTGTCGTCGCGTTAATATATTGTCACGCATCGTGAGAAGTAATTTTTTTTTTGTCATAAAAGGAGACCGCTTCTGAACGATACGTCTCTAATATTATGCATCATGCGTGTGAGTTCGTAACAAGATGTTATCGGATTCGTACGTTAATAAATACTAGCGAATTACCTCGCTCGCTTACGCTCGCTCGGTATAGTCAGGGTTTTGTAAGAATTTTGGAGAAAGCAAGAAATATAAAATAGGTTTCCACAAGGTATATGCCAGGTATATAGAATGTATATACCTTGTATTTACAAGGCATGTACCAGATATATATATATTAGGGTGTACCCCTTTTTTAAATATTTTGAATAAAAAGAATAAAATAAAATATATCTCAGGAGCCGAGTGAAAAACTGTAAGATGGTATATTTTTGCAGGTTTGTGCACAACATGGGTGCTGAAATCAAAAATTTTCAGCTCGGAGTAGCATGAGGCAAATAAATACTAATTTGGAAATGAAAAGCTTTGCGATTTTTTTTCTCCCATAGGAAGGGTTTGGCGAAAAATTTTCTTTGAACAAAAAGTGCTTAATTTTGATCAAAGAATGTGTGAATTTTTTCAGATTTTTTTGGACCATTTTTGGATTTTTGGCGTTCGTCAATGTTTCCAAAAATCCAAAAATGGTCCAAAAAAATCTGAAAAAATTCACACATTCTTTGATCAAAATTAAGCACTTTTTGTTCAAAGAAAATTTTTCGCCAAACCCTTCCTATGGGAGAAAAAAAATCGCAAAGCTTTTCATTTCCAAATTAGTATTTATTTGCCTCATGCTACTCCGAGCTGAAAATTTTTGATTTCAGCACCCATGTTGTGCACAAACCTGCAAAAATATACCATCTTACAGTTTTTCACTCGGCTCCCGAGATATATTTTATTTTATTCTTTTTATTCAAAATATTTAAAAAAGGGGTACACCCTAATATATATACCTTGTAAATATATAATAAATTTATTTTTTTTTTTTTAGTCATCGGTTTTCCAGAGGCCAGAACTTTTAGCGCGAGACTCATTCAACGCGTAATATATAGATTACGTATTAAAAAACGCCTCGGCGGTGTTAACTTGGCGCGCATAGTTTCTATATGCGGGAATGTGTGTGTGTGTAGCTCAATCGAATGGCACAATAGTTATTTATGCAATAGTATGACGAAAAAGGTCTTTTTTCGCACATTTTTTAGTTCGCAAAAAGCGTTTTTGGACACTTGTGTGCGGTAAAGCGCCTCATTTAAGTGAACGTATTTTTCGCCTACTATTGCATAATAGTTATTTATGTAACAAGTGCCCAAAAGGCGTTTTTGGGCACGAGTGTGCGGAAAATGACACGAGTTTCGGCTATGCCGGCACGAGTGAGTGTTTTTTCCGCTAACTGTGCGCAAAAAGCTGGGCACGTGTTGCATACAAAATTTTATGCAATAGTAGGCGAAAAATACGTTCATTTAAATGAGGCGTTTTACCGCACACCCGTGTCCAAAATGGGACATTTTACCGCACACAAGTGTCCAAAAACGCTTTTTGCGCACTAAAAAATGTGCGAAAAAAGACATTTTTCGTCATACTATTGCATAAAAGATATTTTAACGGCATCAACGAGGAGAGAGTAACAGCAGCTTATTGCAACTTCTACGTAACATTATTTATCCAAGTTGCCTCTCAAACTCTCTCGTCTCTCTTTCTATCTGTTTCTTTGTTTCCTCTTGTTTTACCACATGTGAAGTCAGAGTCTCTTTGAATTCGGTAATGATTAGAAAGTGTAAATCCAGTGGGAAGCGAGCAGCCTCCACTACGTATTTTACTTCCAATAACTGTACATAGCTCGCGCTGCTTTAATTGTATCTCTCCTAGCTGCGACCATCTGTTCTCACTTTCTATATAGATCGTGGTGCATGTAATTTCAGTTCAGGTTACGACGCCGCAGCGTGAACAGAAAAAGATCGTGTCGTTTTCATCGAGTAATTTTTGTTAATTAAAAAATATTCTTAATTACAAACAATTGTGTGCTGTGTGTGAGAGGGCAGAAAAATGGCCACGTCCAACGACGCAGTCGTTGAAAATTTGAATAGCAAAAAAAAAATAGAAAGATTGAAGAGCTGGCGAAAAAATATCAATTGGGAGGACGAAGGCGAGCGACACGAATTTCTCCGAAAAATTGAACCTTTACTAAGTCATTGGGTTCACGAATATCCTAATCTCCAGGAGATTTTTCGGACCGAAGAAATTGAGTGTCTTCTTTTGGATTCCATTAACAATTTTAAAGGAAAGCCTAACCGTGAATTTTGTGAGTTCTTCATCTTCGTGATTCACAGCGGATACAAGGACAAGCCCGAAGTTGATATAGACGGCAAGCCATCGTCCCGTCGCACTACACCATTGCATCATGCGGCTAGAGTCGGGCACGTGGGTATCGTCTACCATCTTTTTACAATATACGACAAATACGAGGTGAATTACACCGACGAGTTCGGACATACGCATTTTCATGTGGCCTGCGAGTTTGGCTTTGACTATGTCATCAAAAAATTTCTTGAACATGGACAGGACCTCAATTGTCTTCTTGAAAAATCGAGCTCATTTGATCCGCCGCTGTTCTTGGCTCTGAAACATGGAAAGAATATGATGGTCGAATTGCTTCGTAGAATAGATTTTGATCCGAATTTAGTCAACAAGGACGGGTCGACGCCTCTGCATATGATTTGTCAAAATTTGAGCTTTAGTGGTAACTACACTGATACTGTTACGAGGACTTACTTTGCTCATAACTTGGCGAAGACGTTATTCGAGCTCAACAACGAAAAATACCAACCAGTGCAGATCGACGCCCGAGATAAGTTGGGCAACACACCGCTACATATAGCCGTAAAATGGGAAAACAAGGAAATGATTGAATTTCTGTTGAGGAAAGGCGCCAATCCGAACTTGGCCAACGAGGAGGGATGGACAGCTCTGCATCATTTCTACCATCGGCTGCCTATGGGTTCGGATTCGAGTTCGATTGATCTATTCTTCAAGATCTGCGACGAAAAACAGCAGCTTGTAATGGTCGACGCTAAAGATAAGTTGGGTCGGACACCCCTACAATGGGCCGTGGCCAGACTCAGGCCAGATGGCATCGATATTCTCTTCGAACATGGCGCTGATCTGTCTAACTTCGTTTTTCCCACTGAAATTTATTTTGCCAAGAGATTTAATTCGTGGAAATATGATCCACTTCCACTAGTAGGATATAGATTCCAACTAGCTTCTAGAGCTTTGTCTGCTGTCGAGCTCATAGTGAAAAGAGGGTATCAATTGGATCGGAGCGACGTCCTGACGGTTATGAAATTTTTCGAAAAATATGGATTGTTTGAGAAGTCGGACGAACTCAAAAAGTCTGGTTGGTATGATGAGGGGAAGGAGGTGGCGTATATAGACACAAAAAAAGTGATGATAAGTTCGAGTGTGTCGCTCTACGATCTGACTCGGCTGCGACCCGAAAAGGCGGAAAAACTACTCACGTACACAGACTACTGGAAGTTCCGGTTGCCTTACGATTTATACAAAAATTATTATAAACTTTGTGATTTGCATCTGTGTGAGAAATTATCAAGAGGATTTTTTCTGCACTGGGCTCTAGATCCTTTCTGGGAGTTGATTCACAAACGATTACCACTGGAGATCTGCGAAATGATCCTTGAGCAGCTGACGAACGAAGATTTATATCACATTTGCTTGACAGCTACACTCCAAAGCTCTAAACCTCATTAGTACACTTGCAGTAACTTTTGATTATGTTTGGTGTTATATAAATGTTAAATTTGCATATTTTTTTATAATTCAAATAAATAAGTTTGAGAAAATAAGTTTTGATTATTTTATTGAAAAAATATTGATAATTATAATATTTCTATGTACTCTCTAAAATTATGTATTTAGTTTCTATTAAATTTTCCGGCATGTCACGCTAGACGTAATATAACCCGTACTAGTAGACTATAGACATGATGTATAGAGAAATTTTAGTCCGAATTTCTTGATATAAGCTGATTTTTAAGATTGAATGCAATATTTTTAATACCTGCATTTTATGCACTACGATTTCCTCCATAAAATTACGATAGCAACTCCTTTATTAATACTTCAAACACATCTAGCGGTCCTTTTTTTTTATATAAATCGCGTTTATGATATTAATATCAAGCAACTTTTGTGCGGAAGCGAATTTTCGTGGACAAAGAACCAGGTGAGAGCAGAATTTTGTTGTTAAGTGTCATGAAAACGCGACAAATTGCCGTGTGTGTGTGTGTGCTAGCCGCGGCAGGAGGAAGAAGAAAATCGACTTCATACGTGTAAGATGACGAGGCGGAAAAATCATTTTTTTTTGTCATCCCGCATCGCGAGAAGTATTTTTTTTTTATAAAAAAGGACAGCTTCTGAACGATACGTCTATAATATTATGCATCATGTGTTTGAGTTCGTAATGAGACGTTGTCGGATTCGCACGTAAATAAATATTACGTATTAAACGCGTATTACGTATCCTTATATAGGAGGTATTGCATATCTAAATTCTCGCATACTTAATGTATTATGCGCGATACAGTTTAAGCTTCGAACTCGAGATGACGATGATCGAGTGTGAAGAATTACTATTTATTTATTTATTTATTTTCGTCTTGGCTCCTCCTTGTACTGAATAATATCTAGGACAATTTTGGTACTGGAAGTGCAGCAGCGAAAGAAACGCCTGCCGAGTGTTGACCGTCGACTCCTCGGTGCTTTGCAATCTTTGCGCCTGCCTCGCGCTATGTAACACCAATATTCTACTGCGAGAAGAAAACGTCAGCTGTGCATTTGTATACATATTTATATTATGTGTACATAGTCAAGTCAGTGCAGCTGCGAGCAGAAGGTTAGGTTTTTACCGCTGCGTCGAGCGAGGCTTTGTTTTCATTGTGTATAAAACTCAAAGAAGGGTGTCGTTCTTTTCCCCGAGGGAAAAAGCTCCGAGTTTTGGCCCTCGTGTCAAATGTCGCTTTCGCACGTCGGTGGCTCGATCGAAGTTACGCAGAGCAGTGCGAGTGCCGCGATCAACGAGAGCTTTTGATAGAAAATCCCGCGACCGAGAGTTTTCACGCTTGCGAATCTATGATTCGACTTTTACGCTCCGCCGACTTTGATTCATTCAAATTAATCGCAGAAAAATTATGGAAACCAAGAGTCGCGTTGGTGACAGAATCGAAAGCGATGGTTACATTGGCACGGTGAAATACGTGGGAGCGGTAGGCGTCACGCCAGGCGAATGGTTGGGAATCGATTGGGACGATCATACTCGAGGGAAGCATAATGGAATTTATGAGGGAATCAAATACTTTGAGACCTGGTACGTCTTTAAAAACTTACCCTCCAATGACGTAGAAGAATTGTTATTTATGAATTATAAACCGTTTTGCAGGCACAGGACATCAGGCTCTTTCATAAGGCCTGCAAAAGCAAATTATGGCTTTTCGTGTCCAGAGATGATAAAGTCTCGCTATGGCTTTGTGGACGATGAACTGGCTGGAATCGACAGAGACACTATAGCCATCGTACAAAAGTCTTTCAATGCACCCTTTGTTGAAATGGTTGGTTTTTCAGAAGTCAATAGAAAGCAAAGTACATTTGATCAGCTCAGGGTTGTGTGCTTGCGAGACAAGCTTGTGAGCAGTGCAGGTTGCCCTAACGAATTGGCTACTTTGTGCCCCATGATTCATGAATTGGATTTGTCTCGCAATCTCATTAATTCTTGGAAAGTTGTAGCTGAAATTTGCTTTCAACTGCAGTATTTGAAAAATCTTAACATAAGGTTAATTATTACATTTTAATTTTTAAATAATATCAATCAGAATGATATTTATAACATTCTTTCAACTTTTTTAGTGAAAATCAATTACCTGTAGAAAATCAAATGGATAATTACAGAGATGCATTTTTAAAACTCACTCATTTAACCATGGGAAGAATGAAGTACAATTGGTTCGATATATCCTGCTGCTTAAGTGCGTTTTCTTCTTTAGAAGATTTGGTGGTTTCATATAATTTGATCGAAAGTATCAGTGATATCAAGAGTATTTCAAAACTTGACCAATTGACAGATTTATCATTAGAACATAATCTTATATCAGACTGGAATGAAATCTTAAAGTTAGGAAAGCTCCCTAGGTCAGTATTATTTTCAATTTCTATGATACTAAAATAATCATTATGTATACTTACCAGTTATTTTTTTTTTAGTTTAAGAAATCTTAATGTGAACTCCAACCAAATTGAAAAAATTGAATTTCCTACAGTTAATCAAACAGATAAAACAGAACTTTTTCCTTGTTTGACACAGCTACATATTTCAAACAATAATATAGCAGAGGTAACTTGAAAAATTATCAACAATAATAATCTCTATAAAACAAAATTTATAATGATTCTAGTGGAGATCAATTAGTGAACTAGAAAAGTTAAATCACCTTGAAGATCTTAAATTTCGAGAGAATCCCATTTTAAAAGAGCATAATGTTGACACTTCAATGCAATTAGTTGTAGCTAGGATATCAAGTTTAAAATATTTTAATGGAACAGAAATACTTCCTTCTGAGAGGAGGGGAGCTGAGTATGATTACTTAAAACTATACTCCAAAGTATGGAAAACTATGGAAAAACAGAATCTGCCAAAAGATGAATTTATTTTGAATCATCCAAGGTTTCCTGCGCTTGCAGAAAGTATGTAACTTCATTATTTTGCTATTATTTTTAGATTCAATTTATTAATGAAGAACTAATGTATTTTTAGAATACGGAGTGCCGGACACTTCAGATGCTGTAAAAAATACGCAGTTGTCGTCAAATGTTATAACGGTGGAGTTTATATGCCCTGATATTCCTAATTTTCCACCAGTAAAGAAAAAGTTACTGAAAAATATGGATGTACAGAAACTAATGGGTATTGTTCAAAGACTGTTTAGACTTAATGGTAAACTTCCGACTCTCTCATTCATTCGACCTAAGGTAAATAAAATTGTTCATTTTTAACATAATACGATTGTCCTACAAATAATTGTACTAATAAATAATTTATTTTCAAGGTTTCCGACGATGAAATACCGTTGGATAAACCACTTCAAGATCTTAATTATTACCTTATAGACGAGGGTGATTTAATTGTCGTGCGTTGGTGATAATGCAATTACTTATAGTATTTATAGTTATAATATATGAGCTGTATTTTTACACTGTTACAATGTTGATGATTCACTACCATACTTTGTTACTAAAATTTTTTAAATATATTTTGAAAAAAGCTATTTTCACGCAATTACTATGGTTGAAAATCATTTCAACGCTTTATTTCTATACAAAATATATAAGTATTTGTACATAAGCTAATTATTTTCAAAGAATTACGTCGAATCTCAAAAAAACAAACAAAAAGATAAAACAAAACTATAAACCTCGTTAGTTTTCTCGAGCCATCTGATCGAGCTTTTCCTTTTCCTTGTTCTGTAATTGCTCGAGCGTTAGGAGAGACAGACCAAGCTGGTCTTCCCGGGAAAACGGCTGAGCCATTTGTCGCAACCATCGCTTGCAAATCTGTACAGCTTCCTCTGTTGATAAGTTGCAGAGACCATCCGTGAGATACTCCTGTATCCACTTTGGCAACTTGCTCCTCTTATCGATCCTCGAAAATCTCTTATCGGCGAAAACCATAATACCGTAATCGGTTTTTCCTCTGATAGCGCGACCGACGCACTGAGCTGCGTGCCTCATGGCGTCGAACGTAAGGAAATCATTTTCCTTGATCTAAATGGGAAATCATAAATTGATGAAAATAAAAATTTTGAAAAATGAATTTCAATCGCTTCGAAAATTCTTACCCCAAATTGATCTCGCAGATACTCCAGGCGCGCTTTGAGTATCCTGGATTGCGTGTAAACGTAGGGTATGCCAAACATGAGGACGGCTCTACCCAAGTGATGATCGAAATCCACACCCTCGGAGACTTTGCCACGAGCGACGGACAGAAGAACGGCACCGCGTCCATTGTCGCAGGCTTTGTTGTAGTAATGCAGAGCCAGGCTCGTTTCCGCCGCGTCTTGCGTCTCGATGAAGATGAGCTTGTAACGCTGAATCTGATCGAGTATGCCTTGGTCGTACCTGTCGAGTATCGATTGAACAATCAAGCAAAAATCTAAATTTTCTTAATCAATAGGTCGACTTAGGTAAGTGGTTTCGCTTACCAAGCTGCTACTACGGATTCCATGTACAAGTACGATGTGAAGAAACAAACGATGCCGTCGGGTACGTTAGCCGATAATTCTACCAACAGTTGACCGTAATTTCTGATAACGGCGACGTCGTCTCGAGTTTCGAACTTTGACGATATGGCTACTTGATCATTGCCTTTCGAAACGATCTGTTGAGGAATAGGTAAAATTTAGTACAGGAATACACCCTACAATAACGAGTTAGAAAAAAATATATGAACTTACCATTGGCAATAAACACGGCCGAGCCAGTGTCATAGTGAACGACGACATGACGACTGGATTGAAATTTAAAATTTTAGGGTACATATCTAAGGGTGACAGAGTTCCCGATGTAATAACAACTGATTGAAATCTGTCGAAGATCGGTTTCATGGCTATCGACGAGTCCATGCACGAGAAATACAGTATGGGATTGTGCACCGTTGGGGCTTTATCGTCGAACGGCTCGATGATGATGGTGAAGCCCTTGACGTAGGTCGACACCAACGTGGCCAGATGCGAGACGAGTATGAGCGGAGAAAAATCCGTCAAGTTGTTGATCTCCAGGGTACGCAGCAGCGACGACAGCCTCTCGGCGCAAAAACGCAGAGGTTTGCGCTCTATGCAGATCTTCGTCTGGATGTCGCGCAAGAAAGTCACCGGCGTTTCTTGCACGACGTGCTGGATGCGCAGTCGCATCTTCAGGTACTCGACGAAGCGTTTGAGGAAGGCCACGAAGTGCTCGGCTTTGCGAATGTTGCCCGGTACCACGTCTGATGATGAAGCGATAATGAAATAGTGAGATTGTATATAGTGAATTAAAATTAAAAATTAGATGAAAAGTCGTGCAGTTGTACCATCTAAAATTTCGTTGGGTAAGACAGGATTGGCCAGGACCATATCTGTTTCACGATTACTTTGTGCATCCTTCAGACCTTCTACGAGTTTATGATATTCGTCTTTCAATTTATTCGCGTCATCGTCGCGCATCCTAGAAAACAATTACAAATAAAAGAAATTTTGTTGCATTTCATAAAAGAATTAGAAAATCCATGAAAACTCACTCTTGAATTGTTTTTTCTAAAATGGCTATATTTGCACAACTTTTTTCCATTATTCTTCTATTTACTTTAACACTTAACGAATCTATGCAAACATTATCTATAAAGAAAAAGATATTTAAAATATGATGATATGGTTTTATAAATGATGTATTTTAAATTCGTTATTACCTATATTATGGGCCTCATCAAAAACTACAACAGAACTTTTAGCTAATTCTTTTGATACTGCTTCCGCTATCTTAGGATCTAATAAGTAGTGATAACTGTACACAACTATTTGAGCTTTCATTAACTGCAATGAAAATAAACGTCAGGTTTGAGAACAAGAATTAAAATTAATAATTAAATTCTTACAGTGTAACGAGCCAAAAAGTAAGGACACCAGTTCTTTTCTCTGCCAAAGTCTTTCATATCATCAATGGAGTATACACCTGATGGAATGGTCATTTCTCGTCCTTCTATGTCATATGTTTCATAGAAACTACAGACTGGGACAGAATCATCGTAATTGTGTCTGTCTCTAACATAAGATGCAGTTAATGCATGACAACGACTGTCAACGATTTTTCCTTCTCTTTCTTTGCTGACCTATGCATAAATGTCAATGATAAAGAAAAGTCCTCATAGAATTGATAAAAGTAAGAAAATAAATGTTTACTTCAGGATGTATACACATATTTTTTCTTGAACTGAGAACTAAACCAATAATATTAGGTGTGACTTGGGTCTCCTTTTCAATATAAGCTATCAGCTTCTTCAACTCTTCGACAACTTTTTCAATTTCTGGAATTGTACGAGAGCAGTAAATCAACTTTGTGATTTCTGTCGGATGCTCCATCATGTAGGCAACAATGAGAGATAGCAGGGTAACTGTTTTACCCGTACCTGAAGGCATCTCCAGTAGTATGTGACCCTAGCGAAAATCAAAATTAGTATGAATGCTTCTCAGTGAACAAACACAAATAATTTAATGTCAAGTGCACCTTTGCATCGAGTCCTTGCTTGAGCTCCAGCATGTATGCATATTGCTCTGGATATATGTAATCATAGGGAAAGTAAACAATCAAACCGTCCACGCTTATCCTGAAAAGAAAACAAAAATGAATCGCTGCTCATGCAATTGTCGGCATAAAGTTTCTAGCAACAAGTATTCAACAAGTATTTATTCGCCGAGTAACCTAGAGTTTTACTCAAAAGCACAAGACAAACGTGGAATAAACGATTGTTGAAGAGACACACGATGTCGCGCAACAAATCAAAAACTCACTTCATTTTGAATCTTCGATCGTAAATGCAACCGTACCACAATTACATTTAAAAATATAAACAGTCAGTCTCTATCATACAGAGCGCTTGAGGCTCTTTTCATGCGGCTCCGCGCTGCGCCGTCTGCTTCTCGTTCCCGCATGCGCGGTTTTGAACTCCATCTACGCGATTCAGCCTGATTTCACACCATTTTCATACTTCCTGTCACGAACCTTCGAAATGGCAATAAATTTTACAAATAATCGTGGATAAAAGTCTTAAAATTATTTTTAAAAAAATCCTCATCGTTGGAGAATCGATCGCGTATAAAAAATTATGAGCTAAAAATTGTTACATCGTTGAAAAAAAAATTTGAAAAATCCATCAACGATGAAATTGACGTCGCAGTACCGCGAGACGCTCGCTAGACAAGGACAGCTCGAGTCTCGACTGCGTTTCGCTGCGAGAGGGCGCGCTACGGAAACTTTCGGTGCTAGCTACGCACACGTGCACGGCGTAACGCTCTCCCACAAGTACACGAGATTCGACTTCGCCAAGCTGCAGTTGTGTCTCTCTCTCTGCTCTACAGACTCTCAGGCTTCTACTAGCTTTCGTTTCGCTTGCTTCACGAAGTTCTTCTCTTCGACAAAATAATAATGGGTAAACCAGGTAACTTTTTACAACATTTATACTTGTCCACTGTAATATTTTATATCCGTAACACTATAAATTATTGATTTTATATTGTTGTTTCGATTGAAATTGGTGAGACCTGCAATAATTAACACGCGCCGGGCCCCCCATGTGTCGGTGTTCCTAACCTCGCGCGCGGACAACGTGATTGAGTTTTTTTCACGCGATAAGTGAACCCTTGTTTAATAAAACGTAACGTTCGGCTGCTTTAATTTGATCAAAAAATTACGAAATTTCTGCTAGTACCTTTTTTTTCAATAATGTAACCAAAGTAAACAATAGTTTCTGTCAACGTGTAGTAGGTAGCCCACGTGCATTTGATAGCCGGTAACCTCCAACCTTACGTACCAATTGTTCTCCCTATAATTACAATATTTCAATATAAAGAATAACTTGTCGATGAACCTTGTACGCTGAAACGATTTTAAAATAATTTATTTAACATGTGAACTTGGAATTAGACGTAATCAAAGCAAATCATTAGAGCCAATCTGGAGTTTTTTACCAGCTTGGTGTTGGAATTTTGCGATAGTAACTTGTTGCTCTCACACAGTGCAGCTTCCATTATGGATTCGGCATTTCAACAGGAGCTCACAATTGACTTATACAATTTTTTTCTAGACGAATATATTTGATCAAGCAGGGTAGCAATGAATTAATTGAAAGAATTATTTAATTACCAAAGTATTTGAATTCATTTTCAATTATTAATTAAAAGGACGCTACAAACTGCCAGTGAAAATTGGATATCACTCGATGTGTCTGAAATTTTGGGAGTGAATTCTTTAAAACACATGGTTTGAAAGTGACTTTCATATATACATCGATATGCATCTTCAGGGACTAAAATACATGGTGATATGTATGCTCACATGCACTCTAGTCCCTAACCATGCATACCGGTGCATTTTAACGTATTTAAATGCACATGCATTTATGAAAGTTACATTTACCCATGGTCCATGTGGTCTGAAGATTTTAACCCCATATATTCAGAAACATCAAGTGAGACTCAATTTTCACTTAAAATATACAGGATCCTTTAATTATAAATTGAAATTGATTCAATTTATAATGAATAATTGAAAATCAATTAATTTTTATTCAATTAATTAAAATTTTTACAACTCTGCCACAGAGACTTCAAATGCTAAATAATTTTCTCTTGTTTCAGGTTTCTCTCCAGGCGGTTTCGGTGGCGGTCGTGGTGGCGGCGGCGGCCGTGGTGGATTTGGAGGTGGTGGCCGCGGAGGCGGTGGCGGACGTGGTGGATTTGGAGGTCGCGGTGGCGGCGGTGGCCGTGGAGGTTTTGGAGGTCGTGGAGGCGGCGGTGGCCGAGGTGGCTTTGGAGGCCGTGGAGGTGGCGGCCGCGGAGGCGGTGGCCGTGGAGGTCGTGGTGGCGGCGGCGGTGGCTTCAAGGGAGGCAAAACCGTCGTGATTGAGCCCCATCGTCATGAGGGAGTTTTCATTGCCAAGGGCAAAGAAGACGCACTAGTCACTCTTAACTTGGTACCTGGTTCAGAAGTCTACGGAGAGAAGAGAATCAGCGTTGATGTAAGTTTACAACTTATTTAACTTTTCAAAAGTATTCACGCATCGCGTGAAGCTGATGTAAACAATTATGTTTATCTCAGTGAGACCGCATGCAAGAGAAATGTTATTGCAGTATAGGTGTACTTGCAAGAACTTCATTGCATCTTGCAATTGAAATTAATTGCAGACATTTGCATGGCATAAAATTATTCTTATTTTATATTTTTATTATTCAATCATTAATTCTCTAAATATTTTTACAGGGAGAAAATGGTGCCAAAATTGAATACAGAGTTTGGAATCCATTCAGATCAAAGTTGGCTGCTGCCATTCTTGGTGGTGTAGATCAAATTCACATGGGCCCTGGTAGCAAAGTTTTATACCTAGGAGCTGCATCTGGAACTACAGTCTCACACGTTGCTGACATTGTTGGACCTGTAAGTTTCATCTTAAAGTATTTTTTGTCAGCAGGCATTAGAGCCAAGTTGGTGCATTTTACCAGTTTGGTGTCGAAGTTCTGCAAGATTAATATTGCAATTTATTACAATGTCTGTTTTTCTACTTTAACAGAACATTTCGCAGATTGTATACATTTTATTCAATTAAGAAAAAAATATCAATCATTTTTCACTCCTTGATATATTTGCTAAATATATATTTGTCATTTTTAGGAGGGTCTTGTGTATGCTGTTGAATTCTCACACAGATCTGGCAGAGATCTCATAAATGTTGCCAAAAAGAGGACAAACATCATCCCCATTATTGAGGATGCCAGACATCCACACAAATACAGAATGTTGATTGGTTTGGTAGACACAGTCTTTGCTGATGTTGCTCAGCCCGATCAAGCCAGAATTGTTGCACTCAATTCCCAATATTTCCTGAAAAACGGAGGACACTTCGTCATCTCCATCAAGGTAAATATCGTGAACAAATTTATATAATTTTGTGCATGTACTAGAGCTGAATGAAACCACTTACGTTTCATTCGGTGGAACAGGCATGCTAAAGCAAATTGCAGTATGTTTTTAAAAGTTATTATCTATAGAAGATTATAACAATACACAAACTGCACACAATCACAAAATGAAATGGAACAAAATGAACTTTATCAAGTAATATATCAGAATCAGTGAATAACGATTTTTCTTTCATTCTTCAGGCCAGTTGCATAGACTCAACAGCACAACCTGAGGCAGTGTTTGCTGCTGAAGTCAAAAAACTTGTCGCTGACAAATTGAAGCCCCAGGAGCAGATCACGTTGGAGCCTTATGAAAGAGATCACGCAGTCGTAGTTGGTGTCTTCAGGCCACCACCCAAGACCACAGCGTAGACGCAAAGTATTTTTATTTAGCTCTTAAGTTTAGATAAGAATATTTATAGAAGGTATTAAAACCGGCCTCTTCAAGTTATAAATGTGACTATCTTTTGTAACAATTTTTTTGTTAAATAATTATTTATAGTAGGTTGATGAACTCGCAAAAATACCTTGAATCAAAGGTATATCATTTGACAAAGGCCATACCTTTAGCAACATAAACCATGTCTTTTAATTACACAATTTTAATGTATATATTTATTTATTTAAATAAATTTATGACCAAAACACAAAACTCGACTATATATATCATCCAAACACATCCAAACCTGTATACTTGTCAATCTCGACGAAGAGAGACGAACAAAAGAGCGACGTTTCAATCTACGGCTAGTTTCAAATCCTGCGTCACGCAGGGCACTATTGTTGACAGTATTGGTTTTTCCGGGCGTCGTCGCGGTCGTCGTTAATGATTTCCAAATTGTCAAGTATCGATTCAAAAAATTTTCAAATCTCGGACCGCGCGCGACAACAGTTTCATAGCAAACACGTAATATCGGCAGAGTTACGACGAGACAAAAATCAACGAGATGAGTGAAAATACGGATAAAGGTTAGCATCGGGGCATCGGTTGCGATCAATTTTTTTTTCTCGCCTCTCTTTCACGAGAGAGATTCTCTTTCATCAGAAATGGCGAGGACCATCATCGATCCGGACGAGTCGACGGTCCTCGACGGCGACGACGACGACAACGACGACGTGGGCGGTGGTGGTGGCAGCGAGCTGGTGGAGCGCAGGAAAAAATCATCGTCGACGCCGGGAAAGCATCATCGACAACGACGCGAGCGCAGATTGCGCGGCGGCAACGACGAGGCGCCGCCGGGCGAGCCCCAGGCGTCCTCGACGCCGCCCGCCGAGCCGGCCCAGGAGCAAGACTCGAAGATCGTCGCGGGTCAAGCGGCGGACGGCGTCTCCATGGCTCCGACGGCAGCCGCTGCTGGTGCTGGTGGTGGCGTCGGCGAGCCCAGCCTTGCCGCCACATCGATGGCCACCAAAGCCAACGCCGACGGCTCCGAGGAGGATCTCGACTCGACCGTGGCCGTCAGCACCATACTGGAGTGCAGCGGCGCCAAGGGAGCCACCACCGGGTAATTAACGGGGGCCGAGAGATTGACTGAAAAAAAAAAAACAGGAAAAAAAAGATAATTACTTTTGTTTGCACCTCGCGCGCAGAGACCCGAAAGTCGATCAGCTGTTCAGGGCGACGCTGGCCAGCCTGAGGTCGGCCATCACCGGGCTCAAGGATAAGAACGACGCCTGCGAGTCGCAAATCAAGGTGCTTAATAGTAACGATAACGAGGCGGACTGCGACGACGACGACGACGACGACGACGACGACGACTACGAGGACGAGGACGATCGTCGGGCGGAGTCGGCTCGCGACGTCTTTCAGGGCTATTATTACTTGAAATACAATCATCTGCCGAGTCGCAGCAGCGCGAATTTTCTCCTGAACAAGGGTCAGAACAGCCGAGCTCTGGCCGCGTTGCTGCGCACCTGCAACAAGGGCTCGTCGCGTTCCAGGGCTCGACTCTTCTTCAGGCCTTGACGCGATGCTAGAAAGATAACTATTTTTATACGATAAGATTGAAATAAAAATACGATCGCTCACCCAACATCAAATGGACTCTGGCGATGATTATTTCAATTATTAACATATATGAAATAAAACGCGGCGAATAACGAGATCTTTAACGATGATCGGTATGATTAAATCGGTTGGCAGCTGTTCGCCATGGACTTTATCAAGTTCATGAGGCGCGACTACTACTTCGTGGACGGCCGACTGAGGCAGACCGAGGACGAGATGTGCAAGATGCGCCGCGAGCTTGCGGCGAGGAACGACCAGCTGTCGGAGAGCCGCCGCGAGTCCATGCAGCTGCGCGAGAAGCTCGCCGAGGCCGAGTCGTCGAGCAGGAGCCATCATCAGCTGGGGGGCGCCGGTGCCCATCAATCCGGGGGCCGTCCACTGGGCGACGCCAAGAGCGTACACGACAGCAAGAGCATACAGCACGGCGGCGAGCTTGCCAACATCAGCGTCGAGGAGCACAAGAAGCTGCTCCAGGAGAAGGACAAGCTCGAGAAGACGATCGATTGCGTGAGTGGAGAATGTCGAAGATGACAGAGAGGAAAGAAACGTGGAGGATTTATCTTTAATCGTTTGCGTTCGCAGCTGGAGGAGGAGCTGTACGAGCTGCGCAGGGAGAACATCAGGCTGACGAGGGAGCGGGCCGAGTACGAGAACGCGATACAGCGCGCCCTGCTCAAGGGCGTGTCGTCGCTCAACGCCGAGGCCCTCAAGGTACTCAAGTGCACGCCCAAGGACGAGTCCAAGTGAGTCACAAAAGCAGCAAGTACAAAGTCGAACGTTTGGATACATCATGCTTCGGTTAAAAATCCACGCACAGCGGCGGGGGCGGCCCCTGCAACAAACAGCAACAGCAGCCAGCGACGCCGAGGCACAACAAGTCGTCGCACGGCGGCGGCGGCGCTTCCGCTCCAGCGGGTGGTTGTGGCGGCGGCGGCGGAGGCCGTGGAAGATCGTCCAGTCGCAAAAAGTATCCCGACTGCGGCATCACCCAGGACGGCTTCATCAAGGCCCTGTGCGACACAGACAGCGAGGCCAGCGACATGGGCTGCGGCGGCTGTGGTGGTGGCGGTGGCGCGTCGCGTCCCTCGCGTCATCATCAGCGCTCCTCGATGCCCTGCAAGTCCAAGGATCAGCAGAGGAACAAACCGGTGATAATGTTGAACGAGAGGGACGCCGCGGACTGCGGCATGATGAAGGCCAACAAGGGCTGCAACGACAACAACAACAACATGAGCAGGGCTGGTGGTGGCCATCATCATCAGCAGCGACGCAAACAGAACGACGATTGCGTCGCGTCGTCCAAGAGCGACCTGGGCGACCTCTTCCCCGACTTGGACGAGTGCAAACCCAGCAGCAAGAAGAAGAGCTCGAGTCGCCAGAATCCACGCCCGTCCAGCAAAAATTGTTGAGAGCTCCGACGACGACGAGTGCCGTTGTGGCGCGTGGTAGTGTGTGCGCGATTGTGGATTTCTCCCGATTTTAACTTTAAAAATATATTCGTTGTTGTGTCGAGTCGATTGAGTAATTTTTAACAAAGCGTCATTCAAAATAATAAATAATTAATATTCTATAAACTTTATTTGTAAAATTTTACTTTTACCGCAAAATTTACAATTAATCAAATACAGCAGAAGATCAAAATTTACTTGGAACTGCCCAAACGTTGTTATTATGTGGCAACCCCCTTCATATAAAAGCTCGAATAAGTTTTGCAAGTCTACTTTAACCTTCTCCACGGATGAATTTGCCGCAAACCGCAAATACTTCATTTTTTTCAGCGGGGGATATTTCGAATACAAAATTTTTCATATGACCATCTAGCAAGTTATCAAATTGCACAATTATTCCTTTTTCTTTAAAAAAAAGTTTAAATCAATATGTAAAGACTGTCTATGTTCTATTCAAAAGAATACATAGTATAATAGTTTCTCGATAATGTTTTCGGATGTGAATAGGCATTCTTTTATTTTAAATAGAATAGAGAGACACCTTTCTTTTTTAAAATATAATAAAATTTTTATTTTACATATACAATTACAATTATACATATACTTTTTATGTATACATCAGCAAAAAAATTGATTATATTAAAAGTTTACGTATTGCGCTTACATATACGTTTTGCACGTATATCAATGTAATAACTCTGTAATATAAATTGCGTACATTTGTCGTGTAAATTAAATAGAAAAAAAACATCGTAGAAAAAAACAAATCGAGCGATTCGTTTCGTGATGCGTGTGTCCGTGTGTGATATTTGTTTTCCTTTTTTTTTCAACGATATAAAAAAAGTGTTAGCGGGCAAACATAAAGAGAAAAAGATTGAAAAGTGTTTTTTCGACCTCTTTTCCCCAATCGAGAGCATCGAGAGCAGAGATACGAAGAAGAGAATGAAAATATTTAGGTTCATTTTTTTGTGGGTTAACAAAAGTGTATTTATTCGGGAAAATTAAAGAGCGCCTCTTGACGGTGTGTATAAAGTCACACCTGTTGATACATGGAAGCAGAGAATTGATTCAAATAAATCGGATTAATAAAAGATGCTCGTCTCGTGTGATTAACAAAAAGAAGTGTAAAAACTACTTCTTCGAGCTGCTGATTAAACTTTCGAGCGTGTGCCACTGTAGGGCATTACCATCGTTCAAGTATTACAAGTGGTGCATGAAATTTTTCGTTGAAACATTATTTCTTTATTGTTATTACTGTCCTCTCCACTGACGGATTACATAGTATAGGTGTGTGTGTGTGTGTGTGTGTTTTACATAATAGATAATAATAGTTGCAAGATAATGTAAGATAAAAATTAATTCGTAAATAAACACGAGAAAAAGAAGTTATTGGCAAGGCACAGTAAGTGGCTGTATTACTGTGCTTTCTCCGCCACGCACTGTTACAATATAATATAATATTTAAGCTTTAAAAAAAAAGGAATTAAAGTAATCGTTCGTCGTTGCTACGCTCCTAATGTATACCATTTTCTTAATCGTTTTTTTTTGCTTTTCCATTTAAACTAACCATAATAATTTTTCGTAAAAATTTCTTCCTTTTTTTGGCATAATCGCGTTGCATTTGATAAGATGCACACACATACACCCACGCACACGCGTATGGCTGACACGCGTGTACGAGAGCATATATAATTAACAATTGTGTGCTGCGTATACGGAAAGATTTTTCTCTAAGCTACTATGTCCCCCCTTTCGCGACCACCGCTCGCTTCCCGTCGTTTTTTTATTATCACCGAAAAAAGAGATACTTTTCCTTTTTGGTCGCCGATAGTCTCGATCGATTCGTAACTTTATTCAATATTTTCGGTAAAAAAATATCTTTCATTTGATTCATTATATTTGTATATATCTCTTATTTAAATATTAACACGTGAATTATAAATTCTATCGCATATAATACAATATATGCAATGTATCAATAACTTTTTTATATTTTTTACAGCCTAATCATTCATATTTTTCATTTTATTTTCGTCATTCCTCCCCTTCAACTTTCGTTCGCTATAAGCTTCTATAGCCATTTCGTCAAATCCGTCGCGCGCTTTTTATCGATAAAATGTTATAACGTAAAAATTAGTACCCTAAACGAGCTTTATTCGTAAAACAATTTTTTTTTTATCTTTCTTTCGTCAACAATTATTGCAAACTAGTCCCATTTGCGTCGAAAAACACAAAACTTTTTTTCTAATTCGAAGCGGTACAACATAGATAAAAGAAAAACAATTACGTCTTTTCAAAATAAAAATAAAACAAAGAAAACGACGCATCGTCTGGTGGGGTCGAAGAAAATATTCACTCTCCGAATACTCGCGGTCAAAGAACACATAAAATTGCAAAGGAAAAATGCAAGCAAAAATGCTCCACCCCATACGTAAAAGTTGTGGCAGTTGTGTCGTGATACGTTAAAAAATGTTTCACTTAAGAGTTAAATCGTCAATCGGTTTTGTTTTTTCATATAGCCCGCGATCATATAAGCACGTGTTTAATAATAAAAGTGATATATGTTAAATATTTTGTCGTGTAGCTTTTTTGTTTGTTTGTATAAGGCATCTTCGTTCTTTGTTCCCACAGATTCTCACCACCAACTTTATCATTATAATTATCATATAAGTAATATTTCGAGCACATCTCTCCTTTCTTTTCCATGCGATATGAACAACAATAATCGTTTCGCTTATGTGTGTGTTTGCTTTGTTGCGTTGATTCTTGTTGCTCATTGCTACCCCCGCGTCTTCTCCGCTATTATTAATCCTATTTATCGTCTACTGCGATTATCGCGTGTGCATTTCCGTGTTGTTGCCGTGTGTGTATGTGTGCCGCTGCTGCACCCGAGCCGTTGTCGTTGTTGAGGCCTTTGGATGATCGTTTGTTTGTTTTTGTCGCTCGTCGCTTACTTGGCGCGAACGAGATTGAGGAACTCCTCGCGGGTCTTGGAGTCGTCGCGGAAGACGCCCAGCATCGTCGACGTGATCGTCTTGCTGTTGATCTTCTGTACTCCGCGCATCACCATGCACATGTGCCTGTGGTCATCGCGAAGAAAAAAACAACAGAGAAATAAAATAAATCAAACCGATGTATATAATAAGTGATAATAGATATAAAGAAGCCTGGCTTCGGAAAAAAAAATATATCGATGGATTTGTCGATGCGATTTACGAGGCACAAATAAAAACTCGCTTGTATACGGTATATCGTGTCACGGCTGATTCTTTATATTCTTCTTATGTAAGTTAACGGCAATTGAATTGCGCAATACAATTACTTGTTTCGCGCGCGCGCGAACACACGCGTTATTTATCGCTTTGTATATACGTATACCTACTATTACACGCGCAGGATTCTTTTTACGATTTCAAAATTTTTGCGCGAAAAACGAGCGAGAAAAAAACAATAACAACGACAAGATCACCGGTTTGGTATATAAAGAAAAAGAAAGAAAAAAAATTGTCTCGACCGTGTGTGCGTGTGTGAATCGTACGTACGAAGATGTGGAGCAATGTCGACTCGCGGGAAAGTCGATACTCTCGAGCCGCGAAAAAAAAAGAGAGAGAGAGAAAAAGACAAGTGTAAAAGGTACGTGTGTGCACGTGTGCATAGATCCTCTCGGTCTGTGCTCCAAGGAAAGTCAGTGGTCACTCGATGCCCGTGTGTGTCAGCATGAGCGCGCGCGCGAAAGAAATCAAAAGGTAACGATAATATTGTATTATAAATACTCGTGTGTCACGCCGCTGTTGCTGTGATCATTCGCGCGTATCGATCTTACACACGGGCGTTCTTTTTTTTTTTTCGAGAAATCTCAGTCGCGTGAGATCGCGAGCCTCGAGAGATCCTTGTTATTATAAAAGTATAAAGAGTAAAAAAAAAATAAAGATAATGCTGCTACTCACACTCCCTCGACGACGACGGCCACGCCGGCCGGCTGGATGGCCTCGACCACGGCCTCGGCGATCTGCTTGGTCAGGCGCTCCTGGACCTGCATTCGCCTCGAGAATATCTCGACGATGCGGGCCAGCTTGCTGAGGCCGAGGATCTTCTTGCAAGGCAGATAGCCGATGGACACCTTGCCGTAGAACGGCACGAGATGGTGCTCGCACATGGAGAACATCTCGATGTCCTTGACCACGACCATCTCGTCGTGGTCCTCGTCGAAGATCGCGTCGTTGATTACGTCTGTTTTTATGTGGGTTGTTAAGAGAGGGAAGGAAAAAAGCAACAGGTCAATTACGTAATTCAAAATCTTTCAACGAAGGCATAAACGCGCGCCTTTTGTATATCGCGAGGCGGTATATAAGGTGGGTGGAAGCTGCAGCTCGAGAAGCTCGCAAAGAAGAGGACGGAAACATATTATACACCTATATAGCGAGACAGAGAGAAAATCACGGCCGATATCGACCTGCGCTGCGATCATGGCGAGAGGGAGAGAGAGAGAACGCGAGGGTTGCCGGGGCAACCTTTCACGAACCAACTCAGAGTCTCTCTCTCTCTCTCACTCTAGCCGTATATCACTCTGTGCTTTACTGACCGCTTGCGCTTGAAAGCTCTCTCGAGCACTACTGGCATACACTCGTACTGCCACTACTACTACTACTACTACTGTCCATGTGTGGATGTAGGTGTGAGCACGGGTAAACTTTGACGCGTGCGTCCGCGTATAGGTGCGCAGACGGTTGCTTAATTTATTATCATTTATTCGGAAATTATAATTGCTGATTTTTTTTTTTTATCAATTTGATGAAAAACATAATACGCGTGCAATACGAGAGCTAATTCATCATTCAGCGACTCGTGATTTTTCTCCTCTCACCGAGCTCAAAGCTGTATAAGTGTATATCGGCCACTTATAAGCAGGCGCGCGAGCAATTTATATACGACATTTAACCGACGCTCGAAGAATCTCATTGGAATTCAAAGCGCCACCCTCCTCTAACTCGCGAGCTTATCCTCGAGCTGTGTCGCAAGCACCACTGAATAAAGCTTTCATTATTACAGTGACGCGCTTGACTGCGTGGGACGTAAGCTGAGCTTTTTATCATTATACCGCGCTAAATCGAAAGTTTTTTCTTTTTCTTTTCTTTTTTCGTTTCGTATAACTCACCGTCGAGACTCTGATCGTAGCCCTTGGTGAAGAACAGCATGGCCTTGGCGGCGCGCTCCGGCGTCTTGAGCAGGCCCTCGCGCTCCACGTTCTCGCCCAGGGCCTTGAGCAGCAGCTTGTAACTGTGCGACATCTGGGGCAGCAGCGCCTCGCGGGTCGGTGGCCTATGGTCCAGCTCCATGTCGTGATGGAAGGTGCACTTCTCGTGACCTAGAGCGAGCGAGAGAGAGAGAGAACAGCAAAAAATTAAATTTGGCTATTGCTTTGTTAATTAAATTACTTTACACAAAATAATTAGTTCACAACACAGTTCGATTACGAAGATGCGGTTTTAAAAATCGAGTTACGATAGCGTACGCCTGTGTTGCGCTCGAAGCTGCAACATACGCATTGTTTTCTCGTTTATATACAATCATTCACATTTTGTACATATTATTAATTGACATGAAAATCGCATATCTCTCGCATTGTAACAAGTTTTGCGATGAATCGAATGGGTCGTCGTCGCCGTTGTCGTGCACACCACTACCTACTGCTACACACATGCATGTATCATAGGGGGGCAATATGTGTACGAAGCCAAAGCCGCTTTTACATAATCAAAGATCGGTGTGTTGTGTTATCACATTTTTTTTCTCTTTTTTTTCTTTTATTAACAAGCGGATACGCCATTATCATAGCATGAATTAATCATATTTTTCAGCCGCGATAATAACGAGTATTAAGAACTGCCCGAGAGAGTGCGGAAAATTAAGAGAGAGAGAGAAAAAATTTTCTCCCATATAAGCCTAGTTGTGCGATCGAAATGACAGCTTTACGTAAGATATCGTTTTGTAGGACTGATGTTATATTATAAAAATCTTTGAGCTAGATTCCAATTTTTTTTCCTTCTCTCTCTCTCTCTCTCTTTCTCTTTCTTCGTATACTATACAGACTGCAACAAGTTAATTGGACTCGAAATACGATTCCCCGACGACGAGTACAAAAGAAGCTTTTTCAACTTAATATAGACACGTTTTAGATGTTATACACACATTTATGCAATACAATCGGTGCAGATACGTGCGAGGGAGAGTATATAGGATTCGGAGCGAAAAAAAAAAAAGAAATAAAATATTTTTACACACACTCGTGGAACGGGAGAAAACAAAATGTTAAGTCGAGTCGTGCGTGCCAAATGTTTTGGTGGCTCTATTTTCACAGCGCGCAGCGCTACTCTTGTGCAAAAGTAGCAGCGCAGCAGTGAAATTTTGGGGACCTCGTGTCATTATTACACGCGCGCAGGACACTACGCGCTCGGCTATAACGAGGATAAAAATCTAAACGACGTCGACGTAGTCCCAACACCACGTACCAGGCAAGTAATACTACTTTCTTCGCTCGCCTCGAATTCTCACGATTTCTTTATTTTTGTTGTCTGTTTTACCTTTTTTTTTCCTTTCGCGTTACAACGATATTGCGCTCGGTCGCGTAATTAGTCATCGCGCGGCGCGTTTTTGTTTACTCGTTCGCTTTTTTTTTCTTTCTTATATTTCGGCGCGTAACACACACACACGCTGCCGCGCGATAACGGCAAAATCATCTCGAAACGCGGATTAAATATTGCAACGGTACGTCTTGATTATTAATAAAATGTATAATACGTGAGATCGCGCGGCTCGACACACAATCGAATCTTGATTTCCTCGTCGCGAATCCGAGTCGTATTTCCGAAATCGATCGTATCGACGGCGATTACGACGATGTCAACATTGATTATGATTATACAAACACAGACACAGAGAGATGAAGGAGGGGCACAGGGTGCGGGTGCGGGCGGGGGGGTGTACCTGGAGTCGTGGAGGTTCTGGGTGTTTTCGCTAAATCGTCGTCGTTGCCCTCCGCGCTCCACGAGATCTTTCTCAGTGGGCAGGGTCTGTTGCCACCAGCCGCTTGTTGCTTCTTCTCTTGTTGCTTCTCCGGCTGTTGCTGCTGTTGCTGCTGTTTGTTGGATAATTGCTCGGTGGCAACTTCCTCGGATCCACGTGTATTACCGTTCATGGTTTTTGTTTTTAATTTTAACTTTCGTTCGCTCTTTCGTTTTTAACGCTTAACTATATATGTAAAAAACACGCGCACACGATTTTTTCTCCGTTAATATCGAGTAAAAATCTTAAACTTGTATTGTTATGTACTTTCTGACGCGAGATTTGTCTGGGCGCACTATACTTTGTGAACTGAATGAAACCAAGATGAGAATTGAAACGAATTCACCGGCAACGAGCTGTATTTATACGGTTGAGATATCAAGCTTTCGAGTATACAAGATTCATGATGCAATAGACGAGTACGTCTATCTCACACGGGCGCTAATGCAGTATTAATTAACGAAAGTAAAAAGAAAACCTCATGCCTCTCGTCAAAATATTAAATGTAACGTGCTGTGTACACTCGAACGTACGATTAACCAATTCTCCAAACAAAGACTCACCGAAAAATATATATATCATTTCCTTCTCGCTCTCGTGGCTTTATTTATGTGTATGCACAAGATTACAAGCTCATGCATACCATAAACTTTGAATTTCTTAATTTATTCATGAGATTATTTGCGAAAAATATTAGAACCGTACGATCGATTCGCGTACGTATGAAAAAAAAAAAAGGAAAACGAAACCCGAACGCTGTGCACCTGTCGCACACGACAATTATAATAATAATCGCGTCGGTGGTGTATTATTCTACAATGTGCGCGCACGACGACGACGACGACGACACCCACAACTTTCCAAAAGCACGTCCACGATCTACGTACACGCGCGCGCCCGAGGATGCGCCGAGGAGGCACTCCGTCGTCGCTCGTATAATTGATGCATTTCTAATTGCCTCCTTTTTTTAGAAGAAAAAAAGAATTAATTCATTGTACATCGTTTTCGTGAAATTTATACAGAAATGACTGTAATCGTACCAAACGGCGATGACTTTAACTGAAAATTATTTTCATCGTCGTCGTTATTATTATTATAAATATTGCTTCTGGTCTTCGAAAGAGAAATTCGAGAGATAAGTTAAATTTTGTGTGAAAACATAATCACGGAAGGTAAAATTATGTTATTGGATCGATGTCAATGGCAACCGAAACGAAAGCTCGGCGCTCTCGACGCGAAAGCTCGAGCGAACGAGTAAAGAAAACTTGGATCCATCGAGAGTGGATTATCAATCAAAAATTTCTTTACATATAGCTGCGCGCAACAAGTGGCATGCAAATATAAATGTCTCAGACAAATCTCGAGAGAAATGAAAAAAAAAAATCTAAAACTAAGTTTCTCATAGTATACATCGGCAAAATATAACAAACCCCCGTTTGTACTCACTTAAATTATTTCAGGGAAAAAAGCTCTTGGAAGCTCTCGTCGATTGGATATCACGAGAAAGAAGAATTTCGAAGATTCTGTGTAAGTTCACGTCGTTGATTGTCGTCGCACCACTTATGCTCTTTACTCGCGAATCCTTTTGTATTATTTCTCGATTATACAAGTATATGCAGAGTGCCAGAGAGAGAGCGCAGAGATGCTGTGCGGAGATGTTCTCGTTCGAGTGACGCGCGACGACTGAACTGATCCCTAGTGCTCCTATAGCTATTAGTCTCGCTCTCCTCTTTCCTCTCTCACTCACTCACTCGCACTCGCACTCACTCTCTCGCAGAGTGTGTACCTAGTCCATATTATCCTCTCTCTCTCTTTCACTTCTGCACGCAGAAGCATAAGAGCGGCTCTCTCTCTCTTTCTCTCTCTCTGGCTCTCTCAGCGCAGTCGCATTTTGCCAGGAAAAAGGAGAGAGACGACGGAGGGGAGATTTTTATGTATACGCTTGTAACGTACAATACAAGTACGCGTGTACATGCACGTACCCACCACCGTATAATAAATACGTATCATTCAAATATGTAATGATATTTTTCGCGCGTATAAGTGCACTTGCATATTATTGCAAGTTTCGCACTTCTCTTTCTCTGTCTCTCTCTCTCTCCCTTTTCCTCTCATTTTTTCCCGAGATACATTGGCAAATAATTGTGCAAAATTGTGTAACTCAATTCCATCTCGCGTATACGAGTATATTAAAATGACAAAAAAACGTGACACACATACACGCGATACACGTCGACGAGCTCGCCGAAAGTCAAAATAAACAAAAATACGTCAGTACTTAAGCGATTAAAATCTCAAACGTGAGATTCACGTGTATTGTGCTTTTATCGGGCCGACGACTCCCTTACATACGTATATACGCTTACAAGCGAGACGCGGATTCAATTTTCAAGAGTCATTCAATGTTCTCTTTTTTTTTTTTTTATCATTTTGGAAGCTTTTCGACCGGACGTTTACCCCACGGCATAACGGGCCAAAGATCAGTTCGATATGTATCTAGTGCTAAACAACGAAAAAGAATGAACGAACGACAAAAATAAAGCGTGTATCGCCGTAATCGTGCACCCGTAACGGTGTAGAGAATTGCGCGTACTCAGCATTGACCCGTAAGCCGAGACAACGCGCAGCTATAAAAGAAAAGAAAAACATGAGAAAAAAAATCTCTCGATTTTAGCAAAATCACCGTGTGTAAAGCTGCACTAGTTTTTCGAGCATCGTATAATGACACACATAATCATGAGTGCCTTATATAATTCCATGCATCGTAGCGAGCACCGATATTATATTTATATTATTATACACATATCACCGAGCCGCACCGCGGCCTCTTCAGCAGCTCGTATCGATAAAAACCGATTTTTCACGTCGAATCCTTCGAACGCGCGCGAACTTTGATGATCTTCGGCATTGGTGTATATAACAACAATAATTATTGTTATCATCGAGGCCTATTGAAGTCCATTATACTCGATTTCTCTCTTTCTCTCGGATATTTCTCACAGCAGCAGCAGCAAGTGCGGCCGATGCGTGTGATGATGATGATGCGCGAGTGTTGCATCAGCGCGCGCGCGTAAATCCATTAATACGGCCTTTTTTTTCTCTCTCTCGTCATAGATAGAGATGGATGGATGGATGCAGCACGCGAGAGAGAGAGTTTATCGTATATCGCGTGCGCGGCGGCATTGTATCGAACTTCGTTTATATGGAAACGTGAAAAGTTTTCATTGTTCTCTTTCTCCCCCTAAGTTTTTTTCTGTTTCGTTTCATCTTTATCTTTCTATATACGGGGATGAGAGTTACGAGTTAATTTATTCTCCGTATAACGATAATCGGCGACGGTGGTTACATTATGTACACGACGGATCGGATGTATTATAGACATTATGGATATTAATGCGTAAGTGTAAGTTAGATGGATGCCAATGATGAAAACGTCCGATGAGATTTCGTCAGGATACACGAGTGCGTGGTGTCTGTGCACGTACGGTTGTTAATAATCGGGGGAACATTATTTTATCTCTATCGGCCGTTAACGATAATAATTATACATTTAATATCGCGCGCGTATATTAATGTACTCGCGACGGCCGCGAGAGTGAGAGCTGTCGCCGACGAACGTATACGTATTCACGGCATGCAGATTATTATATATTGAATAAAAGATGATGATATAATAATACGTTGTGTGTTTATGCATGTGTGTGTATGTGTGTGTTTTTTTTGTTCTTGCCTAGGCCAAGTATATACGTGTTATATGCCCATACCATATATAACCAGCATCGGTACATATATCGAGATAGCGTAATTAAATACTTGTCTATTTAGCGTCGAAGGCTATTTACACCTGCGCGACTATATACGGCAGTTTTTTTTTGCTTTTCTTGTCTATACGCGCTACTGCTACTGCTGCCGCTGCTATATCGTTTATTTATATATATGTATATCTTTCATCGGCCGAGCGCGGTCGATCGCTCGGCTGATTCATTAACATAAATCGAGCTCGCGTATTCGCAAAATTCCACTCACGCACGTGGTGGTTCTCATAGCATTATACACACCCATGCCTCATTCACGTGCGGTATATACAAGACGCGCGACTCGTTTTTTTTTTTTTTTGTTTCCTTTTCTTTTTTCCTCTTTCATCTATACGGATATTCGTTTACGCGCGCGCGTACGCGTGCCGGGACTCCTACGTCAGAGAGGACTCGTGCACCCGCGGAGCAGCAGCACTCGAGGATGTAGAGAGAAACTGCAAAACCCCGCCATCATATAGTTTCAAGCTGTAAAGCTAATTCGTTGAGATTGGGTTCCTCTGTCATCGAGGGAATTTTGACGCACGCGTAAACGCGCAAGCAGATGCGATTCGGAAAAACCTGCGTAGACGCATATACTGCATACGCACATCGTGTATAGAGATGCGGTTATAAAAGACGCGAGTCGAGACAAACATTTATGTAAGCGATATCGAAGAAAAATCGTTATTGGTGCCTGCGTATAGTTGCGCACATCTATTATTGTTATTATTATCAGAATCATCTCCTTGATGCCCATCTCGATGCGTGTTATTAAAATTAATTGATATATAATCTATGCTTACGCATTGAACGAGCGTAAAGAGCCGTTTAGAAGACGCAAGCGCGTATACCGGTATTGCTTTTTTCCCCATTTTTTTTGTTGTGCTTTCAATCATGGTATAATTGTTAATAGATAACATTAACAAGTACGACTCGGGCATAAAAAAAAATTTTATTTCAAAATGTTGTACCGATCGAACTGTGTATACGTAATATAATAATCACTGTCGACCGAGCGCGTTCGAGGGACCAAGGGCACGTGGATTATAAATTGAAACAAAAGGAATCCTCCTGTTTGCGGTTGCAAAGAGCCTCGAGCGAGGCACGAAAAGCTCATTATTAAAGAAATTCGAAACTGCGATATACGTGACGGACGCGCTGCTGCCTCGGAGGCATATAGTCCAGGAGAGTGTCACGTGTCACCCTTTAATCCGCGGTCGTCGCTGCGTCGATGGATCCACCCCGCGCGCAAGAGTGGCAAAAATCGGTAAGCTTTCATCGGTGTGTATGCGCGGTCGAAAAAAAAAAAAGAACAACGACCCAAAGTCGTGCAGCAAAGCTCGAAGATTCATACGATACGCGCTCGAGTATGACTGTTACAAGATCGCGCGCGGGAATGCGTATGGTTTTACAATGTCGACGAGAGACAAGAAGAGAGAGAGAAGCGAGGCTACTACTACCTCTCGTGCAGCGGCAATCGATACCTCGCTCTGCGGATGGAAAACTCGTTTACATTGTTACGAGATGCCTAATACATAATACAACAACAACAAAAAAATAGTAAATAAAAATACCGTCCCCGAGGATTAATTACATATATTATTTTTGTTGCGCGGCGATATACCGGAGCAAAAAAGTGACAATTTAAACGTTTTAATTATGTTTTACCGTCGATTTGTCATTAGTATATAGCCTGCCTGTTTACAATAATATAGCGACTAAAGGCAACATTGATATACATTGCACGCGTATATTACACGCGCTTGCACAACGTGTATATTTTGCAAGCGACAAAACGACATTTTACGCACACACACACACGCACGAAAAATATCTACATATATTTATCAATCAACTAAGAAAAAGGGAAATAATTATTATCTAATTACATCGGGCGTTCGGCAGCTGTATACGAACGCATATAGTCTGAGAATTTACGGTGCGTGTCAACGTACCCGCGGGTAATTTAATAGTCGCACGAGGGACGTTTGCACTTCGACACGACATTTCAATTTTCAACGATATACAGGCGGGGATAAGAGAATTCACGGTATAAACTTTTTTAATTATCTCCGATTACCCGGTGATTTTTTTCCGTTAACAATCTCTCTCTCTCTCTCGTGAGAATATCTCGATGCCGGATCTTTCATTTTTTTTCTTCTAAAAATAGTCTCTGCGGAGAAAAACGATAATATTCATATATAATGTATAATAAAATAATGATGATGTTTCGTCGCGGTGTGCGTGTGCGGCGACGACAGTGACGACGACACACAGCCCCGCGCGCGCGACTCGATCGCGCGTCAAAATCTCTCGGCGCGGAAATCGATACCGATCGATAATTATAAAAATATTATCCTTGGGACACACATTGTTTTGTTTTTATCGCGATCGCCACCTTTTTCTTCTTCTTCTTCTTCCACTGATTCTTTTCGTCTCTCGCTCCGACGAGCGTATCGTGTATATTATAATAATAAAAAAAGTATATACGATATACACGTAAGAATTCGCAAGTTGATCAAGGTCGTGCAGCACCTTGGTTTATTATATACGCGCAGCAGCATACCGATCGTATACTGTGTATACGACTCACTCAACTACTTCGGTAAAACCGCATCTCTCCCCTTACTTTGACTTCGTAATCGAACTATATCTCGATGGTTAATTATTCAATGAAATACAGATACAATGAATTTCGAGCATAAATAAGTGTGAGTAAAAAAAAGTGGCCACCAACCTAGTAAGCATTTTCCATTGGACCCGTTCTCGGTATTGATAGCGGCCACGACGCTGCCGTTCTCGTTTTGCTTCTCGGTCTTCATGTTTCTATTCTTCGATTATCGTTGCGCTTTCTTCTGGTATTTAGTACGTTGTTAATACGCACTCCTTTCTTCCTTTTATTATTGTTGCGTTGGCGAGCGAAACTTCGATTATATATCACTGCTGCTGCTGCTGCTTGTTCGGTCGACGTTGACGTTTGTAATGAACGAGCAATATATTA